GTCTATCATATTCCAGGACTGCCAAGAAATAGGTATCTTTTCTTCTCATTTTGTGTTTCTATTGATTTGTCTCTGCTGCCATGAACATATATCACACTGTCAACTAGTCCTTATATAAGTAGTCTTTTTATTCTTTTGGAAATAAAACAAAACCTTCTTTAACATTAATATAATGAGATATTTTTCTTTATGGGCAACAGTTAGGAGTTTTAGTAACCTACATATCTTTGGTTCCCTGGGTAAAAGCTTATTGATTTTTCTAGCGCCTGCGGTTACCGCTTGATGTTTGGCAGTGGAGGCTCAGCTCATCTACGCAGGGGAGCTGTTTACAGGATCAGCATCATTATTATTGGGTTGTATAGCTGTTTACAGGATCAGCATCATTATTATTGGGTTGTATAATGTACATGAGGCTACTGGTACTTACACTCTTACAATTTTATTAAACAAAATGGTTGTTTCCTTTCATTCCTGCCACATCTAAGGCCATAAACACACCTTCTGAAACCTGGATTACACACAGTAAGAAGTTACAAAATCAGTTCCTAAATATGGACCTATCCTAACAGGTAGTCAGAGAGATCAGTGGGGTTCTGCATTCCTAGCCCCAGAATCCCTGTCACAGGCAGGCAGAAAGAAGGCTCCTCTCGTAACATTAATCTCTCTCCTCCTCCAAAACCTTTCTTCAAAACCTCAGTAACTCTAGTCACAGCAGTTATCAGTGGAAATCTACTCCTCCCTTATCATTTGTTAGTGCTGTAATGTTAATATTTTAAGGTTATCTGAATTCATATAAGCTTTACAGAAAGCAGCTGAGGGGCAGCCCTCTGGACTGACCAAAGACACTAAAAGCACGGGTCAGGATAAATCACCCACAGAGAGGCAGAGAAGCCATACCATCTAACGATATCAGTGGATTCCACCCACCACTATCACACAGGACAGGACCAGGACGGTTTAGGGAGTGTTCCCCAGATAATGTACAATTCTTTACACTAGGTCATTGCACCAGACCAAGGCCCAGTTCATTCAAGAGACTTGATTAGGAAACCAAGTCAAACACATCTCACATCATGACGAAAAATGCTTACGTCATTTTTCCTTTACCTCATAAATTTACATTTATTCTGCCCACGACGTTTCTTACCCTCCCTATATACAATATGCTCTCCATTCCATTACCAGAAACTGCTTGACTACCTCGAGCTCCTCTCCCAATATATTTTCCACCTCCTTTCTCTGATTGAAACCTGGCTCTTTCCTCGACATTTCTCCAACTAGTGGAGTTTATCACATATTCCATGGACTCTGGGTTAAGAGGAGAGGTGGACTTACCATGAAGCTCATGAAACTGAAGGTTCTCTGTCTTCAACCGCCAAATGTTTCCTTTAAGGTCCCAGGAAGCACACTGGCCATGTACTCAGTCATGTTTTGAACATTTTGCAGATAATTTAACCAGAATTCATTAAGCTTTTTCCATTCCAGCTTCCACTCCTGGTAGGATATAGATCAGTTCTACCAATGTATACATTACAGTGCTTACTTCCCTTTCTGCTGGACATCTAAAATGTCACTTTGTTTCTCCCTCAATTTACTTTGCTGACTCCTCATCTTCCCACCTGTTTCTGGAGTAACCCAGGAAGTCCTCTCAATGTGTTACTTACTGCCTAGACTTTAGGACTTACTATTTCATCTAGTCTTAAGTATGACTTCCCCAAATATCAAATACTGCTCACACTCTAAACCCAAAATTGTATCTCCAGTTATAAGATGCTCTGGACTCTAGATCAATCTATACTGATGCCTATTTGAAAGTTCCAAATGAATGTCTAATAAGTATGAACTTAATATGCCTCAAGCTGATCTAGTCTTCCCAGAACTACTTTTTCACAGTCCTAGCTTTAGCAATAGCAACTCTAGTTTTCCAGTTGATCAAGCTAAAATCATTGGCATCATCCTCTACCAGTCTATCTCCTATATCCAGTCCTTCAACAAATCCTTTCCCCTTCAGAAGTCAGTTTTGCTACCTCACCCACTCCATTTGACCCTACTCCAAGCTAACATCACTAGTCTAGACTATTCCAACACATTTCTCAGATTTCTGCTCTTGCCCCACTAAAATGTTTTGTTCACAAGACCCCGTAAAATTTAAATATCATTTCACATCATCCATTTGTTCTCCAAACAGAAGATAACCTCAAATCACCTAACCATCTCCAATCTTACTTTCTGCTTTTCACCATGTTCCAGCCACTATCTTTTTTTTTTTTTTTAATATATTTATTTATTTATTTATACAAGCACTGGGTATAGTCAGAAGCGCAGGAGGGTGAGAGAATTCACCAGAGCCAGAGCGGGGAGCAGAGCAGGCAGAAGGACCGAAGTACAGTGCTGAGGGGAGCAGTGGGCGGCAGGAGAGGTCTGCGCGCCATGTGGGACCCTCCTCCAGTGGCAGGGGAGCAGCCAGGAATCAACCAGCGCTGCAGAGGCTACGGGCAGCTTCGTAACCCAGCACTCAACCGCTGCGCCACAGGGGAGGCCCCCAGCCACTATCTTGAAATTCCTTAGAGGCTCGATAAATTCCCTTCCCCATTGGGTTTTCACTGTTACTTCTGCTTAATAAATTCAACTCATACCCTCGTCTTGTGACAATGGCCTGTATCCAAAAACGATTGGAAACAAGTGTTGATAAGGATGTGGAGAAAAAGGAACACTCACTCACTGTCAATGGGTTTGTAAATTGGTACCACTTATGAGGAAAATAGTATGGAAATTCCTTACCAGGCTGTAAGTGGCAGGACAGGACACAGTGCAGGTTTTCTGATCCCATGCAGACCGGGTAAAGGAAGAGTCAGATTCCTCAATGGTTTTTTGCAGGGCTTTTATTGGGGTTCACCAGACATATGGCAGGCAGGGGTGCTGGGGGGCCAGGAGGCTGGCAGGCCTCCCGGCCCCCAGCAAGTCTTCACTCTATCTGGGCTCTCCGGCGTTCTCTGCTTCTCTCTCGGCTTCTGCTACTTCTTTCTCGGCTTCTCTTTCGGCTTCTCCTGGCATCCCCATGACACCGCCCTTAAAAGCAGTCTTGGCCCAGCAGTCTTGGCCCACTTCAGGTGCCCGCCATCAGGCATGCATTCAGGATCACAGGGCTCCCTCATCTATTGTGATGGCAGGAGGGCAGAAAAGCCTGATTTTTTACCTCACCCTACAGAGGCACAGAGCAAGTTTTCTAGGGGGGCCGGCAGGCCTCCCAGCCCCCAGAGTCCTCACACTCTCTGGGCTCTCTAGCGTTCTCTCACGGGCTCTTTGCTCTCTGCTTGTTCTGCTCTCATTCCTTGCTGTTCTCGTTCTGTTGCTCTTCTACTCATCATACTCTACTCTTCAACTCTTCCAAGCTAGTCTCTCAGCCCAGGTGTGCCCACCTGTGAAGGTCCACACCCTACTCCAGGTGCCCACCATCAGGCATGCATGTAGGGCCGCAGGGATCTATCATTAATGCTAATGGTGGGAGGGTGGAAAACCCTAATAATTTTCCCTTACTCTACAAATACCAATTAGGTGTTTCCCCAAATATGAACACACTAATACAGAAAGACTTATGCACACCTTTGTTAATGCAGCATTACTCACAATAGCAAAGGAATCAACCTAAATGGTCATGTGTGGAGGCGGAAAGAGGCAGAAGCAGGATCTTTATGACCAGAGCAGGCAGAGTAAAGGAAGAGAGTTCTGGAGCCCTGTGACTTTTTCAGGGTTTTGTTGACTTTACCACAGACACAGCAGGTAGGGGTGCCAGGGGGCCCAGGAGGCTGGCAGGCCTCCCAGTCTCCAGCAAGAAGGCCTCTCTGGCCTTCTCTTGTGGCTTTGTTCTCCTTCTCATGGTTCTCTTCTGGCATTTTGCACTCTTCTGCTGGCATCCCTGTGATGCTGCCTTTGTAAGCCCATTCTCAATCCACTGCTGAGGGGAGCAGCAGGTGCACCAGGAGAGGTCTGCGGCGCCATGTGGGACCCTCACTGGCCAGCCGCGCCATGTGGGACCCTCACTGGCCAGCCGGGATTGAATTGGCCCTGCAGATGCTGCGGCACTCAACCGCCTGTGCCACCAGGGGAAGCCCTAAATTCCCTGTCTTTGATCATTTCATTGAGGTTATGTAAATCTTAGGATCCTTGGAGATAGTGAATTCAAGGTTGGAGATTCTTTTTTTTTTTAATACAAGCACTGGGTGCAGTCAGAAGCGCGGGAGGGTGAGAGAATTCACCAGAGCCAGAACAGGAAGCAGAGCAGGCAAAAGAACCGAAGCACACTGCTGAGGGGAGCAGCGGGCAGCAGCCAGGGATGGAACCGGCGCTGCAGAGGCCAGCCGCGGGCAGCTTCGCAACCCAGCGCTCAACCGTTGCGCCACCGGGGAGGCCCTGGAGATTCTTAATTATTACAATTTCCTAAAATAGTCCAGGAAAATGCATACAGGGTATTTCATATATATAGGGTATGTGCCATGTTAATAAACATGCAGTTATTTTTGCATTTTTAAATTTCTAAAGTGTTTAAAGTAAAAAGTGTCTAACCCACAGGTAATCATGTCTCACTGGACCCCAAATGCTACAAATTTACTTTTCATTGTATATATTCACTGCTCCCTTCCACACAAATATTTGAGAAACTTACAACTGTTTTTCTGTCATGTGCCCCAAAAAGCAAAGACTGCCCCACCTATGGACAAATGGCCAGAGCAGGTTTTAGTGACAAAATCTTTTTTCCTCATAATCGTTTTCAACAGTTTTACTTCCACTGCCCCAGTTCAATATAAGCCAATGATTCATGAGACAGCTGGTCTCAGGCTATGATAGCTGATCCTACCATATAGCAGATCATTTATGTATACTCCTTTTTGAAATACAGAACAAAAACTGACATTTACCAGAGTTCAGCATGAATACTACTGAAGAAAAATATATTTTAAAAAATTAATCCATTGAGAATACATTTTAAAAAGATTTCTATAATCAATTGATTACACCACTCACATTACAACACTCATAATTGAAGTATTTTATTTTATGTACAAAAAACTAGTTTCTGCTTTACGGTAGATTTCTCCACAGCCAATTCAAGGAAGATCATTTAGTCCAACTGAAAAAGCAAAGATAGAATATATATTAGTTCAATGTGCTGTAAAAGGTACTTTATTCTCACAAAATGCTGGCCCATTAGTAAACAGGTTTAAAGCAGGAACTTGATCCTCCCATACTAGCAATATCTAAAAACTGCTCTAAAACCCCAACAATTAGACTATACATTTTAATACTGTCACTTCCCACAAAAAATCTTATCTAAAAAATCACTATATGTGATGATCTTCACCAAAAGCTCAGAATGGCTATTAAATAGGTAACTAATTACACAATATTTTGGTACTCAGCATGTCAGATACTATTGTAAAGGCCACTCATAAAATAACTCATTTAACCTTACACTTGATGGCTTTGGTCTGGAGTGGGGGTGGAGTCCGCAAAGCCTGCACGGAATTAGCTCATGACATCCTCTCCCCCTAACAACACAAGTAAGGAATGGGCTTCCATCCATCCTGTGATGTGCTACTGCAGTCCCACTGTGTTATCTGACTTTCCTCATCCTAACACCAAACATGAACTTTAAGTATTTGGTGGAAGATAAAAGTCTAAGCTTACAATATTTTTCCTTGGACAGAGATCAAACACTTAACAACTTTTAGCCCCTATAAAACATTACAAGGGCATCTTCTGACATGCAGGTTCCACTCAATCAAAATAATTATGCATCAGAGAGCCAATTAATTCTATCTCAAAGTGCCATAAGGAATTCGTTTTCACGTTTTAAAAAAACAAAAAACTCCAGCATTTAAGTGACTTTAGGGGCCTACAAAGCTTCATTTACAGATTTTTGCAACAAACCTAACATTTTTTACAGGCAAAAGGAGAGCTTCAATGACTTGAAAAATCAGTACTATTATTGTAACAGGGTGGTCCCCAGGAAAGGGGGAAGTTCCAGGTTCCCTGGGTGGGGCAGGGAACCTGGAACTTCCCCCTTTCCTGGGGACCACCCTGTTACATTACTGGTGGAATTCTAACTGAACCCTAAAGTTATCTGGCCCCAAAGCTAAAGCTCGTTTCAGCATATATTGCTTATTTCAGGGTAGTGGTCAACACATGTATTTGATTAGGAAATAGCCAGGAAAAATTAAATCTAACCTTTTATTTTAGTGGTTTCTGTAAAGCAGATCAGTTTATCCAAAATAAAACTAAAACTTGCAGAGCTGGGTAAAAGGGGTTAGAAAGGCTTTTCTTTTCAAGGTCTTCACCCATCCCGAGTCTTATTGTTATAGGACAGGGAGGGGGACCACCCTGTTACATTATATTACCCGCGTCGCCCCTAACAAGAGCCAGCAGTAGGGAAGGGTGCACGAGCAGTCCCGCCCTCACACTCAGGAGGCCCCTCTCACAGCAGCAAGGGCGCGGCGCCCGTACCTTGATGAAGCCTATGTCCTTGGCGTACTGACGGAAACACTGGCGGCACATGTTGAGCCCATATTTCCGGATCAGGCCGTGTCGGTTTGAGCAGACGCGGCTGTAAGGAGACAAGGCGTTGCGGAAAGTCAAGGATTTCGCATTCGGGAGCCACCACCCACACCGCCCGCCTCAGACTACCCGAGGCCTGTAATGGCGGCAGCCACCGCTCCGCCTCGGCCTGCCCCACGCGTCGCCGCCCGCCGGCTCCCCTCTGCATTAGATTTCGAACAGCTTCACGCCCCGGCGCAACTCAGCCCTGCGACACATTCTGTTTCTCACCAAGAGCGAGAACCCTGGCCGAATTTTCTCGGGTGACTCCAGTAGAGCTGCTGGTGACCCATCTTACTTTCTCGGAAGCAACGAGACAAAAAGGAAAGAACCCCCCACGCATGCGCTCTTCAACTCTTTGGGAACAAGTTTACCCAGAATGCAATGATGACAGACGACGCCTGCGCAGTGTGGCTATACTGGTTCGCGACCTCGCCTGAAGGTTTGGAAACGCCCTGGGGCGGCACAGTTGATGACGTCACCACGGCGCAGCCTCTAGTATGATTCTGTGCAGCTCGACTCACGCCGGGCGCAGTGGCGCGCGCCTGTAATCCCAGGCTACATGGGAGGCTGAGGCAGGAGGATCGCTTGATCGGCAGTTCTGGGCCACAGCCGGCCACAGTGCGCTGCACCCAGGTGCCCGCACGTTCACCTCCTCAGACGTGGTGACCTCTTCGGGCGCGGGGGTACCACACACAGTTGTTCGGAGCACGGAGAAGAGGCTCCTCAGGCGTTCTGGAAAAGAACCGCATTCGTTGCCGTCTGGTGAGACCCGGTCTCCTTTTGCACCCCTCAAAGAAACAAATAATATTAACAACTCCACCTTCTTTCCCAGTCTTCTTTTACCCCGCAAAGAAACAAATGATATTACAACTCCATGTTCTTTTAATTAAAAATGTACACTTGAAAACAGAACTTTTTCTTAACTCAGCAGTGACCTCTACTGGAAGAATGTTACAAAATAACAAACCCGACTGTAATAATTACGAGCCAACGGTAGGAGTCTCTCTTTTGATAAACAGAATACATTTTCAAAGTTTTTTTTCAATTGATTACGCACCTCCAACCACTATACCTACACCGTTCCAGAAAAATAATGCAAGGTTCTGACCCTTAGTGTGCTTGATATTTAAATTTCGTTGGTTGAATTTAAAATGAGAAACGATATATAAGTGCAATATGTGCTGCTTTGATTAGATGGCATGGTGAGGAAACAACTAGCGAAAGCCAAAGGCAGTCTAATCTGAGCGATGGCTTAAAGTTCACGTGGTCATTTATAATGACTCTAGGTAAACCTAAAACTATACTTACTTCGAAAATCAAATCATTAAGCTAGACCTATAAAATACAAAACTTTGTGCGATAATCCCAGAAATTTTTACTCATGATCTCATTTTGCAAGTGAAATATAACACTTCTTCAAACTGTAACAGCCTAAAAGAAACTGAGCTGGTAGGATGAGTTGGCCCAAGTTCTCTTTGAATAGGTGGACAAAATCATGGACTAGAGTCCAAACAATTTGGCCCACTGCACTGGCCACACGTGCCATGCTAGACAAAAAGCACTAGATCTGACTAAAGGTTATCTCACAATTTTCTGGACAGAGACAGCTGAGAACTCACACTGCAAAGTTGCAATGTGACCCATGTTGGGCATAGCCCAACCCAGAATAAGCTATGCAGCTGCTCTCCTCCTCCCCTCCCCTATAAATATCTCCTCTAATTCCCTCATGAAGTCAAGTTAATTCTCCTTTCCTGCACTGGTTCCCTCTTGCATAAGTCTAATACAACCTTGCTTAGTTCAACTATTCCTAGTGCTCACTGGTGAATTCTTTCCCTAGAGGCAAAGGATCCACTGTTTTTGGGTCAGGGCCTCTAACAAGACTGTCATTTCAGTATTTGAATGGTGTATCCCTTCCCATCATTAAACCAGGCACTTTGTTACATGATAAAGGAAGGAGGTGAAGCTGAAATTTAAAAACCAAATATGGCAAGGTTCCTGCCCTCAAAAAACTTGCAAATGTAGTGAGGGAAACAGGATGATTTCAGACCCCTGCCTTCTAGTTTCAACTTTTCAGATTCTATATTCTATAAACAACTAAGTGAATAGAACTGTTCTGTATTCAATGATGAATGTATTCATGAAGTACTGAAGAAGCAAAGTATAAATTCATGCCATCTTCAGTTACATTTGAGGGACCTTTGAGGTAGACATTGAACACTGTTATTTCTGTAGGCAAGACTTGATGAAAGGAAAGGTCAATTGAGAGAAAAAAGCTTGAGCCCACAAAATGGAGTTGAAAAGACTTGGGTAAGGCGAACAACCTTTTGCAACTACAGTGGAGGATGCACAAAAGATCTAGTGGTTAATAAGACTGAAATTGTATTTTATTTTAAAGCTTTACTGTAGAGGGGGGCCAGTGTTGTTTCTCCCATTTTCCTGGAATTTGTATCTTTTTTTTTTTTAAGTAATGCTGCATCGTAACATTACACAATTTACACGTGTCCATTACAAATCAACCTTTGTATATGATATAAGAATTGCCTGTCTCAGTTCCCCTTCACCAAAGAACAGAGTTTTGAGGAGAGGAAAGTAATTTCATTTGTTGACAAATGAGGAGCATAGCAGGCTAGAGTCTGAAAGACTACTGTCGCGCTTACTAGCATTGGAGGGGCCTTTAACTAGTTATAAGGGCATGAAAGAGGGGAGTGGTTTTCTAGTAAGGTAGTCCCCAGGAAAAGGGGAGGTTCCAGCTTCCCTGCCCCACCCAAAGGAGGGTGGAGCTGAGCAGGTACAGAAGAAACTGGAGAGGAGAGTGGAGAGCCAGAAGACTGGGGAAGGAAGGAAGCAGGAATAAGAGCCAGGAGATCTGGAAGAGGCACCTAGAACAAGGAGACATGTGAAGAAGCTGCACTTGCTTCTTGGTCTTGGACTGGGTGAAACAGATGTGGGTGAGAGACCCAGGGGGAGGTGACAATGACAGCTTTTATCTTGATTTTGCTCTTTTCTTCCCAGACTTGTCTGGCTGTTTCTGACCCTTTCCCATGGGTCCCTGACGGAAGGTGCTTTAGACTTGTGGCAGGTTTTCCGGCCTTTCTTTGTGCCAATCCTGCTTGGGTGGACTTTTATCCATGAGGGGATGGGTAACCTTGGGTGCTTGATTTGGAAACTATATTCTTTGTCTTTTCTGTATTACACACTAATTGTATTCAAGTTCCTTTCCATTAAAGGTCTACATGTTTTATCTTAATACAGGGGATGTGAGAACCTATTTAGAGCAGGCAGGTTTGGGGGTTCAGGGGTACCCCTCTCCCTGCCCAGTAATAGGTTAGGGTCACTGTGACTATTCTTATAAGCATCTGCTGAATTGGTTGATATCAGCTTGTTTTCCTCACTGCACGGTGGTCAGCAGTTCTTTCGTTTTCTTTGTAAGGTTCTGTCCATGACTTTGTTTTGAAGTTTCTTTGCAGTAAGACCCTTTGTCCTCAGAATGTAAGGAAAAAGCAAGATGTTAGCCAAACATATAAATTGAGGTTTGTTAAACTTAGAGAGTGTCTTTTTCACAGGCAGGAGAGATATTGCTGTATCATATATATATATATATATATATATATATATATACCATTTAAAGTCCAAATTTTTCCGTTACACTTGACCCACCTTTTACCCTATTGATCCACGTCACTCATTTGATCTTAGTCTTCTTAAAAATAGAAAAAGACTCAAAAAGGGAGTCCTTCTTGCTAGGCCCCCACCTATATTTAATACCTTATAGTTTCAGTTTCAGTTTTAATACCTAATTACAGTTTCAGCCTCTCCCAAAAGTAGAATCTTTTTTTTTAAAAAAAGATTTATTTATTTATGTATACTAGAGCTGGGGTACAGACCAGAGATGCAGGAGGGTGAGAGAATTCACCAGAGACAGAGCGGGAGCAGACAACAGGCAGACAGAGGGAAAACACTGCTGAGGGGAGCAGCAGGCGAGTCAAGAGAGGTCTGCTGCACCATGTGGGTTGCTCCCAGGCTGGGAATGGAATTTGTGCTGCAGTGGCTGCAGATTGCTTCATAGTGCTCAGACTTAACCCCTTGCGCCACCAGGGAGGCCCTAAAACTTATTTTTTTATTTTTAGGTCATTTGTTTGGTTCTTTATGTGCCACTGCTGACTGAAATAAAAGTCCGAATGATAGTTAAACAAAGAGTTTATTAGGGAAAAAAAAACCAGTTTATTTAGATAAAGTGAACATTCCAACCCAGGAAGCAATCTGACAAATTTTACTCTGTAAGAACTGTTTTGATCATGACAAATTTGAGCTTATTTTATATAACTTGATACAGAGTAGCATACATGCAGAAGAAAATGAATTTGACCTCAAAAATCTAATTATTCCTCACTGGGCTTTCTGGTTTTCACCATAGGTTTAGATTTTTTTATTTCCTAAGCTCTCTTGACCTAAAGAAATGCCAATGCTATCTATGTGCAGAAGAAGGCAAACGCTGGAGTTTAATCACTTTCCTGCTGTCTAAGGAATGCACTGTGGAGACACAAAGGCAAGGTATCCATTCCTCAAATTTTTTTTATCATGCTCCTCCGTCATTACTTCCTGGTGAGTCCCTCCAGAAAGGTTGGTTTACCCAAAGTCACCAAATTCTTGACTGCTTCCCAGAACAGGACAGAGCCTGTTCTGACTTAAAGCTGATGCAAATGGTTTTGGTCTCTTGCCTGCTAGACCTGAGAAGGAGAGGAATTGAGGGGGATGGTTCCCAGGATGTTCCAAATATCTTCATGCCACATATAAGTGAAGTCATATCATGTTTGTCTTTTTCCATTTTACTCATTTTGTTGGAGGGAAAGGATGTCATGAATGAACTCCACAAACACAGGTTTTATGGACTCCACTCCCACCCCAGACCAAAGAGATCCAAGGCACCAAGGACTACAAATCTCATCATGTCATCACCACTGAAGGGAGAATTGCTGGGAACTGAGGGTGGAGTTAAGCAGCCAGGCTTGGTATATAACCAGACATGCAGGCCCCAGGGGAGGGGATGCTTGTTTTGTTTTTTTTCCCCACAGGCGATTGGGGTCCCAGCTCAGTAGAACTGGCAGGATGCATTTACCAATCTCTTTCTCTCTCCTATCTCTCTCTCTCTCTCTCTCTCTCTCTCTCACACACACACACACACACACACACACACACACACACACACCCCTTCTCCCTGAGTTTATTCCTCTCTTCATTTCCCCTTTTTGTAAATAAACTCTTTATTAACCTTTTTTGTGTGTGCCTGCAGTTGAGTCTCATTATAAGTCCCTTTTAAGCGTGCGGGTGAGGACCCATATTCAAGCCAACCCATTTCACATTGGGGTTGCCCTATAACAATTTTACTAACCATACTTCCTTCTATCCATGTTGTTGCAAATGGCAGAATTCCATCATACACACACACACACACACAGACACACACACACACAGAGACAGAGCCAAGAAGTATTCCATTTCACACCTTCTTTATCCAGTTATCTGTCCATGGGCACTTAGGTTGTTTCCAACTCTTAGTTATTATAAATGTTTCCATTAAGGGTGGCTAGATCAGTCATGATACATAGTTTCCAAAATTCATATGCCTCTCAAGAGTTAATCTAACATTTGCCCACTTATCTTCTCAGACCTTTCCTAGCTGGTATCCATATCACCATAATTTTTAATAGATTACAATGATTCTAGATCTATTCCATAAATAGTACCAAGATTCTCATATATAATTCAGTCTTTTTTTTTATTTTAAACATTTTTTTTTAAATGTCACACTCACATTTTTTAGTTTCTTTTTTTTTGGTAGAGGCATGTTTTTTATTTATTTGTTTGTTTGTTTGTTTGTTTTTTGTTTATACATGCACTGGGTTTTATTTATTTATGCATAGAAGAACTGGGGTGTAGGCCAGAAGTATGGGAGGTGAGAGGATTCACCAGAGACAGAGTGGAGAGCAGAACAGGAGGATCTATTGAAATACACTGTTGAGGGGAGCAGTGGGTGTGACAGGACAGGTCTCTGTGCCATGTGGGTTAGCTCCCTGCCAGAGATAGAACTCATGCTGCAGTGGCTGTGATAGCTTGATAGCCCTGTGACTGTAACCTGTGCACCACCAGGGGGGCCCCAGTGGTCAGTCTTCTATAGTAAAAAAAAGACAATATTGACCAAGGAAACTTATGGCAGTAGGTGTCTGGACCTAAGTCAGATTCATTTATCCTTGTGCTTACCAGTCCATTAAAAACAATGAGTCCAGTTCCTCTTTGTCCTGGGACCCTTCCTGTCTCATTTACCCTGAGCAATCTTTCATCCTGCTTATTTCTTAAGTAGGTAAAGGAACTACAGTCTCATTCTCCTGTAGCTACTTCCACCACAATGGGTATATCCCCTACCGACAGGTGTGGAGTGAAAAGCTATCTCAGCCTAAGAGAAAGACAGAGACAGAGAAAAGACAGAGACAGAGGTTCAGGTCTCTGAGTTTGGGGAAAGGCTGAAACACCTGTAATATTATCATTATTTTACCTGCAGTTATTGAATGCTTGACACCGAGTTTGAACAAACAATACATCATTAGGAGGATAAGAATAACATCAAGACCTCCCTTGTTTGGAGACCCAAGATCATCATTTTGTAAACCAGTCCCATGGATTTGACATCCCTTGAATTCTACACCCTTTTGGAGACAAAGAGGACTAAATAATTTAAGAAGCAAGTACCAAAGTCAAAGGACAGAATGAGTCCATTCATCTATCCAAACCATTTAGAAAAGACTATTTATAATAGGAGTCCAAGGCCAGGATTCAGTTTCTTTTAGGTGTCCTACCTCTGCGTAATCACTTCTTTCTGTGTTTTCAGTTTCCAGGAGGCTTTGGAGCTCAGTTCAACGTTATTACTGGTCTGTAAACGCAAGGTTCAAATAAAAAAAAGTTAGATAAGTTATTTTCTTTTTGTTTCCACTAAGATCTGAGAGCACTTCTAACTATTTGGCCTCCATACACCAGGGTAAGATGAAGGAGGAGCCCAGAGCACACAATTTAAGGAGACAAGACAATGACCCTAAGAATGACAGCCACTTTCAAAGGTGCCTCCCGAGTCTCCCTGGCCCCACGCGGCCGTCTTTAACAAATGGAACGAGTTCCTTCCAGGGGCACATGGGGGTCTTTCCAAGTCTCGCATGCAGCTGAATCAGTCGCTCCGTGAGCCCATTAGCGGTTGCAAAGAGAAAATTGTTCAACAGGAATTGCCAAGTCAAATTGTTAGGGGGAAAGGATGTCCTAAAGCTAGGCAACCCGTTTTATATCGGGGTTGCTCCGTAACAAAGTCACGCCGGATCGGGCTCCAGTCCCGCGCGGTAGGTGCTGCCATCGGAGCGCGCGGAGCCACCAAAACAAAACCCCGTCGCTTCAGCGCCGGGAAACGCCGCGCCCGGGCTGGCGTCAGGGAAATGGTCGGTTCCAAATGCCGACGCTACGTTCAGGGAAAAGACTCCCCCTGTGAGACAGGGGCACCCGCCCTTCGTCGGGAAACTCGGCCCCGACGCGAGCCGGGCGCGCGGGGGTCCACGTCGAAACGGGACTGCGGGGCTAACGCGGACCCCAGCGCCGTCGCGCCCCCGCCGATCGCCTGTTCCCGGGCGGCCGGCGACGCGCCCCGCCGCCCGGCAGCCACAGAGGGGCTCGGTCCCGCAGGGGAGCACAGCCCCGCCCGGCCCCCGGGCCCGCAGCGCCTCGCGCTGAGAAAGGGGGGTGGGGGGGCCGCCGAGCGCGCAGGCGGGTCCGCGGACAGCCCGCGCCAGGACCCCGCGGCGCGGCGGGAGGCGGGAAGCGGGAAGCCGGGAGATTCCAAGGCGGGCGGGGCCGCCGGCCCCTGGTTCTGGCGCCATGAAGCTGCACTGCGAGGTCGAGGTGGTCAGTCGGCACTTGCCGTGCTTGGGCCTGAGGAACCGGGGTAAGGGCGTCCGGGCCGTGCTGAGCGTCTGCCAGCAGACGCCCGACAGTCGGGCGCGGGCCCGGGCGGGGGGCGAGCGGGGCGGCCCGCGCCCCGCCTGCCTGCTCATCGCCACCCTGAAGGACAGGCGCGGGACCAGCTATGAGGTGAGTGCAGCCGAGTAGGCTGGTGCGGGCTCAGCGGGCGCTTTTCCCCCCGAGCCCAGAGGTAAACGGTCCCCCAGCCGCCCGGGGCCCCGCCGCTCCCGAAATTGGGTGCATGTTGACGGTTCCTGAACGCCCGGCCCCTAAGTCACATCACCACCCCGGCCCCGGTTCCTGATTGCCGTCCCCAAAGCCTCTCTCTGTTGCCTTGCTTAGTACTGCTTTTCTTTGAAGTCTGTAACTAGCTGTCCCCTAACACATCTGCAGCACCAGTAGTCAGTTGCTGGGAGGAATATTAACCAAAAACTTAATCGCTAGTTGAAGACTTATTGTGTGCAGGGTGTAGTGCTAGATACTGTGGGACGTGAACTTGATTTGGTCACTCTCCTGAGACTAGAAAGGGAGAAACTCCTTTCACTCTAAGATGGGCTGTGATGAATACTACAATCAGTTTAGAAGCAAAGTAGTATAGTATCAAAAATGAGATGAAAAAAAAAAAATGAGATTAGTTGTGATTACTCAAGCTTGAGAAAGTTTTCTGGAAGAGGTGGTGCCTCAAATTTGATCGTTTTTTTTTTAAAAACGATTTATTTATTTATGCATACAAGAACTGGGGTACAGGCCAGAGGTGGGGGGGGCGGGCGGTGAGAGGACTCACCAGAGACAGAGTGGGGGTAGAACAGGTGTATTGACTGAAATACACTGCTGAGGGGAGCAGTGGGCGAGTCAGGAGAGGTCGGCTGTGCCATGTGGGCAGCTCCCTGGCCAGCTCGAACTCGTGGTGCAGTGGCTGTGGATAGCTCCATAGGTCGTGTCTTAACCCCTTGCCCCACCAGGGAGGCCCCAGAAGTTTGATAGTTCTAAGTAAACGTTTGTTAGATCGTGGTGGTGTTAGTCCTGGATCTTGAAGATAAGTATTAGTATAAAGCATGGAAGTACCTTAGGGATCTTTCTTAAGGTCAGATAGCCATCCTCCATCTGACTGACCTCCAAATCTGTATTCTTAGCCAGATCTCTCCCTTAACTTCTGGGTTGAATCTGCTGGAAATCTTCACTTGGATGTGTTGCCGCGTTTCAAACTCCAAATATCTGAAAAAACATTTTCCTTGTCACCCTAAACTGGCTTTTCTGGCAGTCTTCTGCAGCTCATTAGGTTGAGCAGCTCATAGCGTTCTGCCTCATCAAGAAAACTTAAAGCCTTTGCCTCCTCAAATCTAATACATTATTGAATCCTTTCAGTTCTACCTCCTGGATATCTTCACATTTTCATACCACCTTCCATCCCAGCTGTAATCTGGACCACCACTATCGCTTGCCTGGCTAGTCTCTTCAAGGATCTCTACCTCTACCCCTCTACCTTTGTCTTTACTCCATCTGGTTCTCCTTTCCCCAAATGTTTTCCTCTCTCCCAAAGTTTGTTCTTTACACAGGGGTAAAAGGATCTTGTCAAAATGTAGATCTAACCATGTTCCCAGCTTAAAGTGTATTTCATTGTTCTTAGGATAAAATCCAGGTTTTTAAAAATGGTTTACAAAAATCTTTCACCATCTAATCTCTACTTACTTCTGACTTCCCCCAGGACCTTCGAGCCATACTGAATTTATTTCAGTTCCTTACAGCTGCTAAGCTCTCTCTTGCTGTGAGGCTTTGCATACCTTGTCCCTCTCTATCCCCTTTCTTTCCTCATTATCTTCACTGTTACCTAATCCTTCAGCTCTCACCTTAAAGATCTCCTTCATACCCTCAAATTAGATAAGACTCCTTTGCAACATAAGGTCTTACAGCAGCCTATAATTCCCTTGTCTTCATATTCACTATGCTTTTGATTACTTCTTTAATAATTGTCTTTCATCAGATTGGCAATTTTAGAAATGTAATTACCCTGCCATTCTTATTCACTGCTGTTGTCTAAAGGCTCCTATCATAGTAACTGGTATATAGTTGTTTCTCAATTTAGTTGTTGAATATCAGTCTTCAAAGTTTTTCTGATATTTAATATATCAGTGACTGTTCTAGCTCTGGGGATACAATAGTGAACCAAGGAGACAGGATTCCTGCTTTTATGGAGTTTACAACTGGGAAGCGTGCCTACCCCAGATTAATAGACTGAAGTTAAAAAGGCAAGTAACTTTTTTCTCCAAACACTGGTGAGGAGGAAAGAGTTACTAGACAGAGAGGGTAATAATATCAAAACACCCAGTTTTAAAGACTATAAGCCAAACCAAAGCCTGGCTAGCTTGCTGGCACATTGTAATAAGTATTGTTTAGTAATAATGTTTGGTTTGTCCTTTCTTCCCCCCCCCCCCCATGAACTTTAAACAGCTGAAGGAGAACATCGAGCAGTTCTTCACCAAATTTATGGATGAGGGGAAAGCTACTGTTCGGTTAAAGAAACCTCCTGTGGATATCTGTTTAAGTAAGGTATGGTATGAAATTAACGGTTAGGGTGTACTTTGACTGTACTTTCTTTAGAGAAAAGACTATTTGAGCATCCTGATATCCCACAGAGCCTGAGGGATGGATGCTTGCCAGTGTTTGAAGCAGTGATGCTTCATGCTTGTATGGCTTCCAAAAGGGCAGTCACCCCTATTTAGGTGCTCAGAGTGGAAAGAAAAACTGGCTTTGCGTCTGTGCCCAAGATGGAATCTTAGATTGCTCACAGACTAAACCTGTATAAGGCAAGTGGTACAGATCTACATTTGATCAGCTAAATCACAGGTTACAAATCTAAGTTTGTTTGTATTTCCTTTTATTTCCTTTGCTGTAAGTATCAAGTTTCCAAAAATATCTTTATCATCAATATCATGAAATATATCACTGATGTTTTCTTCTATATATTTTATTTTTTCTGGTCTTATATGTAGATCTTTAATCCATTTGGGATTTATTTGGGTGCATGGAGTTAGAAAGTGATTTAGCTTCTTTTTTTTTTTTTTTAAAGATTTATTTATTTATTTATACAAGCACTGGGTACAGTCAGAAGCACGGGAGGGTGAGAGAATTCACCAGAGCCAGAGCGGGGAGCAGAGCAGGCAGAAGGACCGAAGTACACTGCTGAGGGGAGCAGCGGGCGGCAGGAGAGGTCTGCGCGCCATGTGGGACCCTCTTCTGGTGGCCGGGGAGCAGCCGGGGATCGAACTGGCACTGCAGAGGCTGCGGGCAGCTTCGCAACCCAGCGCTCAACTGCTGCGCCACCGGGGAGGCCCTAGCTTCATTCTTTTTTAAAATATCATCTTCTAGTTTTATTAGCACCATTTATTTAAGAGGCTCTCCTTTCCCCACTATATTGTCATGGCTGCTTTATCACAAACTGAGTATTGATATGTATGGGGATTTATTTCTGGGCCATCAATTCTGTTCCATTGATCCTTGTGTCTGTTTTTATACCAGTACCATATTATTTTTAGTACTGTTGCTTTATAGTATAGTTTGAAGTCATTTAATGTGATGCCTCCTTTTCTCTCCTTTTTTCTTACTCAGAATTGGCCTTGCTATTCAAGTTCTTTTATGGTTGCAGACTTACCAATTAAAAAACAAGATAGACAAGTTTCTGGAAAGACAGGCTAAATACATTACTTCCGCCTTCTTGCTGTGTCTTTTGACCTTTATTTTCACTGATTCATTCAAAACACTGCACTAGGGGCACAGCTTCTTTGTCAGTGCTGTTGCCATTACTTCTGAGCCTTTCTGAACACTTAGAATTTGATACTGAAGCCCTTTATTTTTTTCTTAGTAAAACTTTGCTTTTTTGGTATCTGTGACCAGTGTACTACCCTGGTTGACCTTTGGTTTACTCAGTCACTCCTTTGTCACTTATTTCCCCCCAGAATTAAAGCCCTCTCCTCTCCCTGTTCTCTGCCATTCCACAATTCATTCCTGCTTGTGTATAACTTTGCAGGCCAGAACTCTCTACTAAATCTACTTCTCCACACCTAGATCCCGACTTTCCTTGTTTTACTTTATTGTGTATACTGCTGCCAAAAGAATTTTTAACTCTTGTCATGAAATTCTTCAGTGACTTCTCATAGCCTTATCATCCCATCCTCCTTACCTTGACATGGAGCTCATCTATAATCTACCCCTATACCGTATTTTTCAATCCTTTACAAAACTCCCATATTCCAACCAAATGGAATCACATACTTAGTTTACCAAACTTGCTAAAAGTTCACTAGTCCTCCTCCACATGTAAATTTTGAGACTTCTAATGTGTCCTACAAATATTAGGATTTTTATTGATAACTTATCAGTAATTATTATTAGTAACAGTTATAACCACATTATTAGTGATTTCTCTGACCAGCTGGAAGCAATCTCTTGCTTTGGATGTTTTCTAGTACTTTGTTGCTTTTTGACCAAACCAGTGCTTCTCACAATTTCTAGATTTGTGAATGGCATTCCAGGGCATTTTGCAGTGCACAGCATTTTTCAGCTTATCTCAGAGATTGGAGATTTGAATCAGTTCATCTTAAATCCAAATCTTAAGAGGAATTTTTTTCATGCTTTCCGATTTTATCTTAATATCTTATGATTCATCCTTTGAACAGTTTTATTTAGAATGTGTCTCTTGACATGGTTTGCATTTTTTTTAAAGCTTTATTTATGTATATAAGAACTAGGGTACAGGCCAGAGGTGCAGGGGCAGGGGTGAAAGGATTCACCAGAGCCAGAGTGGGGAGCAGAACAGGCAGACTGACTGAAATACACTGCTGAGGGGAGCAGTGGGTAAGACAGGAGAGGTCTGCTGTGCCACGTGGGTACCTCCCTGGCCTGCCAGAGATCGAATTCATACTGCAGAGGCTGCGGATTGCTTCGTAGTGTGGTGCTTAACCCCTTGTGCCACCAGGGAGACCACAAACTTTTTTAGTTTTTTTGTATCTATATTGAAATTTAGTCAAAATAGAATACTGAAAACTTATTTTTATGGCCATTTTCAATAAATGATTGTATCATTTGCATATATAAATCTATAGAATTTGTGGGATGAATTAGCATGCATGTGTTATCTAAAGTAGAATTTATAGTTGTACAACTTATTTTTCCAGGCCAATTCCAGCAGTTTAAAGGGTTTCCTTTCAGCCTTGCAACTGGCTCATAAAGGCTCTGATGTTGAGGCACGACTTTCAATCCCCACGCCCGTGAAGACTTCAGAATTTGATAAATTTAAAACTAAAATGGCTATCACATCCAAAAAGGACTATCCTCTAAGCAAGAACTTCCCATATTCTTTGGAACATCTTCAGGCTTCTTATTGTAAACTTGTTCGAGTTGATATGCGTATTCTTTGCTTAAAAAATCTTAGGAAATTAGACTTGAGTCACAACCATATAAAAAAGCTTCCAGCTACAATTGGAGACCTCATCCATCTTCAAGTACTTAACCTGAATGACAATCACTTGGAGTCATTTAGTGTAGCATTGTGTCAATCTACACTCCAGAAGTCACTTCAAAGTTTGGATCTCAGCAAGAATAAAATCAAGGCACTCCCTGTGCAGTTTTGCCAGCTTCGAGAACTTACAGATTTAAAACTTGATGATAATGAATTGATAAGATTTCCTTTCAAAATAGGACAACTGACAAACTTGCGTCTTTTGTCAGCAGCGCGAAATAAGCTTCCATTTTTGCCTAGTGAGTTTAAAAATTTATCCCTTGAGTACTTGGATCTTTTTGGAAATACTTTTGAACAACCAAAATTCCTTCCAGTTATAAAGCTGCAATTGCCACTAACTTTGTTGGAGTCTTCAGCACGAACCATATTATATCATAGGTAAGACTTTAATGGTCATAAAAAGTGGTAACTTTAATAGCATGGTGTGGTATTCTTGTCATCCTCGGTGTCATACTCTCAAACATAGCTTATGATGCTGTACACAAGTGACCCCTTATGACAGTGGCATTCTTGCTACACCTTACCTCTGCCTGAATGCTTTTCTTCTAAAAAGTCTCAGGCCCTTTTATTCTATTCTCTGTGCAAGTGGCACCCCAGAAAAGGCCTTACCTGATCATCTTATCTAAAATTTTATCCCCCCATCCCTTTACATTGTTTGATTTATTTTTTGTAGGATTGTTACCTGGCATTATTTATTTTTTAACATTTGTTTTTCCAAAGCTCTCACATTCTTTTTATTTTTTTTAAAGATTTATTTATTTATACAAGAACTGGGGTATAGGCCAGAGGCGCGGGAGGGTGAGAGAATTCACCAGAGACAGAGCCTGGAGCAGAACAGCCAGACAGACTGAAAACACTGCTGAGGGGAGCAGTGGGCCAGACAGGAGAGGTCTGCTGCGCCATGTGGGTATCTCCCTGGCCAGCCAGGAATTGAACCTGCGCCACAGAGGCTGCAGACAGCTTCACAGCGCTGCTCTCAACCCACTGTGCCACCGGGGAGGGCCCCCCCCCTTTTTAAAAAGATTTATTTATGCATACAAGTACTGGGGTACAGGCTAGAGATGCGGAGGGTGAGAGGATTCACCAGAGACAGAGTGGGGACCAGAACAACAGACAGAGCTACTGAAATACACTGCTGAGGGGAGCAGCGGGCAGACAGGAGAGGTCTGCCTGCTATGTGGATTAGGTCCCTGGCTGGGGATTGAACTTGTGCTTTAGTGTCTGGTGATAGCTTGATAGTGCTGAGACTTTAACACCTGTGCCACCAGAAGCTCTAAACTCTAATTTTTTAAGTAGGTTTTATTGTTGAAAGAGATCTGAGCACATATTGTGTACCAGCATAGACTAGGGGCTACAGAAACAACAAAGACAAGACGTTGTGGGAGATAGTGACTGGGGCCTGGTTATATTTGGGGTAGAGGGGAGGGATGGAACTACACATTTAAATGATATTACAGGGCCTCCCTCGTGGTGCAGCAGGTTGAATGCAGCGCTGTGACGCCGTCTGCAGCCTCTGCAGTACGGCCAGGGAGGCCAGGGAGATACCCACATAGTGTGGCAGACCTCTCCTGTCTCGCCCGCTGCTCCCCTCAGCAGTGTATTTCAGTCAGTCTGCCTGTTCTGTTCCCCGCACTGGCCCTGGTGAATCCTTTCACCCTCCCACACCTCTGGCCTGTACCCCAGCTCTTGTATAAATAAATAAAATCTTAAAAAATAAATAAATAAAATATATATAGTTGCCATACAATATAACTTCGGGAAAGATAACTTCCATTCTATTCAAATTATGCTATAAAGTAGCAGTGCTAAAAAATACTTTGAGGAATGGTATAGCTCCTCTTAGGTTTACAATATAACATGCTCTTATAGTATACTTCCCCCATTTTTACTAGTTGGAAAGGTAAGCAATATACTGTCATTTAATTAATGAAGGAATTTTTCCCCGTGGTTATAATTTAGTGTAAAATAATGCATGTCCTCTTATATGAATCTAGTAATGTAAAAAAAAAAATTTAAACCTTTTTTTCCAATAGGTTACCGTATGGCTCACATGTCATACCTTTCCATCTTTGCCAAGATTTGGATACTGCAAAAACCTGTGTTTGTGGAAGATTCTGTCTAAACAGTTTTATTCAAGGGACTACCACCATGAATCTACACTCTGTTGCTCACACTGTGGTCTTAGTAGATAATATGGATGGTACTGAAGCACCTGTTACCTCTTACTTCTGTTCTCTAGCCTGTTATGTAAATTCTTCTGATATGTTGAAGTAAATAAGTGATAGCACAAAAAGAAATTCCATTTAGTTATAGATCATTTTTGGATTCAGTGATGGTTTAACAATGTCAATTTGGAAAAAAGGGAAGAATGTGTTCTTTTAACATCAATTATTTGACTGTAAAATCTTTACTTGATTAAATCCTAATTAATTTTGTTGTGGAGTTAACTTTTTATGAGTTTATTGCACATATGTTGTTTTCAGAATGGGGTGAGATTATGTTAATGTTAAACAGATACTGACCCCAATCATTGTAATCAGAATTTTCTTACCAACTTGCACTTCAGCTAGAGAAATTGAGATTGTGTGTACGGGAAAATATACCTTGGAGAGCAAATATGGACTAAATTGTAGTGAATACTTGCTTAATATGTACATGTTTTAAACAAACTGCTAAGATACATCGTTATGAAGAATTTTATATTCAGCAAGCAGGAAGGAGTTACTTTGGAAGACTTCAGCTTTCATAAATTTTATGTTAATCACATTATCTTTACTGTGATTTCTAAATTATTTAATTCTTAGTGTTGGGAATAAGCCTCTAGGGATTTTTATGTGTTATGCTCTTTTTATGTTTATTTTTGCCACTTAGTATTTTTTTTTTTTTTTAAATTTAAAAACTGCTGGCAATACACCAGCTATAGGATGGTGAGAATTTGAAGTAGACCAGAAGGAATAGAAAAGGAACTAACTTGAAAAAATTGTTAAAAGTGGAATCTGAACCCTTCCATTCTGATTATTCTCATTACTCTTGAGATCAGCCTTTACTCTGTCATTGCAATACTCTCATAACTGGTTTCTGGGAACAAAGGAGAGGAAAGTCAATTAACTGGAAAAAACCCTCTCCACTATTAACTATTTTGAGCTTGTAAGCAGGGGTGGGGATTTGAATTAAGACTATTTCTTATAACTTAGATAACTACTACTTTCTTTTGTCTTTCTAAAATGTTTGGTGCATATTATTTTTTAAGATTTATTTATGCATACAAGAACTGGGGTACAGGCCAGAGGTGTATGGGGTGAGAGGATTCATCTAAGATGGAGTGGGGAACAGAACAGGCAGATCCACTGAAATACACTGCTGAGGGGAGCAGCAGTTGAGTCAGGAGAGGTCTGTTGCGCCATTTGGGTTAGCTCCCTAGCCAGGGGATAGAACTCGTGCTGCAGTGGCTGTGGATAACTTCATAGTGCTGAGTGAGACCTAACCCCTAAGCCACTAGGGAGGCCCATTTTTTGAAAATTTTAATTTGCCTGACTAAGCATAGTTTTAAATGTTGAGTATTTTTATTAAAATTTTATTCAATATATGAGCTCAAAAAGTTTTTTCCCAGAGTGGATCCTCTAAGAGATGAGAGAGTGGTCCAGAGTAGTATTTCTTTAGGTAACTAATGTTCAGTTAAATTCTTCCTACGAAATAATTCTATATTCTAATTTTTCACTTAAAATAATGCCAACATGCCTTAAATCTTACTTTTTAGAACATCTTAAATTTTGAATCCTTCCTTTAGTTACCTAGACCACTTAGTGATTAAGAACCTGTAGAAAATAATTGCCGCAAGCGAATGCCAGACCAGGTGATGTGTCAATTTTCCAGAGTCCTGCTTTTGGCCTACACTGCTTGGGGTATCTGCTGACAGCTGATGTAATCAATCACGGCAGATTTTAGTCCACAGGTTGTTTTTCCCCATTTTCTTTATATATTCAATTCTCAGTTGTTGTTTTTTTTTTTTTTTAAATCATCCTTACTGTTCAGCTAGATCAACCCGAAAAGAGGTGCTGGGGCTGAGGGTCAGTCACCAGTGCTAGGAAGGGCTGGATAACTTGGTCACTTTTGGTTCCTGGCTTCCAGTTTTCAGCAAACAGAACTGCCCCTTTTCATTGGTGTTTGGATGACATATCTTTGTTTCAAATGTGATCTGGGGTGGTTTAAATAGGTACTCTGCTGGAAAGTTGATTTCAATTCTGAAGACTCTTTTATATGGAGGGTTGTCAAACAGTAATACCTTGCCAAGTCAATGAATTAGCTTTAACCTGGATGTTGTGCAAATTTTTCGTTGTACATTTGCAGATTTCCTCAAGCTTCTGCCTCCTACCGCCTGCCATTTTGGATCGGGTGCTGCTCGCCTTAAATTTAAAAGCTGCCTACTTTATCCAAGGTTTTTTTGTTTTGTTTTGTTTTGTTTTAAAGATTTATTTATTATGCATACAAGAACTGGGCCAGAAATGCAGGGGATGAGAGGATTCACCAGAGACAGAGTGGGGAGCAGAACAGGCAGATTGACTTAAATACACTGCTGAGGGGAGCAGCTGGCAAGCCAGGAGAAGTCTGCTGCACAATGTGGGTTGCTCCCTGGCTGGAGATCGAACTCATGCTGCAGAGGCTGCGGATTGCTTCATAGTGCGGTGCTTAACCCCTTGCGCCACCAGGGAGGCCCTGTCCAAGGTTTTATATATAGTTTAATCCTCATAAATCATCCTCAGGGGGAGGTGCCATGAACTGAGATCAGGGAGTTTTAGCCCAGGTTTTGTCTGCTTTGTAAAGGTAGTTCACTTGGTTTTTAAAGATTTATTTATTTATACATACAAGAACTGTGGTGTACGCCAGAGTTGTGGGGGGTGAGAGGATTCACAAAAGACAGAGTGGGAAACAGAACAGGAAGATCAACTGAAATACACTGCTGAGGGGAGCAGCGGGCAAACCAGGAGAGGTCAGCTGCGCCATGTGGGTAGCTCCCTGGCTGGAGATCGAACTTGTGCTGCAGTGGCTGCAGTGCGCTTCATAGGTTGCATCTTAACCCCTTACGCCACCAGGGAGGGCCTCACTTGGTTTTTAAAAACTGAGAGTTCTCTTAGGGCTATTTAGATTCTTCAATTACTGAGGAATTGCCCATGATTATTAAAAATCCACTACATTAAAATGTGTTTAAAGGGCCTCCCCTGGTGGCGCAGGCGGTTGAGTGCAGCATTGTGAAGCTGTCTGCGGCCTCTGCAGCGCTGGTTTGATCCCAGCCAGCCGGCGAGGGTGCCTCACGGTGTGGCAGACCTCTCCTGTAGCGCCCACTGCTCCCTTCAGCAGTGTATTTCGTCAGTCTGCCTGTTCTGTTCCCCACTGTCTCTGGTGAATCCTCTCACCCTCCCACGCATCCGGTCTGTACCCCAGTTCTTGTATAAATAAATCTTTAAAAAAAATAAAATGTGTTTAAGAAGTGATTACCTTTATTTTATTTTTTTTTTTTTTGTGGGACCCTTGCCGGCGGCCGGGGAATGAACCGGCGCTGCAGAGGCTGGGGCAGCCTCACAGCCCAGCGCCTTGCAGCCCAGCGCTCAACTGCTGCGCCACGAGGGGAGGCCCCACCTGTGACACATTTGAAAGTTAACTTGTGCACATCTGATTCTTACATGTTATTATAGTAAAACCTTTTCATCAAAAATGTAGATTAGTCTATGTTGGAATAACTATAAACCAAATTACTCCTATACCCTAGCCCTTTTTGTGTTCTTCCTCTACTCATTTACAAGCCATCCCCAGTAAATCTTTTTTTTTTAAAGATTTTTATTCATACAAGAGCTGGGGTACAGGCCAGAGTCGTGGAAGGTGAGAAGATTCACCAGAGACAGAGCCAGGAGCAGAACAGGCAGAGGGACCCAAAAGCTCTGCTGAGGGGAGCAGTGGGGGAGACAGGAGAGGTCTGCCATGCCATCCATGTGGGAATCTCCCTGGCAAGCTGGGAATCAAACCAGCACTGCAGAGACTGCAGGACAGCTTCACAGCCCTGTGCTCAACCTGCTGTGCCACCAGGGAGGCCCTCTCCCAGTAAATCTTAACCAACTTAAAATTCAGCATAAAGCAGAACTTCCTGTTCTCATTTTAAACCTTCCTTTCCCAGTTTATTTTCCCTTTAATACTCAAATTGTTTCTTTCCTTTCAAAGCTAATTTCTAGTCTCACTTTCTCAGAATTTATACTATTTTGGACTTGTTTTTTCACTACCTTCAGAACTTTTGTAGTTGGAATTTTTAACTTCTGCCTTATAATCGAGAACAGTCTACAGTCTGTCCAGAAAAACTGGTATAAATGTTGTGTTGTCCAGTAGGATGGCCACTGGTGGCTGCTGAGCACTAAATGTAGCTAGTATGAAGGAGGAACTGCACTTCTAGTAGCTATCTGCTGCTAGTGGTTCCTACTAATGGCTTATTTGCAAAATCAGCTTTTTTTAATTCCCCGACTAGAATCATCTGTCCCACCCAAATCTGGGAGGGAGCTCATCAATTATAATTATGAATTCTCGCAACATATGTATTTGAAATTGAGCAGGAAAAAAAAAAGTATCCATTTTCCCCATAATTTATCTCTATAATGTAGTTACAAAGTTTGAGGTGAGACTCCTATCTTGAGGACCTAGATTCAAAGCATAACTTATTTCCTTAATTTAGAAACATAATAAGTGATTCTATTTACATTAAGGAAAAAAAACAAGATCTGAGTAAGAATGTTACAATTTATTTCACAAAGGAAATTTTTCTGTAGCTTCAACATTTTCCTCTGAAAAGTAACAAGAGAACTCCAAAGCTTAGAACTGGATTACTTGACCCTTTCTCTTCTTATCGCCTCCCAGTTCAAAATGCTTGCATCTCTTAATGGCCAGCATTCTTTTGGATCTGCAGTTAGGGTCCACACATTCAAGCCTCAGCACTATCTTCTTTGTGGTTTTAGCCTTCTTCCGGAAAATTGGCTTTGTCTGCCCACCATAGCCACTCTGCTTCCGATCATAGCGCCTCTTTCCCTGGGCATACAGCGAATCCTTGCCCTTCTTATACTGCGTCACTTTGTGAGGCTGATGCTTTCCACACTTCTTGCAGAATGTCCTCCGGGTTTTAGGGACATTGACCATCTTTGCAAAAGAGCTGTCAGTACGATGAAAACTGTAGTAAAATATTTCAAATAATGGTAGCAGACGTTAAACGTTTCCTCAAAGTTAAAAGGGCTTTCTTTATAGGACAGTAATTTATACTTAACAGCCATCAAGTCAGTATGTATAAATCCAGCAAGGACTCGGTTTTCATGACTAAACACAAGTACACGCCTTTTTAGAACGCTTACATTAACAGGGCATTTCTAAAATGAGATTCACCAAAAAACATCTAGAGCAGCAGCACGGGGCCGCCTCGCAAGTCCGTTCCCTGTACAAAGTGGGCTCCTTTGAGTCTTGTTTACTGGGCCTGCCCCCGAAAAAGAAAAGCACCGTAGTGTTTTCCTAATCTTCCCGAAAGAGAAGGCCAAGACCAGTTTCTTTTCCACTCTGCCTCGCACCGTGCCGCCATGTTCCAGCTCCGGGCGCGCCAGGTTCCGCGAGCGGCGAGGCAGCCACTGCCACGGCCCGCCCCGGGCCGCCTCGGTCTGGCCGCACGCCCCCCCCCACCCCCGAACACACACACGGAAGACCGTCGCCCAACAGCAGCCCTGAAGGCTGACGTGTCCTTAGCGCGCGTGTCTCCCGGCCCAGGAGCCGCCATGCCTGAGCCTCCGTCCTGAAGGGAGGTGCCAGTTCTTGAACCCCGCCAAGCCACGGACGCTGGGCTCGCCCCCCCTTTGCCACAAGGGCCCAGGCCGCCAGCCGGGGTCCGGCACGCGAGGCGCGGGGAGGAAGGTTACCCGGCCTTTCGGAACTTACTTGGCAACCGGGCGTCCACGCTCCCCAGCTCGCTCCGCTCGCGCCTGACAGGAAAGGGAGGGCCCGGCCGGAAGTCGGGCCGCGTCTGAGCGACAGGCCCTTCGCTCAATAGGCGGCCCGCCACGAAGGCCGGGCGGCGCCGGCCGCGTCCCGGAAGCGCCAACCAGCCGCCGGGGGGCGGGCCGCAGGGGTGTGGGCCGGAGGCCGCGGCGCTCGGCGGGCCAGTCGCGGGTTGTCAGGACGGTCGCCGGCCGAGAGGGGCGAGCAGCGACGCCGGGGAGCTGCGGCCCGGGGCCCGCGGGAGGATGAGCGCGCAGAGGACGCGGGGCTGCCGGAGGCGCAGGTAACGAAGCCGGGTGCGGTGGGGCCGCGGCGCGACTTCTTCCGAGACCGGCGCTTCGGAATGGAGAGGACCCCGGCGACGCCGAACCGCAGCTCCTAGCGGCGGGGCCGCTGCCCGCCCTGCAGCTGCTGGCGAGGATGTGTGCAGCGCGCGAGGCGGTGGGGAGCTGAGCGCCTTCGGGCCCCAGGACCCCCGGGGTCCGAGATGAGTTAGCGGGGCGGCCGCGGGGCCAGTTCCTGCTGCTGCAGGCCGAGGCGACGGCCGCTGCCCGCCCGCCCCTTCCGTGCAGAAGCCGTTAGCTCCCCTCCGCGGCCGCCTGCCGCGCGCCTGGCCCTGGAGACCATGAGGTTCCGTATCTACAAGCGGAAGGTGCTGATCCTGACGCTCGTGGTGGCCGCCTGCGGCTTCGTCCTCTGGAACAGCAATGGGCGACAAAGGAAGACCGAGGCCCTCGCCCCGCCGCTGCTGGACGCCGAGCCCGCGCGGGGTGCGGGCGGCCGGGGCGGGGACCATCCCATCGGGTCGGTGGGTCTCCGCCGCGTCTCCAACGAGTCAGCCGCCCCGCTCGTCCCCGCGGCCCCGCAGCCCGAGGCGGACAACCTGACGCTGCGGTACCGGTCCCTGGTCTACCAGCTGAACTTTGACCAGACGCTGAGGAATGTGGAGAAGGCCGGCTCCTGGCCGCCCCGGGAGCTGGTGCTGGTGGTCCAGGTGCATAACCGACCCGAATACCTCAGATTGCTGCTGGACTCACTTCGAAAAGCCCAGGGCGTGGATAACGTCCTCGTCATCTTTAGCCATGACTTTTGGTCGACAGAGATCAATCAGTTGATCGCTGGGGTGGATTTCTGTCCGGTCCTGCAGGTATTCTTTCCTTTCAGCATTCAGTTGTACCCCAACGAGTTTCCGGGCAGTGACCCCAGAGATTGCCCCAGAGACCTGGAGAAGAAAGCAGCTCTGAAGATGGGCTGCATTAATGCTGAGTATCCCGACTCCTTCGGCCATTATAGAGAGGCCAAGTTCTCGCAAACCAAACACCATTGGTGGTGGAAGCTGCATTTTGTATGGGAGCGAGTCAAAGTTCTTCGAGACTATGCTGGGCTCATTCTTTTCCTGGAGGAGGATCACTATGTAGCCCCAGACTTTTACCATGTCGTAAAAAAGATGTGGAAATTAAAACAGCAAGAGTGTCCTGAATGTGATGTTCTCTCCTTGGGGTCCTATACTGCCAGTGGCAGTTTCTATGGCATTGCTGATAAGGTAGATGTGAAAACGTGGAAATCCACTGAGCACAATATGGGTCTAGCCTTGACCCGGGATGCATATCAGAAGCTGATCCAGTGCACAGACACTTTCTGTACTTACGATGATTATAACTGGGACTGGACTCTTCAATATTTGACTGTCTCTTGTCTTCCAAAATTCTGGAAAGTGCTGGTTCCTCAAGTTCCTAGGATTTTTCATGCTGGAGACTGTGGTATGCACCACAAGAAAATCTGTAGACCATCTACCCAGAGTGCCCAAATTGAGTCACTCTTAAATAATAACAAACAGTACCTGTTTCCTGAAACTCTAATCGTTGGTCAGAAATTTCATATGACAGCCCTTTCAGCACCTAGGAAAAATGGAGGGTGGGGAGACATTAGGGACCATGAACTCTGTAAAAGTTATAGAAGACTGCAGTGAAAATTCACAATTAAAAAAGCAAAGGTGACAGTCTTCTATTTTTGATATTTCTTCAAACAGGATATTCAATCAAATAAAAGGATTAGAAACAGGCTTCTGCTTTAATACAAAAAGTCTTGTAAGAGGTGTCCAAATATATAGTAATCTTTTCCAGTTACATCTGATTAAGATTTAATATACAAATCTTCATTTTGGGAGTCAGGTTTTAAAGATCAATCTATCTCTTAAAGGTAATGATTATTGTTAATTGATGAGAGAAAGGAGTAAATTTTATTTAAATTACATCTGTTATCTTTTTATCTGGAACTTTGTACACTTTTCCACTTTGAAAACATTTTAAGAATGGCAAAATTTTAATTGTCATAGCAGTAAAAAGTATTACAATGAAATTGATGGAAGTATTATTGAAATAAACCCAGTTTCACTCTTGACAGTTACTAGTAAGGGATTGCTTCACTAGTTTTATGATTCAAGTTATGTTTGTTAAACACCTTGTCAGAACAGTCATTTTCAGTATTAAGGATTCCTGTATTACTGTCTTAAGATTTGCCTGTGCTTTGGAACCTTCATAGAACACACTTTCTTTTGGAATGTATTTGATTGGTAAGAAAGTTTAAACATTGTTTTCACCTCAATGTAGAAATACAGTGGTTTTGATTTTTTTTTTAGTGCTGCCAAAATAAAATACTCATTTTTGCATAAAAAGTTCCTAATTATTTTGCACAATAAATTTTTACTTAATACCAACATTCTGTAAAAACTTTCTATAAGTTTTAAAGTTAGCATTACATCTTTGTATTTATTTTCGTGTACATCTTACTATATAGTGTATGTAGTATATAGTGTATAACTTAGTTTAAAGTAAAACCCAACTCTTGAGAATATGCATTCCCTTTGGATGAAACTGGTTTTCAAATTAGCTAGGATTAGATAATAAACAATAAAAAGCTGCTGTGTGAGTGGAATAACAGCCTAAATTGTTTTCGAATGATACAAAGTTCAGTCATGCCAAAGTCAAACATGCCCTCCTGCTAGCATTAACTGAAATCATACTTTCTAAAAGGACAGAGTATGTAACAGGAAACAGGCTTAAAAGTTACTCCACATTAATGTAGAAGTTACCCTTAGCTGTATATAATCGCTTTAACCAATATTTACTGATTATTTTGAGTAGGTATTACAATTAAGTCATTTCTTAGAAAGCTTACTAAGTGGATAATCTCAAAAATCATTGCACTGAACTAAGCAATTATGGTTGAAAAATACAGATGGTCATCTAAAGTGGGGCAAAGTTCTCTATATGAGCTGCCTTTATACTGCCCTCGCAGCACAATCTAGTTACAGATTCAATCAGGGTTATAAATGTAAATCAGTTGCCTCCCTTTGTATTGGTTTTTGATGCTCAGACCTCAATTCAAAAGGACTGAAGAAATGACTTAAGACCAAAAGACTCATTTTACAGCAGCTTTTAAGACAGAAATAGGTGTGACCTTGACGTTAGCAATTAGATCAACAAATATTTACCATTCTATGTTTTCTTTCTTGGTGTCCTGAAATTCTGTGACATTCTGTGAGAAGAAAATTCTGTGAGGAGAAAAAAATCTAGGAAAAAAAATTTCTTGGCTGCAAATAAAAGTATTCCACAAAATAATTTAGCCACTGTTAGATACATTATTTGCTGCCCCTTTTATATATGCTGTCACATATATATACTGTCACATATTCCTAGATTTTTGGTCCTATTCTAAAATTCATAAATGTGAAAATCAAGACATGTTTAAATATTGTAATAATTTCAAAAAAACTTAGAAATGAAATTTTCAGTCATTACTGAATAATCTATTAAATATACTTTGTATGATACAGTGAAACAACTAAAGCAAAAATATTAAATTTCATTCAGTGTGTATTTGTATTGTAACTGGATTGATGGGTAGTAAAATTTTAAGAATCTAAGAATTGGAGCATAAATACATCCTTATGAGACACATGCATTTTTGTTTCTAATGTCCCCATACATACATCCATATTTCTGGCTATTTGCATTTTTGAGAAATACTTTTTGTGACAGACAATTTAGTGAAAATTTTGAAAGTTGATTGCAAGTAATGATAAATAAGCCAAAAATAACACATACATAAATATATATAATTAGAACTAGATGTTTAATTCTCCATTACAAAATTACACATCTGTAAGAAAATCACAAAATTTATGTCCATAATTAAGGCAAGTTTGCATGAACTTTGTAGATACAAAAACACAACTGTCCTTTCGAATCAAAATTTCAAATTTTAAGTTTATACTTCCTTGAATACTGTTAGTTTTAAGATAGTAAATAGTTAACAATCTACTTTAATTCCAAACACTTTTGACTTTTAACCTTTAAATTCTAAAGTTACACAGAATTAATCCAAATCATACAGCAAAGAATTCTGAAAACTGAATGCACAATGAGTCACATGATCTTTAATAATCTTCACACTACCATCCTGCATATTGGTTTCTTTTATGTTGTCAAAACCAGGCATATTGTGAACTGTAGCATTGTTCTGTAATGAATATAGATGATGTCCATCTAATTCCTTCTCTTTGGTTACTGCTGTTTCTTTTAAATTATCCTTTTTCTCATTTGAGTAAATAGCACATTTTTCTGACACAGATTCAGGTTTCATTTGAGACTCAGGTTGCTGACACTTTCCAAATAACATCTGAGAAACATCAAGAGACTCTTGTTGCAAGCATGTAACTGTATCACCACCTTCTATTTCTGGTGCTTTAACTGCTATGAATGAATCAGAATCAGGTGTTGAGGTAGTAGGATGTTCTACATTTTCTTTTTCAGGCAGATGACTTCCTTCATTGACTCTTTCTTCTTTTTCACGAAGTTGATCAGAGCCACTACATTCTTGAAACTATGTCAAGAGAAACAACACATTCTTTCAAACAAAATTGTAGTTCCCTCTGCAAATAAGATTTTTTAAGTTGTGAGGGAATAACCCTGGCAGACCTGCATATATGCTTCCAGCCTCCCCCTCAAGTCTCCTCCAAATGCTACCAGTTTTGTTTTGTTTTTTAATGCAAACAATGCAAACCTGCCATAAGTCTCTGATTAAGCCCTTTCAATGAGTCCTCACCTTTGGATAAAATAATCCAAGCTTTCAAGTGTCTACAAAATCCTTTAACAGTTATTCTTATACAGGGATTCTTGATTTTCTTGAATGTCAAGGATTCTTCAGGGTTACTCCCATCTAGCCCTACATATATGTCAAATTGTTCTAGTTATAAAATTATTTCTGGGGACAATACTGACAATATAAAAATAACCAGGGGCCTCCCCTGGTGGCGCAGCGATTGAGTGCTGGGCTGTGAAGCTGCCCAAAGCCTCTGCAGCGCCGGTTCGATCCCCAACCGCACAGACCTCTCCTGCTGCACCCGCTGCTCCCCTCAGCAGTGTATTTCATCAGGCTGCCTGTTGTTCCCTGCTCTGGCTCTGGTGAATTCTCTCACCCTCTGAGCTTCTGACTGTACCCAGTGTTTGTATAAATAAATAAATATATCTTTTAAAAAATAAATAAAAATAACCAAACTTAAAGTTCAAGTAGACATACTTCTTAGGATTTGAGAGTGAAAAAGATTTGTTTGTCCCAGGACTAGTACTCAAACTTCCCAACTGTTAATTTCTCTGTTCTTTTTTTAAATTTTTTAATTTTTTTTAAGATTTATTTTATTTATGCATACAAGAGCTGGGGTACAGGCCAGAGGTGTGTGTGGGGGGGACAGGATTCACCAGAGACAAAGTGGGGAACAGAACAGGCCGACTGACCAAGTACACTGCTGAGAGGAGCTGCGGGCAAGTCAGGAGAGGTTTGCTGCACCATGTGGGTTGCTCCCTGGCTGGCTATGTGATTGAACTCCTGCTGCAGTGGCTAAGGACAGCTTCAGAGTGCTGTGACTTAACCCCTTGCGCCACGGGGGAGGCACTCTCTTTACTCTTTATTGGACAGTTATTTGGTATTAAATGTGAAAATGAATTGCATAGTGTTTATTAGCTCACAGAAAAACAATATCACTCTTCCTAGCCACCATGTACATTTAAAGTTATGACATTAAGAAACCAAGAATTAAGTTGTTAGGTCACATTCCAAATGACTACTCCATTAAATCCACCAAAACCCTTACCTTTGCATGAATCTGAATCTTACTATCAGTAACCTGAAGAACTTCAATTAATGGTGCTAGAGGGTTTGTCTGTCTGAATGGAGAACTTGAGACCTCTTCAAGAAACTCATTTACATTTTCTTCATTGACAAACAACCTTTCCTGAAATAAAAAGGAAACAATGTTCTGCCTTATACATCATACTGGATACAACTGTATATAAAAACCTTTCATGAAAATTCTCACAAAGTTCAGGATTATACTTGTTAAAAGCTTAATGTTACTTTTATGCTGTCCTAGCCAAAGAAAAACAGTATTGAACAGAGCAGTAAGAATAGCAAGAAAACACACACACACACACACACCTACACACAGACCTTAAAAGAAAAAAGTCCTGGTTCATTTTCTAAATTATGTTTTTTCTCCTATATATGTTCAAACAATACATTTTTCTCTTACTGTTTTATAACATTACCTCTAGAGCTATAAATGCAGTTCCATCTACAAAATGTAATTAAATTTTAAACAATTTCTAATGCGCAGTGAAGAAATACACATGCCGTTTAATTCTTGGCCAGGTAAGAGTCAAGTATAATTTTTTACTATATTCTAAAGTGTTGATGTAATGTAGTGACACTTAGCATATAGGTATTTATAAAAATCACATAGATTTCAAGATGCTGACATCTACTATTGGGAAATACAAAAATCACTTTCACCAAAGATTCAAAGCAAATCTGTTCATATTCTTGTCAAGGTATATATATATATATATATATATATATATTGGTTTGTTGAAGGAGTAACCATATTTAAAATTCATAAAGTCAGCTCATTGTTGCCCAAAACAAAAATATTTTCTTCCATATTTTCATATCAACAAATTTATAGACTACTATTTAGTCCAATAGAAGGTAAAAGTCAGAGAAATTTGAAGTTTTCTTTTAAAAAAAAAAAATTTAAAAGGATAGGCACCTGCCTAGTCACAGGTGGGCAGGAAAGCTGCCTAAAGTTTCCTTCTATTAAAGAAAATTTAAACTTGTGTATACCTACCAAAAATGAAATTTTGGTAAGAGAAATTTTACATTTGGAGTAAGTTGCTTTGCTACTATTTGAAGATCTAGACTAACATTATTATAGAAACACCTCTAACGCATCAAAAAAAGCATCTCTAAAGTTCATGTCTCTGGAAAAGACCCAACAACAAAAAAAATTACACCAAACAGTTTATTCTTTAGTTAATACAAGGAAAAATAATCTATTGAATGGAAATGGTTGTGATTAAAATACAAAGAATTTGCATAAACTTACTTTCTTCTAACTACTTATTTTTTTAAAAAAATTTTTCTTTTTTTTTTTTTTGCATACAAGAACTGTGATGTAGGCCAGAGGTGGGGGGGAAGGAGGAAGAGAGGATTCACCAGAGATAAAGCATGGGGAGAGCAGAACAGGCAGATTTACTGAAATATACTGCTAAGGGGAGTAGTGGGGGACACAGGAGAGGTCTGCTGCCCTATGTGTGTGTGATCTCCCTGGCCTTGGATGGAACTCAGGACATAGGGGCCCCTAGGCCACGAGGGAAGCCCCTGATTACTGATTTTACTATAAAAGATATTGAAACTTAGTGGCCCTAGAGCTCTAGAAAAATTCTCAGTGACTATTTAAGGCTATATATTAATATATTTTGTGCATAAAAACAATTATCTGTGCAGAAAAAACAATTCTAATCTTGACATAGATCAGTATCTTTATATTTTGATATAACAATATCTATTAATAATATATTCACTATATATCATATGTATACCCACCCACTACGCTTGACTTAAAAATTTTGCCTTATTACTTAGATAGCCTGGTCCAATACAATGTAAAGCAAAAAAATTGAACATTATGGTCCCATCAGTCTCAGCAAATATGATGATTAATGAAATAATTATGAATCAATTTCAGGCTTATAAATATAAAACACAGTTGCCTAATCCCATTTTTCATTTAACTATTTCAAGTAATGTTAAACAGTAGCAAATAAGATTAAAATAATCTTTAGTGTTTTCTCAAATGCTTATCCATAAAGTTTTCTTCCCACACTGATTAAAACAATTACAGAAAAAATGACAGCCCTTTCTTAAATTTCTCCCCTCTGATGGCATAAACAACTTCATATTTTATGTTCTCACAAAGTATCTTACCTGTTCCTGGCTACCTAATCTGCTGATTTTGAAGGGTTTCAAATTAATCACTTCTCACAGAAGATACGCCTTCACAACATAAACCCAATGTCAAAAACTTCATTTGTAATATCTGCTCTGTGCAACTGGTGTGTTTCTGAGAATTTAACCCTTGGATACTCACCTCAGTCAAAACCACCAATTTTTTGGGTCAATTTAAAAAGCTACTTAGAACTTTATATTTACTGGATCTGTGTAAGAGTACTGGATCTGACTAAGAACCTCAATAACCTAAAAAGTACAGTAGCAATTACAACAGAACATACCATTCATCAAAATTATACACTAAGCTCATTTAATGCTCAGCCCATTTTGAATATTTGCCCAGAAGAGGTACAGCTACTATTGATGCTACTCAGTATAGCAAACATTTATAGTTTACTTGTTAAATGCCAGTCATTTTGTCAAATAGTAGAAACAAAAAGAGGTAATTACAATGTGTCAATAATATAATACTAAAGAACAACCCCACCATCAGAGACTAATTAAATTCCATATGGGCATAAGATTTAGATTCACAACTAGGTGTGAGAACTGTGTGGTATTAGCTTACCTACTTTTGCAAATCATTAAAGAACGTAAAAAATTATTTGCCAGCTTAAATTATGGCAATTGTGAAAGATCAAGGACAACACCCCTCCCTAATCTAGCAGACAAGTGAGCAAAGGTATCTGCATAATCTTAAAGTCAGAACAGACTATGCTACTCAGGAGCTAGGGAAGAATCTGATGCCCGAGGGTAAAGTAACTTTTCACCCACCACTGACTAGAGAGACAAAGATTTTTACTAAATTTTCAAAAGTCAGGAAAATATTTAACCCCCAGCATTTGCCCTGTGTGCATTGATAGCATCTATATTTCTTCAAGCCATGACAACTTAGGATATCAAAAGATCTAAATCTATAAATGAAAGTCAGAAGACCCTTGTCAAAAACAATAACATTTGTATGATTAATGATTCACTGTTCTGTAAATTATTCCATAATAAAGTATATAAAATGAAGTCAAACTTATGGATGGCATTATTCTCACAGGGCAAAATCTGTCCAACTATTTCCTGGGTTTAAATCCTCACTGTAGTTATCTAATAAACGCTAACTACCAGTAAGGCTTTTAGTTCCGTTAGCACCATAATGGAGTGCTTACTAAACTGAACTGGGAATAGGTCTGAGAATATGACTGAAGTTCTAGAAAATATCCTCAACTTTTTGCATACAATTTTAGAGGTACAAAAATCCTTGGAACTCCTTATCTTCCTTTGGAGACAACGGACTGCACGTAAACAAGTGCACTCAGGACAATGTTAAAGACTGGAAACTCATGCACTAAAGGGGATGCCTAAGTTTGTGTTTTGCTTTTTTTCCCATATAACTTAAATGCTCACTGACATTTTTTCAGGTGTATAAATTTCAAGTCGCTGTGAAAAAAGTTATATGAAAAATGCTTGTTTTACAATACACTCATAAGATAGCTGTAATGGCAAGTTTTAAAAGAGGCGATAAAGTACAGCATTTCAACTGTTGGACTACAGAAAGAACCGTTACCTCCAAAGAACTGTTGTTTAAACCATAATACCACTCTCTCCAATGTCCATGGCTCTCGGGCGATTTTGCGAGTTCTATCACTGCATTGTCCGAAGAAATGCTAACCACTGGTTCTTTAGTGCTCAATTTATTCTCTGAAGCAAATTGCAAAACAACGGAATAATAAACTAAGTCGTGTGTGGAGAAGCACAATTTGTACCGAAGGGGGCTCACATCCCCTTGAAGACTCTGCGACTGAATGTGAGGCACCTGAATTAGCAGAGTCAGGGACTCCTCGTCCTGAGTACAGTGCAAAGGGGGACACAACGGGCCCCCGCTGTCGGTCTCGGTACAACCCATGGCCCGATCAGACGGGTCGCTGCTGGAGACGTCCCCGGCCACGCGCGCCTCCAGACCGAGGTCTCCCAACGCACGGCCTCTTCCCACAGAAGGTCCCCCGACAAAATCTCCGAATGAAGCACAAGACGAGCCTCCGCCTCCGTCCGCAGAAGAACTCTCCGCGGCGGGACCCGGCTCCTCGCGGACGCCCTCAACCGACGCCGCTCGCTCGGCGAGGTCCCGCTCCTCCGGCCGGCAGACGGGCTCGTCTCCAGCGGTGCACGCTGCGGCCACGGCCGCGTCGTCAGAAGCCCGGGCTCGACACGGACCTACGCCGCCTTCCCGCGCTTCAGGACCGGCCGGGACCGCCTCCTCCTCGCAAGCGGAAGGGGGGGTGGGGCCGTCACTTCCGAGCGCGGCGGCCGACACTTCCGGTTCCGGGGCGGGCTCCGGGCGCGGGGCCGGCAGCGTCACCGGCGGCGTCACCACCGGCAGCGTCACCACCAGCTGCCGGGCGGCCTTGTTGAACCGCGCCTTGCCGCGGCTGTCGTCCACCGGGTATGGGAGCGACAGCCTCAGCCGGTAGTCGGGTTTTCTCGAGTCGAGGCACAGAAGCTTCCCCGTCACCTCCAGCGCCGCCTGCTCGGCCGAGCGCAGCAGCGGTAGCTCGATGGTCACCACCAGCTCCCGGGGCACGGGGCTGGGGGCCGAGTCCCGGGAGCAGCGGTAATCCTGGAGGTCCACGTGGTGGCGCTGCACCACGCTGTAGCGGGGTTCGGTGGGGGCGGGCGGCGGGTCCGCCGCGGGAGGTGCGGGCGCCTGGGGCTGGGGCGCCGCGGCGTCCCCGGCGGCGGCCGGACCGTTGTAAGGGTAGGGGAAGGCCGGGAGCGGGCTCTCCGGCTCCCCCTGGGGCCGGGCCGGGGCGCCCCCGGGCAGGGGCGTGCGCAAGACGGCGGCCTCCGGGGTCCCCTTGTACTTGATCTTCAGGGACTTGGCGTTCCTGTGGTCCAGCTTTACACCGAACTGCTTCTCCACGGCCTCGAGGGCTGTGGCGTCCAGCATCTGGCGGAAGCGCACGTGGCGCCGCGCCAGCGCCAGCGCTTCTGGGTGGAAAACCACGTCGTAGACGGTGTAGCGGGCACCGCGGCCTCCCGCGTACTCGCGGCTGGGCGCCAGGCTGTAGGGCAGGGACCACTGGCTGCCGGACCTTGCTCCCGCGGAGCTCGGCCGACAGCTGGGCGCGCCCACCAGCGCGTTGCTGCAGATGTTCACGAAGCAGCGCCGCGCCCCGTCGAGGCTGGTGCGCAACACGTAGCCTGGCTCCGGGTGCACAAAGCGCACCTCCACTCCGCGCTCACGCTCCAGCGCGGTGATCTCCTCCTCATAGCGCCGCCGATTCTCGGGGTCGTTGAGCTCCGAGGCGTACTCGGCGAACATTCGCCTGAACTCCGGGTCCTGGAAGGCGGAGGTGAGTCGCTGGACCTCCTCTCCGCTCAGGTCTAACTCCTCCAGCCCCGAAGAAGCTGCCGTCTTGGCCATGCCACCCCCTCGGCTCCTTGCTCTAGGACCAAGAGAGAGCAACTCGGGACCGCGTAGGTGGGACACGTACTGGACGTTAGTCGGCGGAGTTCGGTAACTGTCAGAGAATTGAGTTACGCAGCGCAGCGCTTGATGGTTGCCATAGTGACACCACAACACTGGGGTGGAGGGGGCAGGAGGAGCAGAAATGGGAGTGGGATCTTGGAAGTGCTGGGAATAGTCTTAGTTTTCTTCAAACCAACCACCTTACTTTCTGCGTCTGTTAGATTCCGGTGCCATGGTGCAATAACTTCTGCAGAAAACTAACAATTTATAATTTCCAGCATTATGTGCATTTATCTCATTCATGGTTCACACCACTTCTAGATCTGATGTCCATTTCAGACCAGAGAAGTCATTTGACCACATTCACAAAACTGATTCAAACCTAGGCTTTCTGCCTTTTTTTCACTTTGCTAAACTAGTATCTCAATCTTCTGGATATTTCACTATGTATCAAGTTTGCCCTTCTGTACTTGCCCAGGCTGCTCATAATTTAACAGCTGGGAGTAACAACTCTTGTTTGGACAAGAGAGAAGTGCAGGCGATTCATAAATAACCAGTGATTGATAAGCTTTTAGGCATGTGAGGGATGTCTAAAATTGTACCCTTTTCTATTATACCCTTGATGCGCTGCATCTTTGCCAAATTTCTTACTATGTAATATTCTCTTTACCACAAGAGGCTCTTTAGGTTCTTAGGAAGAAAATAGTCTGGAATAGGTAAGCCCCCTTGCCCAAAACAAATGATTTCTTGGCCAAAATTCATGCATAGAGGAACAGCTATTGTTAGGGGAAAAAGGCTGTCCCAAAGCTAATTCCATACAGGCTTTGTGGACTCCACCCCCACCCCAGTGTTAGGGGGAAAAGGCTGCCCCAAAGCAAATTCCATACAGGCTTTGTGGACTCCACCCCCACCCCAGGTCAAAGCCAAAGACACTGGGAACTCCAAATCCCATCACCACTAAAGGGAAGGTGGCTGGGACCTGAGGGTGGGGTTAAGCAGCCAGGTGGATACAAAAGGCAGACATGTGGGCTTTGGGGCTCTCTCCATTTTGGGGCCCTCGGCCAGCTCGCGGCGTCCGTCTAGCTCTGAGAGTGACTTTGGGTTTCCAGGTCGTCGGATCGGGTAGGACGCATTAAAGACTTTATTTCCCTATTTTCTCCCTGAGTTGTACATTTTCCTTATTTCTTTTTCTCTTGTAAATAAACCTTTTATTAACCCTTTTGCGTGTGTCTGTAGTAGAGTATTCATAAGTCCCTTTAAAGCGCGCGGGTGAGGACCCACAGCCAGGAACCCGTTTAATATCGGGGTTGCTCTATAACACTATCTTTAAAGAAACATGAGAGGCGGTTATAAGTAATAATGCTATCATCGTCTACTAACCCCTCGATGCAGACTGTTTGAGGTTCCTCAGCCTTTCACAAGTACTGCATTTGGGGTCTTCAAGTGATGGCAAGGAGACAACCCACGGGAAGTGGAAGTCCAGAGTAAATGGCTACAGACTTAAGCAAGTGAAACAGTTGTGATAGAACAGGACAACTCCTAACGCATCACTGAAAAAAGACTCATGAAATGATACAGTGGAATTTACTGTTCTATGAACTTGTAATATCTCAACCACTAATGACCTCACTCCTTAGTTTATAAAAGGTTTGGAAAATTCTCTTGTATAGCTTTAGTCCCTTGGAGTAAGGGGGATTACTGTTCAGTAAAAAAGTGCAGGAAAGACTGGCCCTAGTCAAATAACCTAGAGTCAACTTAGCCATGATCCTTACCAGTGTTGTGACCTTGGGCAACTGATTTACCTCCCTGAACCTGTTCTTCTGATGTATAAATTAAAGGCAATGTGAACCTAATAGGGATTAAGTTGCACAGTGAATAGGCATTTAGCACAGCGCTTACCATAGTAAGTATTTAAGACATGTATTAAATAAGTAGAGCAGTGGTTTATAAGACTTATGCCAGCCCCCACCTCCTTTTTACTCAGAAGACCTGTCTAAATTCAAAGCCCAAGTATAAGAACAATAAAAGAGCTTCACTGGCTGAATATGGTAGGTAGGGGTCTTGGAAGTGAGATCAGTCGTGCTTCACTTATTAAATACCAAGTTGGAAGCATATACTCTCTTGCTTTTCCCCAAAGCAGAAGCCCAGGACACCCTTTTGGTGATGCTCTTCTGATGCCCCTCTTATAATTGTGTTAACTTCTCATTTTCTGATCTTTCCCTGGTTCTGGTTCCTGTTATTCTAAATACTGACCACTAGGTTTTGGCAACTTACCTCTTCTTACCTTACTTGCTTCATCTCACTTCACCTTGTCTAACACCTAAAAGTACTTTCTTTTTAGCCATTAACTCTGTTTCTGAAGATTTCAAAAACTCATCTTTAAAAAAAAAAAAGGTTTATGCATGCATAGAAAGAACTGGAATGTAGGCCAGAGATTGGGAGGTTGGGTGGATTCACCAGAGAGAGAATGGGGAGCAGAACAGGCAGATTTACTGAAATACACTGTTAGGAAGCAGCGGGTAAGAGAGGAGAGGTCAGCTGTGCCATATATGGGTCAGATCCCTGGCCAGGGATTGAACTCAGGCCACAGTTGTGATAGGGTGACAGTGAGATAGCTGAGACTTAACCTCTACTCCACCAGGGAGGCCCTCAAAAACACATCTTTAATTATAAAAGCAATTATTTGTTGAATGAATGAGTGGATGCTTTGTATACAATTTCCATTGATAGCTTCCTAACATTCCTTCATATTTAGCTGTGTGGTTTTCATAAACTGGGCCAACAACTTTCCATGTCTGTTCACTACCATTTTCAAGCAAGGCCCAAACTAAAATTGTCTAAGCAACCTAGCAGCTTTTGAATGTATATGTTGACTTCATACTTAACTTCAGTTTTTCCAGGTTGTTCTTGAAATTAACGCCAATTAATGTTGCTCTTCCAACAAATTTTCCATCTTCAAACCACATGTCAGATTACCACTTCATCCTTAACTGCTAATTCACTTACTACATTCAGATTCAATTTCCTTAAGGAATTTCCACATTACTATGTCATTTTTATTGTCTCCCAAAGAATTTTATTTGACAATGTCCTGCATTACAGACTCCCCTATATTTGAAAAACTCTTCATACCTCATCCAACAACTTGCTATTGTTTAGATTCATTTCTGGGCTATTTCAGTGCCAGAAACTAAAGGTCAATAAGGGAGTGATGCTGAGTGATTACACACAAAATAGCAAAACATATTGCTTCAAAGTAAAAGACCAAAAAGATTACGCAGAAACTATTTTTCTTTTTTTTTTTTTTTTTTTAAAGATTTATTTATTTATTTATTTATTTATTTATTTATACAAGCACTGGGTACAGTCAGAAGTGTGGGAGGGTGAGAGAATTCACCAGAGCCAGAGCAGGGAGCAGAGCAGGCAGAAGGACTGAAGTACACTGCTGAGGGGAGCAGCGGGCGGCAGGAGAGGTCTGCGCGCCATGTGGGACCCTCCTCCAGTGGCCGGGGAGCAGCCGGGGATCGAACCGCCACTGCAGAGGCTGCAGGCAGCTTCGCAACCCAGCGCTCAACCGCTGTGCCACCGGGGAGGCCCAGAAACTATTTTTCTTATAAAACTTTGTAAAGTGTACCATCATCATGGTTGCTAATACCAAAATTTCATAAAATACAAATTTAAGTACAACGTTCTAAGGTGTACTATAATTTTATTGTAACTTAATATCAAAACTACATAAAATACAAGATTAAGAAGAAAATTTACTGCAGATGGTCTGGAAGGCTCAAAACCCTTGAAGTTTGCTGAAAACAAAATATTAATAAAATTAAACATTTTGGAAACCTAAGTTTTTGCATGTTTCTTAACATTTACTTTTAGCTGAATAATTTTAAAAATAGGTCAGTACATGCACATTATCCCACATTCCATTTCTGCTCTCCATAAGCAACTGCATATAACTATAAAGGCAGTCTAGTCATAGATAAGCAAGTAGGAGAGGGAGATGTCCTTTAACAACACTCACACATGGTAGAATACTATGAATGCAATTCATTTCTATTGAAAATAAATATATATTAACCAATGTTAACCTTCAGTTATAAAAAAAGTACATTACGTTTATAATCCCTTCATTTTAAGTTAGAAAAGCTGCAAGTGTATACATTTAAATGGAAATACATTTAAAATGTTTCTTTTGATATTACATAAGCTACAATAGAAATAGCTATAACTACTTTTATGCATAAGCTCAAATATACCTGTAAGGTAAATTCCTAGAAATGGAATTGCTGGTATATGCAGTTGAGGTCTTAAGAAATCATGTCAAATTGTTCTTGTTTTCACCATTTTTTTATTCTGATCAACTATGTGTGAGAATGGTTATCTCTCCACTATATTACCAATACTTGTTTTAAGATAAAACAAACCTGTTTGAGAGTACATGTTGAAACAGTTAACTTTATCTACTTTGACTATATGTGATTAATTCTACAATGTGATTTCACAATATTCTCACAAAGATTTCTTTTTAAGAAAAACTAGCAACAGACCAAATTATTTTACTATGCCCTGAAGTATTTTTGTTCTCTTAAAAAATAAATATCGGGCCTCCCCGGTGGCGCAGTGGTTGAGCGCTGGGTTGCGAAGCTACCCACAACCTCTGCAGCGCCGGTTCTATCCCCGGCCGCCGGGCGAGGGTCCTACATGGCATGCAGACCTCTCCTGCCGCCCACTGCTCCCCTCAGCAGTATACTTTGTCCGTCTGCCTGTTCTGCTCCCTGCTCTGGCTCTAGTGAATTCGCTCATCCTCCCACACTTCTGACTGTACCCAATGCTTGTATAAATAAATAAATCTTTAAAAAAAAAAAGATAATTGACATATAACTGCATAAATCTAAAAATAAATAAATAAATTTCAAATTATTTGATCCAGTATTTAAAGAGGATACATTGTCAGTACCAAATTACAGTTTGGAAATCATGTAAAAGCTTTGCAACATCTGAATCCAGAGAAGATAATGGAATCCACAATTCGACAGTAAGCATCAAATACAAGTCAAGTACTATGCTAGAAACTTCTAAAAGGGACATGCACTTAAGTGACTTCTAATGTATTAAGAGCTGTTTTAGAAATCTGTATAAAGGCCTTAGAAAACAGGTCTGCAAGGAACATTACAAGAAATATAACAAGTGTTGCTATAATAAATCAATTTCCTATTGTGATTTATTAGCTCCAAACTCCTGTTTTATTTATTTATTTTTTAAAAAGATTATTTATTTATTTATTTATTTAATTTATTTATTTATACAAGCACTGGGGTACAGTCAGAAGTGCGGGAGGGTGAGAGAATGAGCCAGAGCCAGAGCGGGGAGCAGAGCAGGAAGGACTGAAGTACACTGCTGAGGGGAGCAGCAGGCGGCAGGGGAGGTCTGCACGCCATGTGGGGCCCTCCTCTGGTGGCAGGGGAGCAGCTGGGGATCGAACCAGTGCTGCAGAGGCTGCAGGCAGCTTCGCAACCCAGCGCTCAACTGCTGAGCCACCGGGGAGGCCCCAAACTCCTGTTCTAAAGAAAGAATAATATGGTTTGCAGAGAATAGATACTTTTATAAAGAACAGATAAAAGTAAATACGTGAGGAGGATCGGTAAGTAGAAAGTATAGGTAAAAAAAGATGAAGTCAGTGATGAGATGAAATGTTTTTGCTCTGCAGCTATAGAAATGGGCTACACATTTTGGCCATGCTTCCTAGTAGCTAAAGGAACCTGTTAGATGCATGGTTCCCCTAAGATAAAAATAATTAGTTGCTTGGGAGAGACAAGGATTTCTATTGTCTAGAGACCTGTTGAAAGTTCCCAGTACTGATTTTTTTTTTAACAGTAAGTTTTTAACAAACCTCAGTTCAGTAAAAGTACATCTAAGACAAAATATGCTCAGAGTTGACTTAGTCCTAGGGTAACAATATCAAAAATCTCTCAGGGGTATCAACAGGGAGTGGTGAGACTGGAGAAGAGCTTGCCCCACCTAAGGGCATTCCAAAAGTTCTTTAGTTTTGCTATTTTTTAGGATTCAGTATGAGACTGGTAAAGTGAAACACATGTTATGCTTAGGAAATACAGGCTAGAATATCTGATTATGTATAAGGGCATCTGATTGGTCATATTTCAAAAGTTAGGCTGTACCTGGAATACATAAAAATCAAACTATGTGTTCAATGAGTGAGTCCAAGAATATTTAATTTAGAATGTCTAATGGATTTCAGTCCTCATGACTCTTGAACAGCAAGAATAATGCATTTTTCCCCCCAGAATTATAAGAAACTGCTCATTATAATTTCAGGGTTAGGAAGCAGAGGTATTTTTCCTTTTCAATTTCATTCTTTTAAGCATTGCTTGAATTTTCTTTGTCATATACTTGTGTTCATTTCTATTTGAATAAACATTATAATTGCAAAAATTAGTTCTACAGAACAACTTATTTTTAGCAGTATAAAACCAACAGAAAGCTTCTTGCTGTTTTTATGGACACTTACCTATCTTCTATTGTCTTACTGGAAGGATAAAAAACCTTGAATGAAAATCCACTTCTTGGAAAAGAGCCCTTGGGGAGAAAAATGAATAAATACTCAAACTTTTAATAAAAGAATCGCTGTTTTTTAAATCAAGTTCCTTGGTCATAAACTTATAAGATGTGACTATAATATACAGAGAGAGATTTTTGCATGACATTTACAGACAAGAAAGTACTACTATAAAATAACTACTTGAAGCAAAAGTCAAGTTGGCTACACAATCTTAATGCTTGGGAATGGCTCAATTTAGTATTGAAAAGTACTATATGGTGCTAAACATACATAAAAGACACTCAAAACATGATGTTCAAAATTTGGATGCAATTTTATGGTTCTGCATCAAAATGAAATAATGTTTCCCAATAAGAACTGCATCATTCATCCAGTTTAGATCTTGGGACTTGGGCAATTCTCAAAAATTAAATCCCCTGCATAGGACAAGCACAATTAATATGGTTAAAGAGAATGGGATACAAGCTCTGAAAGCAATTCTCAGAAAGGAATCCCAAGGTAAGTTACTTTGAAGAGGAAAATACTCATTTGGATTTATAAACTTATGGTGTTTTATTTTTAGGAAAAATTCAACGACTTTAGAGTCTTTTGCTATATTCAAAGTTTGAGAATTCTCTATCAAGTTAATGCAGGTTTCATTAATAGTATATTTGTACTCAAACAGTAATTTTACTAAGCATACATTTTAAATTTAAAGAAATAACAACACTATTGGTAAATTATACTATAAATTTAAACTGTATTCTTACAGGATTTATGCAGAGGCATTCAGTATTGGTCAAAGAGAAAGGGTCATATTTGTCTGCGATGACAAGTAGATCAGGCACAGGATACACTCTCAAAGTATAGTCATATGCCCAGTACACTGGGCAGACATAAAGAGGTAGAGGAGTCAGGTGTCCTTGGGATAAGATAGTCTTTACAAACTACAAAAGAATGATACAAAACAAACCAGTTCATTTGTGAAAGTTAAAATGAATAACATAATTTCAAATTAAATATTACCAAAAGGACTTAGAAATTTGGTGAAATGATTAGGAAAACTTTGAATCACAGAGCTTTCAGAAACATTGATACAGGATGAAATTATTGTGTATTTTAGGGGGAAATCTATTCCTCTAATCATATTGGAGCAATTATGCTTATGGTTATATAATAAATTCATTTACCATTTCTGTTCATCTAAAAAAGAATTCCATAGCTTAACAGTGCCAAGAAAAGTCACTTAGCCTACATATCCTTAAGTATCAAAATAAATACTGAAAATGCTCTTTAAGGTCTACTTCCATGCTTTTCAAATGGGGACACATGTAATCAGGAATAGACAGCTAGCCGGGAACCTAAAGGATAAACACTATACATCCTTCTGACGTGGAAATGGTATCAGGAATATTTAATATGGGGGCCTCCCCGGCGGCGCAGCGGTTGAGCGCTGGGCTGCAAAGCTGCCCGCAGCCTCTGCAGCACTGGTTCGATCCCCGGCCGCTGGGCGAGGGTCCCACATGGCGCACAGACCTCCCCTGCCACCTGCTGCTCCCCTCAGCAGTGTACTTTAGTCTGCCTGCTCTGCTCCCCGCTCTGGCTCTGGTGAATTCTCTAACCCTCCTGCGCTTCTGACTGTACCCAGTGCTTGTATAAATAAATAAATAAATCTTTAAAAAAAAAAAAAAAAGAAATATTTAATACGATGGATTTGCTCCTGGGTCAAAAACACGAGCAGGCCAGCTACTGCAGCATCAAGACAGTGGCTGGAGGGTATTCACAAATAGTATTACAGTGCTGCACGATTCAATAAACTCGGGTTAATAAGAGATGATACAACATAGGAGGATGAAGATGTAAAAGACATAAAAGACTTCCTGAGAACCTTTATGACAGAATGTTTTGAATTAAGTGAACACTGGATCTGACCACTGGGCAGCAAATCTTGTCTAAAGAATAGTGAACAGAATATGAGGAGGATAAATTCTACTTTTAAAAACCACAGCTGAAAAAGGTTATTCAGGAATGAGAGAGAATGGGCAAAGAAATAATCCTGTAGTCAAAATCTGTGGCTGCACCTGTCCTCAAAGTATTTTTATGAAGGTGGCTAAATATACAATTTAGAACTTATTTGACATTCCTTATGTAAATGTATTACTTTAAATCTGTTATTATTGGAAGAAAAATATAGATACTAACATTTATTAAAACAAGCATAGCTATATTGTGAAGTATAATGTGATATTTGTGCATTTTAAAGGCAAAACAGGAAGCTTCAAAGAAATTTCAGCTGTTCTGGACTTTCTTCTGCCTCATACAGGATACTTCAAAGTTGAAAAACACTGATGTAGTAAATTAACTTATGGACAAAAGTAATTCAAGTTATTTTAAACCATAAATAAACATTTAAAAAGGGCAAATTTTCAAGTGGCATAACAAAATTTTATATAATGCAATATGTGAAATACTTTTTTTTTTTAAACGTGAGATACTTTAAGTAAGAAAACGTGGCTTACATGATTAGGAATATCCCAGTTTCTACTAGGAAAACGGACACAGTTCCTGCACATTTTATTCACCAAGTCTTCACGAAAGACAATAATTTCTTGTGTACAATACTGAATTCTGAAATGAAAACAGTAGTTGAATTCAACTTCCTTATAAAAAACTGAGATAATTTTGAAAGATTTTTTTTAAATAAATTTTATTTTTATGTTCCCCATACAATTGCAACCCCCTTATTTTGACCCCAATCACTCCCCTCCCCGCCCTCCACCCCCCATAGAGTGTCTCTGGTTCATAGTTTTTGCTGATTGTGATTTTCACTTTCTTATAGTTATTCATTTTCCTGGTCCCTTATTTAAGTTTTCTAGATTCCTGCTATGAGTGAGACCATCCGGTATTTTTCTGGCCCGAAAGTAAGATATTTTATAATACAAAGTCATTCCCAATTTTTGTTACTTCAGCAAAAATTTGACCAGAATTTATCTACTGAACCATTCATTTCACAGTAATTTAATAAACTCTAAGTATGTGTCCAGCACTATTCTAGGGATGAATGAACAAAACAAAAAGATCTCAAAACTTCTGCATTCTAGTGGGGAGATGGTAGGCAGAGAAAATTGTAAGACAATTATATAATACGTTTACAGTTGATTAAATGGGAAGAAGGAAAAAGATTAACAGGGATCAACTTGTGGGCAGAGGTCTAGAAGGCTAAATTAAGTATTAAATAGGATGATGGGAGGCTCATCATGAAGTGTGATCTGAGCACAAACTTGGAGGTGAGAGTCAAGCAGATATACAGAGGAACTTCACAGACTCAAGCAGAGGGAACAGATGGGAGAGGCCCTAGGCTGGAGCATGCGTGGTGTATTTGAGGAAGAGAAAGTGGTTGAGTGGTTGGAATAAATAAAGGAGGTGGAAGTAGAAGGAGAGGAAATAAGAGGGAATAGAGTCAGGTCATGCCAGAACTTGGACAGAAATGATATGGGCTGTTTCCAAATGACAGGATCAGTAAGGAGATGTGACACCCTGGTAAATTCTTTTTTTTAAAGATTTATTTATTTATTTATAAAAGCACCGGGTACAGTCAGAAGCGTGGGAGGGCGAGAGAATTCACCAGAGCCAGAGCGGAGAGCAGAACAGGCAGACTGACGAAGTACACTGCTGAGGGGAGCAGTGGGCGGCAGGAGAGGTCTGCGTGCCATGTGGGACCCTGCCCGGTGGCCGGGGATCGAACCAGTGCTACAGAGGCTGCGGGCAGCTTTGCAGCCCATCGCTCAACCGCTGGGCCACTGGGGAGGCCTCTGTGACACCTTGTTTTAAAGGATCACACTGACAACATTAAGAACAGACTATAAAGGGGAAGGGGTAGAAGCAAGAGATCAATTAAGAGGCTTTTACAGTGATCCAGGATAAAGAAGATGGTAGAGACTCATAGAAGTAGGGGTGTAGAGAGGTGGCCAGATTCTGGATATATTGAAGTACTGCTTGAAAACCTGCAGGTTAGGAAAACCCCAAAGTTTTTGGCTTGAGCAGCTAGAATGATAAAGGAGCCACAAACTAAAATTGAGGACGTCTACAGAATAGGTAAGGGATGGAGGGGGAGGTCAGAAGTTCAGTTTCAAGTTGTCTATCACACATCCAAGGGCAGGTGATGCATAGACCATTGGATATGTGAGTCTGGAATTCAGGCAAAAGATCTGAGCTGGAGGGGCCTCCCTGGTGGCGCAGCAGGTTGAGTGCAGCGCTGTGAAGCTGTCCGTAGCCTCTGTAGCGCTGGTTCAATTCCTGGTGGCCAGGGAGATTCCCACATGGCGAGATAGACCTCTCCTGTCTCGCCTGCTGCTCCCCTCAGCAGTGTACTTTGGTACTTCTGCCTGTTCTGCTCCCTGCTGTCTCTAGTGAATTCTCTCACCCTCCTGCACCTCTGGCCTGTACCCCAGTGCTTGTATAAATAAATAAATCTTTAAAAAAAAAAAAAAAAGATCTGAGCTGGAGATACAAATGTGAAGTTGTCAATACATAGGCGGTATATAAAGCATGGGACTAGCTAAGGTCACCAAGGGGTGAATGTAGGCAGAAAAGAAAGAACACCAAGGACTAGGGGTGTTCTCCCAGGAGGAGCCCTATGATTATAGTGAGTACCACAACAGAGTAAAGGTATGACCTTTTCATTCCCATTGTAACTTTTCTTAAAGGATGTGTAATGAGAGTATCTGTTTTAAAATCTGCATTTAAGTTTCTAACTTCAATATTAGGACATTATTTAAATATAGTTAAATATTTTCAGTTTTAAAAAACTTGAAATCTTTTTATTAGTTATCCCAATATAGTCAAAATTGAGAGATAAAGTTTAAGACTCAAGCTAATTTTTAAATCAAAGAGGAATAGGCATAAAATAAAACACTAATGTTTACCTGCAGGGATTCGTAGTAAAAACTGAAAATGGTACTCGTTGTTTGAATTCATTAGTGATGCATTCAGCAAGTGGTGGCCTACAAAAGCAATTTATGCGATTAAATATATATTTCAAATTTAACAAATATCCTATACTGTTGTCAAATTTGAAATAAATCTTACCTCGGTAGGATAGAACCAAATCCAGGATCCTCTGGGCCAGGTACAAACACAAAACGACTGCTGTAGCAAAATTCAAAATAACTATTACAAAAATATTGCAACATGACCCCATCTAAAAACTATTTATAGCCTTGAATTCATCATGTTTTTTAAGTTTAAAATTTGTAATTCATTTTAGTAAATGAACTATTAAAAGTCCCCAACACTTTCCAGTAAGTCTTTTTGTGAGGGACATGTTCTGTGTCTGCACTGTCCACACATACAGTGCTTGAACTTTCTAGTGTGAGTCATGGACTGAGCATTAAATTTTATTTAACTTTAAATATCTTAAATTTAAAGAGACACATGTGGCTGGTGACCATCATATTGAAGAGTGCTGCTCTCAAACCTTAGAGTAATGCACTAAGAAGTTAAAAACATGGGGCCTCTCAGGTGGCGCAGGGGTTAAAGACAGTGCTATCAAGCTATCACCAGACACTGCAGCACAAGTTTGATCCCCAGCTAGCCAGAGAGCAACCCACATGGCACAGCAGACCTCTCCTGCCTGACCTGCTGCTCCCCACAGCAGTGTATTTCAGTAAATCTGCCTGTTCTGCTTCTCACTCTCTGGTGAATCCTCTCACCCCCTGTACCTCTGGCTTACACCACAGTTCTTGTATGCATAAATAAATAAATCTTTAAAAAAAAAAAAGTTAAAAACATGGTTGAGATTGTCACTGTTCCTTTTAATACTTTCACTATATATCTCTAGTACAGTATAACAAACACTATCGTGACATGAGGACAATTTTATCTCTTAACTATGCTAATTTCCCCAAGCTTTTCTTCCATTCATTTCTTGATAATCATTGGCAAACCTATAAGGTAGGATTCATTTTTAATTTTTTTTACACACTGTTTAAATAAAAAATATAGCAGTAGAAATCATTACCTTTGGTGAATACTTGGATATTCACATATTATGTCTGCCAAAGATTTTAGGGAATCTATAATTTTAAAGGAATATTAAATTTATTTTGCATATATTGCATATAAAATCAGCTTACATTTGATTACCTATAACTCTACATCTTTTGAAAGAAATTAAAACTTTTTTTATATTTAATTTTTTTAGCATTTTAGTTCATATCAATATAGAAACACTTATTAAATAGATACTAATACCTTTCAAAGCCTTAACTTGATTTTTTCCATATGGTGCAGATGAGAAATTACCACACAGTATAAAGCAGGTTGGAGGTGCTGGTGAGTAACCTAAAAATAAAAGAATAAACATCTAGAAATGAAGTCAAAACTCCCTTAACCATGAGTTTTTAATAATACAAACTTACTATTTTAATGTTACCTTATTATAAAACAAACAATAGTAATACTAGCTCTCATTTTAGTAGTTATGTGCCATGTCCAGCAATAACTTAATTAATCCTCACAACATCCCTATAAATGGAGAGATTATGATGCTATAACTTACAAAGACTCTATTAGACGGCAAAGACCCAAGTTCTTATCCACTCTAATAGTATACTTAGTAATAATCTTATTTATAAACACACAGACACATACATGCACACTTTTTTCAAATGTAAATATTTGTCTTTAAGATGAACTTTTATTTAAACTATCTTACTGCTAAAAAAAATCTTACTGCTGAATCAACATTAGAGAAAATACTCAAAAAGATACACTTTTCAAAAGAATTGAATTTTAAGACATAAATCCTTGTAAGGATTCAAAAAACAATAGAAAAAATGATAACCTACCAGAAAACATGGTGTGAAGTTTTTCTAGTACTTCTACTCGGTCCAACCAAACATCAGATATAAACACAAACATAGCATCTTTATTCTCATCTTCTAGTTGTTTCAGTTTTGTAGAAGTCTTCACAGACGTATTAGAAGGTCCTCCAAAAAAATTAATATTTCCATAGTATGCCCTAGTAATTATAAGACAATTATTACCTTCTATCCTATATTCTGTTGGAGACAGATTTCTTTCTGTGATGCTGAGGTTTATGTTCAGGTATATACTTAATGAAGTTGCCATACAATTATATTAACTACTGCATTCCTTTCATAACTACAGGGTTATAGCAGTAAAATCATACTTTTGAAAATGCCACGCTGTTGGTGGCAACATGAAGAATGACAGCTTCCACACATGAGTGCTTACAAAGCAAACCCTGTGCGCTGAGGACTTTCTGCACATTACTCTCTTAGCCCTGGTACAGTAGGTATGGGACTATCATTTGAGGAGAGTTAAAGGGGGTTGAATAATTTGTTGGAAGTCACAAATTTGTTGGGAGCAGAAATGTGTTTTGTTCCCAAGATTTCTGACTTCAGTCATGCTGCATTAGAAAAGTAGTTGAGTGGGGCCTCCCCTGGTGGCTCAGCGGTTGAGCGCTGGGCTGCGAGGCTGCCAGCAGCCTCTGCAGCACTGGTTCGTTCCCCGACTGCCGGCAAGGGTCCCACAAAAAAAAAAAAAAAGAAAGAAAAGTAGTTGAGTGACTCAGCTTGTTTTTTGTAATTGCAAAAACAAATTAGAAAACATAAAGGCACAAAAAGGGAGTATAACCTATGATTCCAAACATATATAAAAACTATTAAAGATATTTTATAAACAAATATGAATGTAAATAAATATGTATATGATTCTCAATATCCACAGATTTCTATGTTACCCCAAAAGCAATATTCAGAGTGCTTTAGTGGTCATTGCAGACATGCAGAGAACAGGGAAAGATGTGTAAGCCCCACAGGCAATCAGCTGAGCAGAAACTTGCTGAGCAGGAAGGCAGAAGACAGTCTGCCTTCCAGTTTCAACATCATGTGGAGAGAGACAAAGCAGGAGCTGCCTGGGAACAATGCGAGAAGCTGAGTCACTGAGACTCCTGGCAAGTTTGCAAATCTAGCACTGGTACCCATTAGTGGGACAGTCATTCTTCATACTTTTGAGCCTAATGTTTACTCTTTTGTGAAATAAAGAAAACTAGAATATACTAGGCTGAGTTTATTTTTTTTAAGGATTTAAGATGATAATATATGAGAGACAGGTATATATATGGTTCAGTGTTCCCTAATGCAGTATTTACAATAATGTTCTAGAACGTAACAACTATAACAAGAACTGACTCTAACATCAACTTTAATGCATTAATACACAGATCTATATTCTTTTTGACAATACAGATAAAGTAAGACAGGCAGATTGAATATCTTTCCCTGTTAAAGTCATAGTACAGAGATGCTATTACAAGTAACCTGGAGTCAATCTTCTAGTTTTCTGTTACATATGAAGTCTAGCCTAACTCTCATTTTCCATTACTCTTTGAATGCTGACACAAAGACTACAGTCTTGTTGTAAGTAAGCTATGACAGATATACTTTACATTTATTATTGCCCATATTACAAAATTCTTACGAAATTTAAGTCAAATGTTCTTATACCTGGTAGTACTAGAGGGTTCAGTGGGTGGAAATCCAAAGGCATTGACATGAAATATTTGATCTTCAAACCAACCTGAAAAAAGATAAGTAGCATATCACTTTTATCTTGCTTGAAAGGGCAAAACTACAGAACACAAAAAGAACACAAAACAGTAACACTAGGCTACTGTTTCAGTCCTTGTCAACTAACTATAGAAGTTAATGCCTAAGAAATCAATTCCACTGAGCTACATAACAGCTTCAGATCCAGAAATGAAAAAATAATAAAAAGAAGTACGTTCACAAGTGAAACTTCACTTTTTAATTTCACAGTATGCGTTAGAGTACAGAGAGATAAGGAATACAGATAGGGAAATATTTCATTTTATGACCCTAAGTAAAATCTGGGTTGTTTATTTTTTCAACTTTATTGTGATACAATTCAAATACCATCCAATTTACCCTTCAAAAATGTACAATTCTGGGCCTCTCTGGTGGTGCAGGAGTTAAATTCTCAGTACTATCAAGCTATCGCCAACCACTGACAACTGTGTTCAATCCCAGCCAGGGAGCTAACCCACATGGTGCAGCAGACCTCTCCTATCTCGCCCACTGCGCCCCTCAGCAGTGTATTTTAGCAGATCTGCTCCCCACTGTCTCTAGTGAATCCTCTCATCCCCCAGCACCTCTGGCCTACACCCCAGTTCTTATATGCATAATTTTAAAAAAATCTTAAAAAAAAATGTACAATTCATGGTTTTTGAGTATATTCACAATTTGTGCAACACTAATTTCAGAATATTTCATCACCCCCCCCTTAAGAAAACCCATGCTCTTTAGCAGAGCAAGTTACTTATATTGTCAAAAATATGCTCTCATAGTGAAGGTTCTCCCAAATTATATCACATTGACATTTTAATCAATGTCAAAATGATTTTAGCATCAAATAATGAGGTGAAATGGGAAAAAAATATACTGACTTACCTTCTGCTAAGACAAAGCATGACTCTGTATATAAACCACTATGGAACTGGTACACAACAGTTAAGAGAAATAATCTAGTTCCATGACTGAGACAGTGAAAGTCAATGTACATTTTGGGCCCAACAGGACTCTAAATAACAAATCTGTTCACATTTGAAACTGTGAATAGACCATCGTTTAAAAGTTTTACGATTAAATGTCCCCATGTCTGATTCTAAGGCATAGTCTGGTAATAGTGAGAGTATAGATCATTCTTAGCATATTATAATAAACTTCCATAATGATTTGCCTAGATTCTCCAGAATCTCCAGGGGAAATTAAAGTTGCCCCTATTAGAACTATGGCTCTAAATCCCTATACCACTGCTAGATAGAAGTTATAATGGAAACTCAAACAGTTATATTTGAGAATGATATAACCATTTCCCCAATCATGTACATATTTTTTAAAAAGTAAAGGATATAGCTTTACTAAGATCCAGTTGTACTGTTCCTGTAGGGTCTTCCAGATAAAATTTGCCCTAAAAAAAAAAAAATCAAAGGAAACATACCCACCTTTGTGTAAAAATTAATACTATGACAAAAATAACTGAAATATTGATGATTGTGACAACAGAATGTAGTAGAGTACAGTGAATTTTTTTTAAAGCAGCAATTCCTTGTCTATGTCTTCTCATTTACTAGCCTGATGACTTCAGACTAATTACTAAATTTGGACTCAGACTCCTCATAGGTACTCAGGAAATGACTGCTAGAGACAAAAAGATGGCAAGAGAGACACTTGCTGGCTGCCAAAAAAGTGCCCCTCCAGGCATCTTCATATAAGAGAGTAAAGAGTATCTCCAATGGACCAGGAGGTGGTTTGCAACTTTTCTTGTTCAGAAAGTCAGTACTCTCAGATAAACCACAGGTCACTGGTGGAATAATCCCAGGCTATACAAACTACTTGTCTGTATAAGGTGTTCCTTCCTGATGTCAACTCAGGGAAAAGAATAGAGATGAAAAGGTGACTTAGGACTGAGGAAGGGGCCTTCAATGAAGAATATGTTCCTGTTCCTTTGGTAGAAATGCTATATGTACCCAACATTTCATCAATCGGAAGGGTGAAATAAAAGTTTGATGTTAAGTTTAACTTACCTCCTTTAACTGAGTTATCATTCCAAGAACAATCACATCTCCAATTTTGGTTGTACTGCCCAATAAGGTTTCTATTGTTTTAAGCTATAATAAAAAAAAAAATAATTCTTAGAGATTGAAACTAGCTTCTTTTTAGAAAATAAGCCTTTAAAAGTAAATTTTGAGTACATATTTTAGTGTTTACATCTACTTTCTGGTCAAAAATGAAATAAACTTAGAAATTATAATTTTGTTCTACACAAGCCTAAAATAGCAATTCTATCATGGCTTGGAAGAATTTTACAAAAAGAAACATTCTAAAAAAAATGTTGACCATGTCAATTCAAACCTAACCAGTGACTGATATTTCATACATATTATTTTATATAATGATAAGAACATTTATTGCTAAGTTTGTAGAACCCAGGGCATGGACCTTATCAACAGTGGACATGCACAGGTCAGTAAGCTAAATAAACAGTAAAATGAGTCAGTGGTTAGTTTTCATTTAAAATTCAATAAATTAGGGCCTCCCTGGTGTCCTAGGGTTAAGTCTCATCGCTATCACTGCTGCTGCCTGAGTTCAATCCCTGGCCAGGGAACTAAGTTACCACATATGGCACAGAAGACCTCTTTTGTCTCATCCACTGCTCCCCTTAGCAGTGTATTTCAGTAAATCTGCCTGTTCTGCTGCCTCTGGTGAATCCTCTCACTGACTACACCTCTGGCCTACACCCCAGCAACTCTATACTAAATAAGTAAATAATAAAAAGTTCAATTAATTAGAATTAGGCAATAAATTTTAACTTTATATAGTTACATCTTCAAATAATTAGGATAAGTTCTAACCTGGAATTTGTTTCCACTTTCATCAGGGTGAGAACCTATCACTGGAGGAGTAAATAATTCATGTCTGTGTGTCCGCTATAAAAAAGAAAGATTCATATGAATTACTAAAGCAGATATTTAAATGGAAGATATATTAGTACTCTGATTTAATACTTAGTCCTTAAACTAATGTTAATATTATATAGTCTCAACAACTTTGAAAATCCACATAATTTAATGTAAAGGTATCTAGAAATGTAATTTTGAAAATGAAAAAAAAATTTAAACAAAGACCTATTGTGTACCTGGCAGCAGCATAATGTGGGCTGAGGATATAACAAACCAAGTTGTCATCCTTGGAGCACAAGTGCTAGTGAGAAGTGTTACCAGGCCACAAATAATAAAGGACCCTGGGCAAAGGGACCATTCAATGAGATCCTAAATGGTAAATAAGACTTTGATGTAAGAAACAAAAGGAGGCTGGGTCTCCCTGGTGGCGCAGCAGGTTGAGGGCAGTGCTGCGAAGCTGTCCTCAGCCTCTGCAGTGCAGGTTAGATTCCCAGCCGGCAGGGAGACACCCACACGGCTCGGCAGACCTCTCCTACCTTGCCTGCTGCTCCCCTCAGCACTGCCCTTGGTCCTGTTCTGCTGCCCTCTCTGTGTCTGTGAATCCTCTCACCCTCCCGTGCCTCCGGTCTATACCTCAGCTCTTGTATAAATAAATAAGATCTTTGGGAAAAAAAAAAAAAAAAAAAAAAAAGACAACTGGATTTTGCTTTGGTTTAGAAACAAAAGGAGGCTGAAACAAGAAAAAGATAAAACGTGATAAAAAAGTGTTTAGGAAGTGAGATGCAGTTTAGTACAGCTGGAACATGAGCTGCACAAGACAGAATGTCAGACAAGGTAAGAGATTACTTGGGGTATCTATTTGGAGAACCATCCCTCCCCTACTACGGGACCACCTATTTAAGGAAGGTTAGTGTCCCACCCTCCTCTACAAAAAGGCAACCAATTCCTAGTTATTGCTAGTCTTTTAACAGTTGCAGGTCTAGCTTCATTCTGGGAAAAAGAAAAAAAATTGAGCAATTGGTTGAGTTTGGAGATTTTACAAGTTGAAGATAGAAGACCAAACTGCATTTTCACCATATTTTGCTGTCTTCCTTCTGTAAAGGGAAGAATGAGTATCAAGCTTGTGAAAAGTTGCATAAAGTTTACGATCACAATGCTCTACAAGAACGTTAGTGCCTACGGGGATTCATGAAATTCTGGGCTGGAGATTTTGATCTCAACAATGTCTTACCTGAGCTGAAACAATTTCTTTATTGTCTCTCAACTAACCTGGTGCAAAATGGTGTATCGTTCACGAAATAACTCTGCTTTATCTCGGGCTGTTCCAAATAAACTTGGTGCAGGGTGGTTGGTCATTGAAAGACTGGGGGAAAAAATGCCCACTTATGACTATCATAATAAGGAATGGCAGGGTAAAAACAAAACATACTATATTCTCTGAAAAAGAAATAGCACTTCTGCATTTCACAATATATGTAAATCTAACTACCTTGCTATATGTTTTGAACTTGGAGTATGTATACTGATTATTTCTCATTACAATTGGAATAAAATTTTTAATGCATATGTGAAATTAGCTTAAAATCAAGTTGGTATACTTACGGGAGAAATTTTTTTCTTTCTGAATTGTACACAAAGCGTGGAATATCAAAGGCTCCAATGATATTGAAAATATGTTCTCTGAAAAACATCCCACAAAAACACAAACTTGACTTACTAAAACACAAGTACTTTAGGTGAACATGAAAACTTGCATTATAATCTTATACACGCATACTATCCACAGGTCATGCATATAATTTCTTACAGTGCCATAATATGGGGGTAAAATTTTCCTTTCAAGAGATAAGAAGGCATTGCTAATAGTTGCAAACAAACAAAAAAATTAATCAAGTTAATTTCTAATTAAAAATGTCATTTGTTGAAAAGAATACTAATTAAAAGTGACATCTTAAAGAAATCTCTCCCCATATGTACTACTTTTGTGAATCACATTATTAAAGACTATGATTCATCTCCAATAATTTTTAAAACCCAAAATATTATGCAAAAGTGTCCCAGAAAAATATGTAAAATAGAAGAATCCCCAAGATTCTGGCTATATTCTTGATACTTACAGTGTTAGAGAAGGAAATCATTTACTTGCAGACATTATTAATAAAATAACCATGTTTAAAAGGTTTTAAAAAAATTCACAGCATTACTGCATAAATGTTTCAACTTAAAAAATTCCATAATTATCTCCCAAATTGTTTATCTCCCGAATTGCAAACAGTCAAAACAAGTTCATGCTACCTAGGAGGTAGCACTAAGTACAGAGTTACAGAGAAGCGGGGGGCTTGAAAACCTGGAATCCAGGCACAGCTCTACCAACTTTTGGTGGCTCAATCTTGACAAGTTATTAACTTGTAATGCCATTTCTTCACTACAAAAATGAGAGTCTTTTTTTTGCTGATATGATGACTGACATCTGTAGTTGCAAAGATTATTTACCCTTTAGTCCCCACTGGACCTCAATACTGGCTGAGTGTAGTATATAAACAGCTTGACAGAAACAATGGATAACTAATTCCTATTTTAGGATCAGAATCCTCATGTTTTGATACAAACATTTTGAATTCTATTGATAGCTGTAGGAGCATGTCACATATTCCAGTATTGCAAAAAATTATGCAAAGATAAAATTTAAATTCCTCAATTTCTCTGTCTGTCTCTCTCTCTCCCTCTCTCTTTTAGCAACTTTAATAAATTCTGACAGGGAAAAGAATAAAACTACTAACCAAAAATAAGTACAATGATTCCTTTCAATTATGCCCCAAATAGGAAAAAACCATTAAAGGTAAAACTGTCTCTTTATATTTTCCCAGATGTTTTTCCCCCAAGACCACTAATTATTAAGAAAATAACTTTTAAGAAAAATAAATTAAGAAGATACTTAGTAAGAAAATACTCTAAAATAAGCACTATATAACCCCTCCAGCAGGGGGCAGGGGATTGCTTCAGCCACATACATAGTTTCATCTACAGACTGACTGCATTCTTGGACTGCTGCTTCCACTACTGATCGTTCAATCATGTTTGATGACACTGAAAAGAGAATTTCAAAGTCAAATTTTAAGGAGGCATAAAAATTATTTCCACAGACAACATTTTTCTTAAAACATCTGTAAACACGAACCCTAAGATTCTCATTACATCGTTTTTAAGGAAATCAAAACAATGACAAAAGCATACCTTAAATAACCTTAATTTTCCACATTCAAATTACATTTGCAGTATCTTCCTACATAGCTAAATGCCTTACTTTTCTAAATACTGTATAGTAGCACACATTCAGGTTTACAAACATGCCTGTAAGGCCGTAAGTTTAATGTTATAATAATATAACATCTTATCACATGTGCTATGTTTCAACAGGTATGATGGTAACAATAACAACTACCACTTAATGAGCCCTTAGTCCATATGGGGCATCATGCTCAATACTTAGGAAGCATTATTCCATTAGATAGATGTCCTTGAAAATTGATGTTAATATGACTATGTCTTGGGGCTTCCCTGGTGGCACAGGTGGTTGAGCTCAGCGCTGTGAAGCTGTCCGCAGTCTCTGCAACGCTGGTTTGATCCTGGCTGGCTGGCCGGCCGGCCTGGAAGATACCCACATGGCACGGAAGACCTCTCCTATCTCACCCACTGCTCCCCTCAGCAGTGTATTTCAGACAGTCTGCCTGTTCTGTACCCCGTTCTGTCTCTGGTGAATCCTTGCACCTCTGGCCTGTACCCCAGTTCTTGTATGCACGAATAAATAAATCTTTAAAAAAAATGACTATGTCTCATAGATGGCCTTGTACAACTCTGAGAGGTTGAGTAACCTGCCAAAGAACACAGTCACAAGGGGCAGAGGGCAACACAAACCCAAATCTGATTCCCTTGCCATTCAGGTATCTTCTCAGACAAAATACCACATGCCATCGTAAATGAATATATACTAAGTTTTAAAATATAATGATTTCCTAAATTTTCTACTATAGAGGAATTTTATTTTATTTTTTTTTTAAAGATTTATTTATTTATACAAGCACTGGGTACAGTCAGAAGCACGGGAGGGTGAGAGAATTCACCAGAGCCAGAGCGGGCAGCAGAGCAGGCAGAAGGACCAAAGTACACTGCTGAGGGGAGCAGCAGGCGGCAGGAGCGGCCTGCGCGCCATGTGGGACCCTCCTCCAGTGGCCGGGGAGCAGCCGGGGATGGAACCGGCGCTGCAGAGGCTGCGGGCAGCTTCGCAACCCAGTGCTCAACCGCTGCGCCACCGGGGAGGCCCAACTATAGAGGAATTTTTAAGGTGCAAGGGGTTAAGTGTCGGCACTACGAAGCTGTCCACAGCCACTGCAGCTTGAGTTGGATCCCAGGCCAGGGAGGTGACCCACATGGCACAGCAGACCTCTCCTGTCTCCCACAGCTCCCCTCAGCAGTGCATGTCAGTCAATCTGCCTGTTCTGCTCCCCACTCTGTCTCTGGTGAATCCTCTCATCCCCCGCACCGCTGGCCTGTACCCCTGTTCTTATAGGCATAGATAAATAAATCTTAAAAAAAAAAAGGCAAAGGCATATTTAAAATTCTGCCATTTTAAGTGAAAATGAGGTATTACAGCAATGTCTCCTCTTTCACAGAATATGTTTCTTCCTGTTAAACTGAAGAAACTGATACCTATACAACACAGGAGGGCAAGCCACACCCACCTGTATCCTTCAGTGCTCTAAAACACTGGACATTTCTTTCCAGGAGAGATGCATTTTTCCTTTGTTGGCCAAGCATTTGATAAAAGGTTAAGAATTTAACTAAAACATCCCTCAGGAAAGACTAAAGCAAGAAGGGGAAGTCAGCCCTGCTCACTTACTCTTTTCCCCACATAACATTTAGGAGTGCCTAATATAAGTGAAAATAATAGGCATATAGAGAGACCTAAAAGTGACCATAAGGAATCGGAGGGAAATCCACCAGGGGGAAGAACTGTGAAAATTTCTGGGTGATGTGCTGAGGTTTAAAGTGACGTTGATATTACCCCTCAGGATGAAGTGCTGCTATGGGTATGTTCAGAGCATTAGGACATCCAGATACTGACTCCTCACCTGCTACTTAGGTCTATAAACCTAAAGATGTAGAACTATATAAACAATTTCAGAGCTATCAGAAAATGGTCCTTACAGGGTTGCTTTTCAACTGCATCGATGATCTTTTCCAGTGCATCTTCAAGCTCTATTTCACTGACGGACTGAAGAGCTTCTGTGAGGTACTTAATAGCTTCACTAAGAGAGGGAAAGGAAAGAGGTAGGTTATTGGTAATTAAGGCTAAAGTTTTTTTTTTTTTAAAGATTTATTTTATTTATTTGTTTATTTATTTATACAAGCACTGGATACAGTCAGAAGCGCAGGAGGGTGAGAGAATTCACCAGAGCCAGAGCGGGTAGCAGAGCAGGCAGAAGGACCGAAGTACACTGCTGAGGGGAGCAGCGGGCGGCAGGAGAGGTCTGCGCGCCATGTGGGACCCTCCTCTGATGGCCGGGGAGCAGCCGGGGATCGAACCGGCGCCGCAGAGGCCCGGGCAGCTTCGCAACCCAGCGCTCAACCGCTGTGCCACCGGGGAGGCCCAAGGCTAAAGTTTTTATGCCTGATACTGGCAAGCACTCATCAATTTGGCTTGGAAATAAAGATCCTCTCACCCCTCCCTGCAAATAAAACTTATCTACCCTGTGCTTTCTGAACAAATTCTTCCATCTCCTGCCAACATAATCATCCTTAAATACCTAATTCACGGACCTCCCCGGTGGCGCAGCGGTTGAGCGCTTGGTTGCAAAGCTGCCCGCAGCCTCTGCAGCGCCAGTTCCATCCCCGGCTGCTCCCCGGCCACCGGAGGAGGGTCCCACATGGCACGCAGACCTCTCCCGCGGCCTGTTGCTCCCCTCAGCAGTGTACTTTGGTCCTTCTGCCTGCGCTGCTCCCCGCTCTGGCTCTGGTGAATTCTCTCACCCTCCCGTGCTTCTGACTGTACCCAGTGCATGTATAAATAAATCAATATTTAAAAAAAAAATACCTAATTCACAACCTTCTAAGCCTCCCAACCTGCTAGACCAGACCTACCTGTTGTTGTCTCCTCTTCCTTCTGAAATTGCAAAAAATCTCACTTTTGTATATCTCAAATCTGATACGTCACACTAGCCTTGTACAATTTATTACCTTAATTTAAGGGACTCCGATATGCTTCAATGTCCTGACATAACAGATACACAAATATGCATTTGTTAATTTGATAATGGATTCGCTTCAAGTAAATTTCAGTAATTTTATCAATTCTCAATTGTAAAATTTTAAAAATTAGGTTAGAAAAAACTTTGACATTTGAGGGCCTCCCTGGTGGTGCAAGGGGTTAAGACGCAACCTATGAAGCTGTCTGTAGCCACTGAAGCACGAGTTCAACCCCCGGCCAGGGAGCAACCCACATGGCATAGCAGACCTCTCCTGACTCGCCCACTGCTCCCCTCAGCATTGTGTTTCAGTAAGTCTGTCCTTTCTATTCCCCATTGTGTCTCTGATAAATCCTCTCACCCCCCCACACTTATGGCCTGTACCCCAGTTCTTGTATGCATAAATAAATCTTAAAAAAAAAAAAAACTTTTGATATTTGAATATAGGCATAGAAGCAACACTCATTATTGAAATTCCATGAAACTCCCCTGCCTCCTAAAAACTCAATAAAGCTGAAATTTTTTTAATTACATGAATTCCTTGTTTTAAATACCAATAGTGATCAGAATGAATGTTAACTACATGCCATTCTGTAGTTGTAACGCACATTACACTTTAGTCACTATATTTTTATTATAGTCATCACACTAATATCGTGTGTATTCATTGTTGCTGTTTCCTGTGCGTGTGTGTAGTGGCAGGAATGGGCACAGTGCAGGTTCTCTATGATCGGAGCAGACGGGGCAAAGGAGGAGTCCGGGAGCCCTCAGTGGCTTTTGCAGGCTTTTATTGGGCTTTACCAGATACACAGCAGGCAGGGGTGTTGGGGGGCCAGGACAGGCCTCCCAGGCTGACAGGCCTCCCAGCCCCCAGCAAGTCTTCACTCTATCTGGGCTCTCCGGTGTTGGCTTATGGTTCTGCTTCTCTGTCTCCCATTCTTTCTTCTGCTGGCATCCCCGTGACACCACCCTTATAAGCCCAGTCTTAGCTCAGGTGTACCCACTTACGCATGCCCACAACCTACTCCAGGTGCCCGCCATCAGGCATGCATTCAGGACCGCAGGGATCCATCATCAATCCTAATGGCGGGAAGGCAGAAAAGCTTGATGTTTTTTCACTTACCCTACACCACCCCCTCAGGGTTTTCTGCCATATAGTCTATATCAGTATATATACAAGTCATATATACACGTTTCTCTTGGCAACATGAACACTGCAGCCATGGCCCACAAAAGTAAATAGAATAATACATCACAATATAACAAAATACAACAGAACACAAATAAGTTCAGGCAGGGCACCACCTAGTGGCAAAAGACAAGATTATTGGCACCAGCAGATGATCCACCACTTCTGCTGCCAAAGGCACTGCTCATGCAAGGGAGGGGAACCATTCAAGGCAGATGGCATCTGCAGTCACACACCAGGAGCTCCAGGAGCTGTCAGGCTTCCTGGCCTTCTCAGGCTGTAGAGTAAGCCACAAGCCACACACCACATCCACCCCCAGGATGCACTCACTCTTGGATTGACGATTCTGCATGTACTCTTTGGGGGTCATCGCCCAATCCTCAGGGTTTCTGTCTGCGGTCACTCCAACACTCGGCTTTCATAACCACCAATGTGACACGCAGACCCCTGCGCTCAGGCCAACCCATTGCACAAGCACATGGGTCGGGGATTCGTGGATACAAGCTCCATATGTGGTCTCTCTTGGGTCCCCTCTTTGGCTGTGGACTCCATCACAAGCCACGTTCCCCACCCGTCCCCCAAGGATGGGCTCCTCAGATCCTCACCCTTACTCAACAATGAGCAGGGCATCACCCACAGGTGATTTGAAGAGACTCACTGGCGTTCTTCAGCATACTCAGGCTGCTTAACATCCACTCAGGGCTTCTCAATCTTAGCACCAGCTTTTGCTTTTCTAAGTTGGCTTTTTCTCTGCCCGGCTGCAGAGAACTTGGCGTGGGCTTCCTCCCTCAGCCAACTGTGGGCTATTCTACCAAAGCCCAATGGCCATGCCTTGATTTTTATCTCGGGGTTTACAAACGATACCATCCACCCCCAGGGTCCCAAAAACATAACTTGCCAAGGTTCCTCCGCCTTCTGGTGGGAATGTCAGTCCCTCAGTTTCTCTGCATCAGAACTGGCGAGCTCCGAATCGTGGTCCTTTCTTCCCCGACGATTCTGCTCCTTAGGGGTCGTTGGCTGGTCCTCTCGGGCTTCTCCTCCTTCGAGATCCCATCCAGCAGCTCCCAGACCTTGTCTATCTCCTGTGCTGCCACGACATCTCCAGCAATGTCACAGGCTCTCGGGCTGCTACTCCTCAGTCCCTCCTGAGGTCTTCGGAGGGCTCCATGCCTGTCTGCATGGATCATCCTGCCGACTATGTCAAATGTAGTGGCAGGAATGGGCACGGTGCAGGTTCTCTATGATCTGAGCAGACGGGGCAAAGGAGGAGTCCTGGAGCCCTCAGTGGCTTTTGCAGGCTTTTAATGGGATTTACCAGATACACAGCAGGCAGGGGTGCTGGGGGGCCGGGAGGCTGGCAGGCCTCCCAGCCCCCAGCAAGTCTTCACTCTATCTGGGCTCTCCAGCAGTTTCTGGTGGCCTGCTTCTCTGCTCTCCCATTCTTTCTTCTGCTGGCGTCCCCGTGACACCACCCTTATAAGCCCAGTCTTACTCAGGTGTACCCACTTAAGCATGCCTACACCCTACTCCAGGTGCCCGCCATCAGGCATGCATTCAGGACCGCAGGGATCCATCATCAATCCTAATGGCGGGAGGGCAGAAAAGCGTGATATTTTTTCACTTATCCTACAGGGTGACAACATCTTTCCAATTTATTATAGATGATGTTCCTTGAGAATTAGAACTATGTAATCGCTTCACACAGGGCCAAAGCACCTTATAGTTCATTCACAAATATGGAGACCTTAAAATCACAAACATGTGGGTGAATCATGGGGCAGTTTTTAAGACAGACTAAAATCTATACAGGATCTGGCCTATGCCACATCTCAAGCTCATCCAGCACTACTGGTGCTCTCCTGCCTCAGGGTCTTTATATGGTCATTTCTCCCTACACTTCTCTTCACATAGTCAAGTCCTGCTTTAACACTCAGCTCAAACCACTTCAATAAATGCTTCCTTGATATACACCTGGCTATATACTCTCATAGCACTTCTTTCCCAAAATACTTTCCATAATTGGAATTAAGTAATTATGAATTATTTCATATTCATGGTGGACAGGCTCCTCAAGAAGCCCCTAAAAATCCATGCTTCCCGGATTGCACAAATCCGTGTGCAATTTCCTCCCTTTGAGTATGGGTTGGACCTAGTGACTTGCTTCTAAACCATAGACTGTAACAAAAGTGATGAATATTTTAACTTTTATTATAATTTTTTAAATAAAATGTAAAAAGCAACTAGAAGTCACTTCCTTGATTAACCCAATCAAGGTTGTACTTTACTTGTACTTTACTCTCTTGACTCTCTTGCTGGCTTTGATGGAGCAAGCCACAACGCTGGGAACTGGGGTAGCCTTCTGCCAAAAGCCGGCAGGGCCTGACACTCACAGTCCAACAATCCAGGAAGAACTGAATCCTGCTAATCACTAAACAAGCCTGGAAGGAATCCTGCCCAGTTGACATTTGTGATGACCCCATCTTCAACTGCAGCCTGCCAGAGACTCTGAAACTGAGGACTCAACAATGCCTACCTGAATTCTTGACCCAATGGAAAATGTGAGACAATGTGCGCTGTTATAAATCCCCACCTTTTGGGGTGATTTGCTATGCAGCAATAAATAACAAATACGCTATCTGCCCCCAAGATCCACAGTATCTTACTTTCTCTTGTAATCCCTTGCTCCAACACATTACTTTGCAGCTAACAGATTTCAGTGTATTTCTGACTGAATTAGTCAATGACAATTTGATATCATCACTAACCCAAGAGCAAAGTTGTATGTAAGTCCCATAAAATTCATCATACCAAAATAAAACAAAAACTCTCCCTACCCTGACAAGCAATCAAAACCTGATACAGAAAAAGCATATACCATCCAGTTGGTATTTAAATATGTGAAAAACATTGTATTTTACACAAAAATAAGAAAATAGATTTAACGAGAAACGGCTTGGAAAAATTCATTCTATAGGTCTAGAAAACATAGATATTGTGAAGAACCTATTAAAGAAATTTTTAAAGAAATCTCAGTTAGGGAACAAAAAAAAAAGGTCCAGGAGATTTACGAACATGCTCCAAAGGTACCCTCTTTTTAATATCCAGTAATTCTCTCTCAAGACTAATACCTGTTCCAAAATTGGGGAAGGTTAGAAGGGCTCACAATTTCTACAGAGTTGACAACTACTGACAGGCCGGTGGGTTTTCCCAGGACTCTCCTTCGAGCTGTTAAGATTCTATTTTTACGCAGGCAGCCCCTTCGGGCGGCCGAGGGGTGCTAACAAACCGCTGCTGCGAGAGAGGTCTCTACTTCTCCGGTTCAATGTGGCCCATGCAGGCCCAGGAGAGCCTGGTCCGGCCGGGAGAAACATTTCCACTCCGCAGCCTGAAGACCACGACAGGTGGTCTTCGCTTCTCGCAACTTTTTAAGGGCCGGTGTCGTTAACAGCAACCCCCCTCCGAGTGCTTCGTGGTATCCTGAGCAGCTGCCTGGCTGCTCCTGCCCTCTCGCCCGGTGACGCCGCTCCGGCGGACTCACCTCCGCAGCAGCAAACCTCGCAGCTTGAAGGCTGAGACCACCCGCGCCCGCATCCGCTCCGGCGCCATGTTCGCTTTTTGGCGCCACGACTTTGGCCCCGCCCCTTCCCGGGAGCGCCCCGCCCCTTCCCGGAAGTGCCCAGCCGGGGCCAGGTAGCAACTGAGCGGAGACCCTTTTCCGCTGCGATCTTCGTAAAGGGTTCCTGATCCTTAGCTGCCTGCGGCCAAGAACCACTTAGTCTGGAGCAGGAGACGACCCTGCACACTTGCAAGGCAAAACCGTAAAATACATTGCTATTTTTGCCTTGCTCTCTCGGGCCACCTGCAGTTGGGGACGCCAGGTGCCCTCTGGAAGCTCAATGGAAAGGGTCAAGTATTAAGATAACAAAGCCTCCTGCGAACAGCCGCCACCAACTTACCATCTACATGTCAGTTGTGTGTGGGCCAGTTCAGAAGCACATTTTTCAGCCCTAGAGAAGTTTTATGATGATTACAGACCCTCACCAATATCTGGACTCTAAACTCATGAGGGACCAAAGACTTGCTCATACAATCAGCTATTCCCAACCTACAGAAATTGTGATATTTATTTATTTATTTATTTCCAAAGCAATTCAGGAATCTAGAATATGGGTTGGAAATTAAATTATAATAAATAATAATTACTACTTAGGTGTGATGATATTGTGGTTGTGTATGTGAACATCCCTATCTTTAGGAAATGAGCAAATTGAACATTATTCCCACTTTTAGGACATGCAATCTAAAGTGTAACTTTAAAATAATTCAGCAAGAAAAATAGAGACCAAACAAATATAAAGCTATTGTAGCAATATTAATAACTACTAAACTGAAACCGAAGCTACACAGGTATTCCTTGAACTATTTTTTCAACTTTATGTTTTTTTATTTTATATATTAAGAAATTGGAGCTAAAATAATTTATCCCAAATTTCCAGCTTCCTCTTACAATCTGATAATGATTATTTTCTCCCGTAAATTTTTAATTTCTTTCCCTGTGGTTCCTTCATCTGGCTAGCTCATTGTCTTAATTCTTAAATGAACAATTATGTTGATGGCTCTCTTGAATTCCTTCTCATAAATCCTCCCACCCCAAATCTTTCTATTGACATAGATTCATTTTGTATATCTTAAACTTCATATAAATGGAATCACTTAGCAGGTATTCATTTGTGTGTATGATTTCTCCCCACCCCCTACAAATACACACTTGATGAAAAATAATTGACAAATGAAATTTATATATTTAAGGTGCATAATGTGATTGATGCATAAACCGTGAAAATGATTGCCACAATCAAGCTAATTGACATCCTCACACAGTTACCAGTTTTTATGTATGTAGTGGTGGTAACGCTCAGTAACTGTTAATAAGGGGTTCAGGGACCTGCCTATCACCACGTTTTGGGTTGGAACAAAAAGTAAATTCTCATGGCAACCTTTAGTTTTTTGAGCAAGGCACTCTAAGAAGGAATGGAGCCATTCTAGGAATGTGGCCTTAGGCTGCTAGAAACCATGCCACTGTCAGTTAAAGTCTCTTAGTTTATGTATGTTGGCAAGAGAGGGTGGTGGAGGGCCTCCAGTTTTCTCAGGCCACAGTTGAGGCCTCGTTGAGACTATGACTCAGAAGAACCTGACTAGAGTTTGGTCAAGAAGAGAACCTTTGGGGCCTCCCTGGTGGCACAAGGGGTTAAGATGCAACCTATGAGGCTGTCCACAGCCTCTGCAGCACGAGTTCCATGCCCTGGCTTGTTGGGGAGCAACCCACATGGTGCAGCAGACCTCTCCTGACTACCCCCCCGCAGTGTATTTCTGTTCTCCACTCTGTCTCTGTTGAATCCTCTCACCCCCCACACCTCTGGCCTGTACCCCAGCTCTTGTATGCATAAATAAATAAATATTAAAAAAGAAAAAAGAAGAGACCCTTTGTTACCTTTCCACTGGAAATCTCCCCTTAGTCCTCACTCAGAACCTTATGCTGGTTTTTTACCTTCTTTCCCTCCAAGATTGTTCCTGAGGAATGATAAATTCTTCCTATTCTTTACAACAACTCAGGCTACCAAATACCTTTCCCAGACTTCCAACCTTGACTCTAAGAGCATCTTTCTTTGTCCAAATCCGCCGTCGCTTCCACTCTTACCGCCTTCAATTCCCGGTGCGGGGCTCTTGGCCTGCCTCACTGAGGCCTGCCCCCCACTCTCTACTTGCGTGGACAATCGTTTTGCCAGGGTATGACTGGGAAAGGCAAACGCTCACTAAGAACCAACTGACCGATACCTGCGATTCATGCTACAACCACCACCCACCCCGTGGGCCAGAGCCCGTTTATCAGGTCCATGAGGTGCAGAGTTGGGCCGCACACTCAGAACCATCAACCCCAAGCCAGAAGCAGCCCGCGGGTGGAGCGCTCAGGGCGCGGCCCAGCCGCCGCCTCGGCCCCTCGGCTCGGAGCCCGGCCACCCCGCAGGCCGCGCCAGGGCCGGGCCTCCCGGGCGGGCCGCGGAACGGCGCAGACGCGCCGGGGCCGTCCTCCCACCAATCTCGACCCTTGACGCGCTCCGTTCGTGCGTGGAGGCGCGGGCGGGGGCCGGGCCGCTCGGCGGGCAGGGCTGCGGCAGCCGAGCGGCGGGCCCGGCGCCGGCGCGGATGGCGGACTCGCAGCTGTTCTGCGTGGCCGAGGAGCGCAGCGGCCACTGCGCCGTGGTGGACGGAAACTTCCTCTACGTGTGGGGGGCTACGTGGTAAGGGGAAGAGGCGGGACGGGGAGGACTCGCGCCGGGAGCTCGCCCGGGCCCTGGGCCAGAGCGGACGACGAGCGCCCGCCCACACCCGGCCCGAGCGGGGGCCGGTCCGCGGCCCGGGGCGCCCCGCGCTGCCCGCGCCCCGCCCGCCCCGCCGCCGCCCGCCGCCCGCCGGCCGCGCTGCCAGCGGCGCCCGGGCAGGTCGCCGCCCCGCGGTCGCGGCCACCCTGAGCGCCTTCAGTTCCGGGTGCGGGGCTCCTTGCAGGCTCGGCGCCCACCCCGGCTCCCCGCGGCTGGCCTGTGGCCCTGGCTGCACGGGCGCAGGGTCAGTTACTGCGCGGTTGAGTGTCAGCTTGAAATGCTTGTGCAGACCGAGGACGCCGTGCTGTTGTCTGGTACACAATTCTTCACACCCTCGGTGGGGTTCAATTCAGTATCGAAGTCACTGAAGTGTTTTAGTACACCGAAGCAATTTTTCGTGGCGTTTCTTGGCCCATGAGTCATTGTGATTTTTTTTTCTATTTAATATGAGTCTTAAAATGGACTCATTAGCAAGGATATACTAAAGAGTTTATGCTTAAAAATTTTTATCACAGTGGTGGTTTGAATGGGAGCATTTGTGTGATTTTTTTAATAATCATAGGATTATAGAATCCTGGGTTCTAAACATGGAAAATATTTTAGGAATATATACCAACCCCCTTAGTTACAGATGATTTAAAAAAAAAAGCCATTTGGAAGTTCTACAGGAAATAGAACTACATCTTCTGACTGTCTCGATACTCTCGTGTGCAGATGTAACATGACTGAATCACTGAAATAAAGTTCCTGTTATCTATGTTAAATGACTCTCACATCCAAATTGGTTTTTGTTGTTTTGTTTGTGTGTTTATTTTTAATATGGTGCAGTATCAGGATGGGAAAATTAGAACTAACTTTTGAGTGTCTGTTATGCCTGGCATGTGCTAGGAATTCGCATATCCCTAATCTTATATAATCCTTGTCATGCTTTATAAGGTAAATAAGATCTCATTTTATTTTTTTAAAGATTTATTTAATCGCTTCTCGGCTTTTTGGCTAAGATCAAGTGTAAAGATTTATTTATTTATGCATACAACAGCTAGGGTACAGGACAGAGATGCCGGGGATGAGAGGATTCACCGGAGACAGAGTGGGGAACAGAACAGGCAGACTGACTGAAAGACACTGCTGAGAGGAGCAGCGGGCCAGACAGGAGAGGTCTGCTGCACCACGTGGGTTTCTCCCTGGCCGGCTTGGGATTGAACGAGTGCTGCGGATTGCTTCATAGTGGGGTGCTTAACCCCTTGGGCCACCAGGGAGCCCAAGACCTCATTTTAAAACTGATGATGAGTCAATGAGTGTAAATAACTTTAATGGCAGTTTGACCTCCAGAGCAGCACATTCTATCTTGGATCTATCGGATTTCCAAAGGTGTAGCTTATGATAAAGGAACATGGATTGGTTGGATGTTTTCTTATTGTCTAGTATTACCACCATTTGTTTTTGAGGAAAAAGTAATCTAGATAGAATGATGACTTTGTGCAGAAGAGATATTTTGACTGATGGTAAGCACTGCCTCTTTACGATATAGTGGTGTCAAACTCCATTTGCTGTATTTATCCTTAATACTGTAAAAGTTAAAAAGTTTCACTTAAAATAGTAATTTGTAGTAACCCATATCTGCTGACAGTATAGATTCTTTCGGATCCATAAATGAAATGTCTGAGTTTTGACACCTTGGAATCTTGAAAGGTGTGTAATTGATGAGATTCCTGACTTTTGTAGTAGTGAATGAATAGAAATACTTCTTTCTCTACTATGTATGGATTCAGAGGTGAATGGTTCCAAGAACCACCCTGGAAAGTACCACACAGATTTAGGTTTAATCTACATTTTAAATTTCAGGGGTTATGAACAGTTAAAATGTGCCTAAGGTATAAGTGGCAGGAAAGGGGGAGTAGAGGACAATAAAGAAGAATCCTTCCAGCAATCATTTTATTCAGGTCCTTCTAAACAGAAGATAGCTAACACGCCTTGGAATCTGGAGCTAATCCAATAGCCAGAGGTTAATGTGATCAGATGATTCCAGGTAATATATTATAAACACAATTTTCTTCATTAACAAAAACTCAAAATGTATGTTTAACTAATGAACATGTCTTGTGCCCTAAAATTTGAATTTCTACCAATATTCCTATCTAAATATTACTCTATTGTATGAATTCTAAAGGATATTCTATGTGAAAACAGCCGTCCCTAAAAGTAAATGGTAAATTCTAATAGGTACCAGAATATTCTTTTTTGTTCTTTGTTCTACATAGGCTGTATACATTTACTGAAATTCATACCTTAATGCTGCTACTAGGAACATTTAAACATGAGTTTTCCCAAATTTTGGAGGAAAAGCCCAGTCAGTGTCTTAGCATATTTGTAGATGATACGCTTTCTTCTTATGACTTATTATATAAACAATTTCATTTCCATCATACAACTGATGCAAATAATTTTGCCCTGAACATTTTCTTGCAGAAAATGTCTGCTTAAGTACCTATTTCTGTCATGGATAAATACTTGAAAAAGGATTAATTTAGAAAATTTAATTTGAAAAGAATGAACATGGGAGGCTTATAGTGCCAGATGTTAAAACATTTTATGATACTGTAATAATGAAATCAATACTCATTTAACGAGGATTTGAGATAGCGTGTTAGAATGGAATGGAAAAAAAATTAAAGAGATGTATAAGACTACACTGTATTTAAAAGGTAGCATTTCCATTGTGGAAAAACAACTGCATATTCAATAAGTGGTTCTGGAATAGTTGGAAGAAAATTATATGGGGGCTTTAGGGCTGAAGAGTTAAATATAGAAAAATTAAGCTATATAATATCAGAAAAAATTACATGGCTAGTAAATTTTGAGCTAATTCAGTTTGAGAAAAACTGAATTAAGAAAAGCTATCAAGGAAAAAAATTGAAAGGTCAAGCTAAGAAAAAAATTTTGACTTGTGATTTTCAAACACCATAAAATAAGAAGTCAAATGACAAACCAAGGAAAGTATTTGCAACATAAATGATAGGCAAAGGTCTTGTAAGCAGAAATAAAAATATCGAGGGCCTCCCCTGGTGGCGCAGCGGTTGAGTGCTGGACTACGAAGCTGCCTGCAGCCTCTGGAGCGCCGGTTCGATCCCTGGTCGCTGGTGAGGGTCCCACATGGTTCGCAGACCTCTCCTGCCGCGTCCGCTGCTCCCCTCAGCAGTGTGTTTCATCAAGTCTGCCAGTTCTGTTCCCCGCGCTGGCTCTGGTGAATTCTCTCACCCTCCCGTGCTTCTCACTGTACCCAGTGTTTGTATAAATAAATAAATCTTCAAAAAAAAAAGAATTAAAAAAATAAAAATATCGATATTGAAACTGAGTGATAATGCACAAGGAATTTATGAAAGAAATACAAATGCAATATAAATTAAAGAAACCCAGATGAAAATAACATTAAGTTTTTTCTTTCCCGCTTTGCAAAGATTAAGCATTTTTAAGAAGAGCGTGAGGGAATGAATTACTCATACACTAGTAATGGAATTACAAGTTTGTGTAACCTTTTTTGAGGAGAAATTCAGCAATTTTCATTAAAAGCCTTTAGGACGTATGCTTGTTAACCTAACAGTTCCACTTCATATCTTCATAGCTGTCACTTAGGCCATCTGTCTCACACAGAAGCCATCTCTGCCATTCTTTTCAGATGCCCAGAATTTGATCCTACTTCCTCTGTCTGTAGTATCCCCAACTGAGTAACACTTGCTGGGGTATTTATTTTAGTTGTCTGACTACCTCCTTCCTAACCTCATAGATTAGACTTCTACATAATAGAGATTTTGTTTCCTTTTGTACCCCCAATGTTTAGAACTGGGATCAGCTCATAGTAAGTGACCCAATAAAAATCTGAGTGCAGGTTCCAATCTCCTTTGCAGCTGGTTTGTGGACAAATGGCCTGGACTCTGTCAGTTAGATGAATTGGACTTGGGAACAAAGATGTAAAAATCGGGACCTGATGAGGATTCTTAGCATTAGAATGTGTAGAACCGGGGCACAGGCTAGATGCGCGGGAGAGTGAGAGGATTCACCATAGACAGAGCGGGGAACAGAACAGGCAGGCTGACTGAAATACACTGCTGAGGGGAGCAGCAGGCGCAAAAGGAGAGGTCCGCCATGCCATGTGGGACCCTCACCAGTTGCCAGGATCGAACCGGCGTTGCAGAGGCTGCAGACAGCTTCACAGTGCTGTGCTCAACCGCCTGTGCCACCAGGGGAGGCCCTTTAAATCATTTTTTTTAATCTTAATATTTTGGTTGGTATAGGATAGGGACACAAGTTCATGATATTTTCGGCCTGAAGATCATCTTGCCCTTCTGTCATGTTTAATAGTTCCACCTTTCCCTACCAACATGACAACAATGTGTCAAATTTTCGTGTATATGTAATCCATTTCAAGGTTTGTCATTCTATTCTTGTGACAAAAATCACATTATCTAAATTAAAGCTCTGTTAGAAGTAAAAGTTCCATCCCGACTTGATCTTGTTTTTGTTACTCAGGAATATTTTGGTTATTTAGAGCCTATGTTCTTTTGTATATGTTTTCTTATAGGAAATATTTAACACATAAATTTTTCATTATAGAATATTTAATACATAATTTGTCATTTTAACCTAAGTTTAGTGTACAATTCATTGACATTACTTACATTCACAGTGTGTGGTGTTACCACTATGTAATTCTAAAACTCATTACTCCAACCAGAAGCTCAGTTTCCCCTATGAAATAAACCCCCTCCCTCCTTCAATCCCTGGTAACTTGTAATCCCCTTTCTATCTTTATGAATTTGCCTTTTTTAAAGATATTTCATATACATGGAATCATACAATATTTGTCTTTTTGTATCTGGCTTATTTTATGTAGCATGTTTTAAAGCTTTATCCATGTTGTCCTGTGTATCAGAACTCATTCCTTTCTAATGCTGAGTAGTACCACATGGGCTGCATACACCAATCTTGTTCATGCTGCCAATAGTCCACGGGACAATGGGTCGTTGCCACCAGTTTTATCTACTGTGAATAATGCTGCTGTGAAGATTGGGGCACAAGTACCTGAGTACTTGTTTTCAATTCTTTTGGTACCTAGGAGTGAAACTGCTGGATCATGTAGTTATTCTACAATTAGTTTTTTGCTTTAAGATTGATTTATTTATGCATATAAGAGCTGGAGTACAGGCCAGAGATGGGGGTGGGATGAGAGGATTAACCAGAGACAGAGTGGGGAACAGAACAGGCAGATCGACTGAAATACACTGCTAAGGGAAGCAGCGGGCGAGTCAGGAGAGGTCTGCTGCGTCATGTGGGTGGCTCCCTGGCTGGGGATCAAACTCATGCTGCAGTGGCTGCAGATAGCTTCATAGGTTGCGTCTTAACCCCTTTTGCCACCAGGGAGTCCCTCTGGGAGAGAGTTTCAAGAAGAGACATGAGTATAGATGAAAATCCTTATTGCAGCATGGTGAAGGCCCTACAGTAGAGGTTAAGGAGCTGAAAAGAGACTGAAGCACAATGAGCAAAAGGCAAGATGAAATCTGGAGAGGCAGCAGGTACCATGTATTACAAATCAGAAAGATTTTAGACTAACCTATGAGCAGTATGGAACCACTGAGGGGACTTAAGTAGAATAGTGACAGAATCCACTTTCATAATACTTCTGTGGTAAAGGTTTCCACACAAGGCTTCAGTTTCCACACTGAAGCGGGATGCCACTAAACCTTAAAATTATGCAATTAATTCCTTTATTCTTGTCTGTTTACTTAGCCATCTGATATGACTTCCTCAGTCAGACATGAGCAGATGTTTCCTTGGAATTAATAGAAAATAGTTTTCTATTTAGACTGGTGGTGCTGCAAGGAAGAGACTTGCCTGATAGTCAACATATTTTAGATTTCTAACTTTGCCATAAGAAAGTTAGCAAAATCTATATGTCATGTTAATAAGTTATTATATACAGTATTACAAATTCTTAAACTTGTTTAAAACTTTTAAAAAATACTTATAATAGAGTCCAAGAAATGACAGATGTATATAAGCTGTTTTAAGCCCTATATATTTTTAGAGGCATGTTTTTTTTTTTTTGTTTGTTTGTTTGTTTGTTTTTGTTTTTATCCATGCACTGGGTACAGTCAGAAGCGCGGGAGGGTGAGAGAATTCACCAGAGCCAGAGCAGGGAGCAGAGCAGGCAGAAGGACCGAAATACACTGCTGAGGGGAGCAGCGGGCGGCAGGAGAGGTCTGCACGCCATGTGGGACCCTCCTCCGGTGGCCGGGGAGCAGCCGGGGATCGAACTGGCGCAGCAGAGGCTGCGGGCAGCTTCTCAACCCAGCGCTCAACCGCTGCGCCACCAGGGAGGCCCAAGCCCTATATATTTTTAACTTAATTAAAAGATTGTTAGTCTTATTTCTCTTTTCATTATAAATGTATGAATGTAGGGGCCTCCCTGTTAGCCTAGGGGTTAAGTTTCAGTGCTATCACCACTATGGTCTGAGTTGGATCCCCAGCCAGGGACCTCACCACCCTCCCACCTCTGGTCTAGACCCCAGTCTTGTATGCATACATAAAATAAATCTTAAAAAAAAAATGTATCTTGCCTTAGATTCTATATTTAATGAACACCTAACACTGCCTTACATATAGTAGGCACTCAAAAAATATGTTCTGTGAATAAGGGTATCTGATAGAGTGCTCTTAATTACACATTTAAAACATTTCCTTCCTTAATTCCTTCCTATTCATCCAAACATTGCCTTTTCTTCCTGGCTTGATAGTCTTCAAAATCTGCTCCAAAGATTGTTATTTTACTATTTTCCCATACTCATAATCCCCTTTTAAGGCTTTATTGCTCAGTTTTTTTCTTGAGACTCATGTTCTTAATATATTCTTTGTATTGTAAACCTTTAGTGTTTGCCAACTTTCTCTTAAAAAAGACTTCCTCTTATCTTTTGATCTATCTTAATTTGTATTAAAAAAAATCTTTGAGCCTGTGTATGATTTTGTGGTTTTTTTAAGATTTATTTTTATTTACTTATGCATATAAGAACTGGGTGTAGGCCAGAGGTGCAAGGATGGGGAGGATGTGAGAGGATTCACCAGAGACAGAATAGGGAGCAGAACAGACAGATCTACTGAAATACACTGCTGAGGGGAGCAGTGGGTGAGACAGGAGAGGTCTGCTGTGCCAAGTGGGTTTGCTCCCCGGCAGGGGATGGAACTCATGCCACATGGCTGATGATAGCCTGATAGCACTGAGACCCTAACCTCTGCGCCACCAGGGAGGCCCTGATTTTGCATTTTGTAATATTTTTGTTGTAGTTTTACCATCCTAAGGAGCAATTTGTTATTATGTAATTGATAAACATAATTTTATGTATTCTATGTTTTTAGTCTATTGAAGATAATGAAGTCTATTTGCCTAATGATGAAATTTGGACCTATGATATTGATAGTGGGTTGTGGTAAGTAATTTTATATATATTATTTTATACATTTTTTACATTGTTTTTCATTTTTGCACAATGTATGCATTTTCATCTTGGTTATAGTCCCCATACAATTCCCAACCTCCCTTGTTTTGATCCTACGCCCTCCCCCTTTCCCCTAAGTGTGTCTCTGGTTTATAGTTGCTTGTTGATTTTGGTTTTTACTTTATTAGAATTAGGTTTTTTCCTGGTCCCTTATTTAGGTTTTCTAAATTCCTGCTATGAGTGAGACCATCCGGTATTTTTCTTTTTCTTTCTGGCTTATTTCACTGAGCATGATCCCTTCCAGCTCCATCCATGTTGCTGCAAATTGCATGAGTGTGTCTTTTTTGATTGCTGAGTAATATTCCATCGTGCATATGTATGTGGTAAGTAATTTTAAATTACAGAATGTTATAAATGTTGTCATAGACTACAGGGAATTTAAGACTATACTTGTAACATGCCACAACATTTATTGTCTCCTTTTTCTTTTCTATTCTTCATTCTCTCTGCCTCTTTCTGTCCCCTATACCCTTCCTTTCTCCATTCTTTGTTCTTGATCATTCCTCTCAAGACAGTGCTGTGTTTGAAGACTTAGCTTTGTTCTAACCTATTTCCAATTTTGATGACATGTGAAGATTTTGTAAGTTTTTTCCAGTAAGTTGAAAAATCTTAACCATGGATCTTCTTAGAGTTTTATAATAGTGGTTATCATATTGTTAGTAACAATTTTCATTGAAAAAGTACATGGAATTCAAAAAGAATTTTAATTTGCCTTTCTGGAAAGTTATGGAATTCTATGTTATTCTTACTGCAGGACAATGCACCTAATGGAAGGAGAACTCCCTACCTCCATGTCAGGAAGTTGTGGTGCCTGCATTCATGGAAAATTCTATGTTTTTGGAGGATATGATGACAAAGGATACAGCAATCGAGTAATATTTTCTTTCAATTCAGGAGTGCAGCAAAATGTAATATTTAACTATCACTTCATCTCACAAGTTTACGAATACTTTAAAAAGAAGATACATGTAGATGATGTTGAATTTATTATGATCATGTGGTTTTAAAGACAGAGTGAAAATGCAGCAGTTTTTTTCTTCTTGCTCACCTTTGTGCTTCAGAATCAAGCACACTTGCTGGTACCCACAGGGCAAGGGTGTGATAGGGGGCTTATTTTTGCTTCTAAAACTTAGTCTAACTTTTACTAACTCTATAAAATTTCACCTTTAAAAGGAAAAAAGTAGTAGCAGTATTTGTTGGATCACAGATCCCTCCGATATAGATTTAACTTTCAAATACCCTGCCTGCTAAACACACTCTCCTCTTTTGAAAGCTCTATTTCGTAAATTTGCGAACAAGAGACGGCACCTACATTTGGGAAAAAATCACCAACTTTGAAGGACAACCACCCACACCACGTGATAAACTTTCCTGCTGGGTATATAAAGACAGGTAATGCTGCAAAATTGTCTCATTAGTGAAGATTACAGCTTGTGGCAAAATTGAAAAAACTTGAAAATCTAACTATTTTCAAGCTACAGTTAGAAACTTGGTTTGACACTGATGGTTCTGAACACTGGAATAGAGTCATTTCATAAAAATAAGCATGACAGAGCAACTGTTTGATTTTTTTGAAAATTCTTCAGTTTATTATTAAATTTTATTTTAGGAATAAGTTAATACATTTTCATGCTTCAAAAATTAAAGCCATAATAAAATATACAAGGAAATATCTGGCTCCCACTCCTGCCCCCATCTCTCACATGCACAAATAGCTACTTTTATTAATATTTTATATTTTTACAAAATGGTTCTCAAATTTGTGTGGCATTGGAGTCATCTGGGAATCTTTTAAAAATTCCCAAGCCCAGGTGGTACCCCAGACCCTCTCCCTTGACCTTTTGATGGCATCTGTTCTATGTCCTTAAGAACTGGGCACACCTCCGAGGTATTTCTTTCAGATTTCCTGGCAGCCCCTGATTTGAGTAGTTGAAAGCTCAGATTGTCTCAGAGAGGACTGCTCAGCTCTCTTTTGCTTCTAGCTGTTGGTGACTGTGAACCCTCCGTGAAGACTATGCAAAAGATTTATTCTGTGGGTTCCAACTCCAGCTGTGGCTCAGTTTCTCAGGATTTTAATTTGCCATGCCCATTGACTTTGGCTGTTAAATTTTGGGTTGTTTCTTTAATGAACCTTCTCTGTGCTGGATTCTTCCTCCTTCTACTGTGCACAAGGAGTGAAAGCAGCCATGGTTCTTTTCTCTCCTATTAAGAGAACATCTTCTGAAATTAGTTCATTTAGGTATCTTTATTCCCTTAGCTCTTTGATTTTTGTTTTGTTTTTCAACTATGGTTCTTAGTTTATCTGACTTGTTTAGGTTGCTAAGGTAAAAGAAATGATCTCTTTCAACTTTCTATGAACAAACTGAGAATTCCGAACGTGTGTCCTTTTGTATTTGTTTTTCAGATTAATTTATTTTGGTGGCTATGGCTGTAGGAGACACAATGAACTCCAAGACTGTTTTGATGTTCATGATGCCTCTTGGGTAAGGGAGTTAACACTATTTCATTTTTCTCTTTTTTAGTATCGCCTAAAAGTCATTAGAAATAATGAATGAAATCTTTCTCGTTTTCATTTGCCATAATTGACACTATGAAAAAAATGTGTTTTCTGTCTTTTGAATTTGGATTCAGTTGGAGAAGTTTCTCTTACTCCTTGCTACTAGCCTTCATGGCTACTGAAAAAGAAATTTCTTTTACACTTGCTTCTATTAAACAAGTAGAAACTTCAGCACAGTTTTGAAAATCTTTGTTTATAGGTAACCACGATAGTTAGTGCTGACATATACCTCCCTTTAGGTACATCCATCAGGCCTATTATAGCAAAGACTGTTCGCTATATGAGTTAAGTCAGTTGTGATATTATCTTTCCTACTTATCCTTACTGGGTAGAGAATAAACTATTGTTAATGAAAGTAGTCATGACATAAAAATGAAATCTTTTAAAAGATAATGTTAAAAATCATTAATCCCACCACCAAAAAGCATGGTAACTCTTTTCAATTTTACCTCTACTAACATTATTATTATACATTATTAATGGAAATGCACATTTACATTTCATGTATGTCTCTTAGATAATGTGGTATTTTTAAAATTCTCCATGTATTTACATGGTTTTTGGGTTTTTTAATGAAATATCTTTAAAACTTTGCTATTTACAGTACTACTGATAACTTTAAGAAATATAGCTTTCTATTATTTATATCAAATTCTTTACTCATCAGTAAAATTTCTCATTTTTTTCTCTCCTAGTACAACTAGGCTAATAAATATATCCTGAAGTTCCTGGTGTACAAGTAAAATTTTTAGTTTTGATTCTAAGCAAAGTAAATAAGTTTATTTGACAACTCCTGACAAAAATGAGTGATATATTTCTGACATAGAACATAAAACTGGCACAGAGGTAAGCTAGAACAGTGATAGTGTATGCCAACTGCCTGGACAATGCCAAATACAGTATAACTGCTCACTCTGCCTTGCTGACAGTTTTGACTCTAGAAAATAAAGAAGAGGGCATTTCCGGTGGCCTAGGGGTTAACTCTTAATATTATCACCACTATTGTCTAAGTTGGATCCCACCCATGGAGCTAAACCACATGACACAGCAGACCTCTCTTATCTGCCCACTGCTCCCCCAGCAGTGTATTTCAGCAGATCTACTTGTTCTGCTCCCCACTCTGTCTCTGGTGAATCCTCTCACCCCTCCACACACCTCTGGTCTACACCCCAGTTCTTCTGTGCCAACTGCCCCCCCCCAAAAAAAAACCAACAACAGCAAATGCTGGCTAAGATGTGAAGAAAAAGGAACCTCTTACATTGCTGGTGGGAGTGCATACTGGTCTAACCAATATGGAAAGCTGTGTGGAGGATACTTAAATTACTAAAAAATGGACCAACCATATGACCCAGCAATTCCACTCCTAGGAATCTATCCAAAGGACACAAAAGCATTAATTCAAAAAGATACTTGCACTCCTATGTTCATCACATCACTATTTACAATAGCTAAAATATGGAAACAACCTAAATGCCCCCCCAAAAAATGACTGGATCAAGAAGATGTGGTACATATACACAATGGAGTACTATTCAGCAATCAAAAAGGATAAACTTTGCCACTTGCAGCGACATGGATGGAGCTGGAAGGTATTATGCTCTGAAATAAGTCAGAAGGAAAAAGAAAAATATTGAATGGTTTCACTTATAGGAGGAACATAGGGAAACCATACAAAGGATCAGAAAAAAAAGAGACAAAACTAGCAGGCAAACTATAAATCCATCAGGGAGGTAGAGGGGAAGGGATCAAAATGGGAGGGAAGCGCACAAGAGTCTACGGTGATGGCTCACGGGTATCTTAGTGGTGGTAATTTTATGGGGACAACACCTGAAAGGAGAAATCAAACATTGTACAAAAATGAACAATGATGTAAAAATATATAAATCAACAACAACAACAACAACAAAATAATACAATGAAAAGAGAGAGTGAGCATAAGTTCGACCTATAAGAACAATTGCTTGGTTAAGAAGTGATGGAAACTATTTGGAGAAAGGAGTCACATTCTCTTCAGGTTTCTAATAGCACAGATTAGGAATTCTGAGCATATACTTTTAGGAAAACTGATTTCAAAATGTAAATATTCTGTCTTCTGTAATTTCAAAAGAAAATTTTTGAGAGAAAATTCCAGTTCTCTGAGAGAATTGGAAGATTGTCAACAAGTAAAATGATGACTCACTGCAAGCAATACTATGAGAAGAAAAGTTCTGAATGGTTCTGCTGCTCTTGGTCTGGGACCCACATTATCAGTGAGCTCCGGGTCTAGTCTCACTTATCAGTGAGCCACTCATAATATGTTATGACTCTGGTAGCACTCAACTCTGTTTTTGTAAAGGTATCCACGTCTTCACCAGTAAATACGCAATAATCCAAAAATTATGAAGGTTTTTAAATATTTTTAAATTTTCTGTTTTAGGAAGAACAGATATTCTGGGGATGGCATAATGACGTTCACATATTTGACACAAAGACAAAGACTTGGTTTCAACCAGAAATTAAAGTAAGTATTGTAAAAAGTTACCTTTATATTCATGTATTCATTGATACTTTTGAACTCTATTTTTTACTAAGTTTTTTGAATATGGGTAATTGAGTTTGTAATCACATACAAAGATGTTGTCCTGAGTATTATCACAAATACAATTTTCTTTTTTTTTTTTTAAAGATTTATTTATTTAGGCATACAAGAACCAGGTACAGGCCAGAAGTACAGGAGGGTGAGAAGACTCACCAGAGACAGAGTGGGGAGCAGAACAGGCAGACTGACCGAAACACACTGCTGAGGGGAGCAGCAAGCAAGACAGGAGAGGTCTGCTGTGCCATGTGGGCATCTCCCTGTGTGGCCGGGATCCATCCGGTGCTGCAGAGACTTCACAGCGCTGTGCTCAACCACACGTGCCACCAGAGAGGCCCACAAATACAATTTTCTTAATTACATATTTTTCTCCAGATTAGCTAAGGTTTTTCTAGAAAACTCTTCTAAAGAGAAGCCATCATCATTATTTACCCACCAATGTGGTATGGTATGGTTTAATGAAGGTTATTTCAAAATGTTGTTTTATAATAAAGTTCATGAGGGCCTCCCTGTGGCACAAGAAGTTAAGTCTCAGCACTCTGAAGCTATCGGCAGCCACTGAGAAATGAGTTGGATTCCTGGCCAAGGAGCTAACCCACATGGCACAGCAGACCTCTCCTGTCTGGCCCGCTGCTCCCCTCAGCAGTGTATTTCAGTAGATCTGCCTGTTCTGTTCCCTGCTCTGTCTCTGGTAAGTCCTCTCATCCCTTCCCCCACACCTCTGGCTTATACCCCAACTCTTGTATGCATAAATAAATAAAATAAATCTTTAAAATAAAAAAATAAAGTTCATGATTTCAACAAATCTATGCTTCATAAATCCTTGTAGCCAGAGCTACATGCACTTTCAGTGTGACAGAAATACATTGTCAATATTCTTTTTTTTAAATAATCTTTAATAGTACATTATCAATACTCTTTCATGTGCTTATGAACAAACAAAAATTCCAATTAGTTTCAGCAACAGTGAATTCTCACATACCTAGAAAGTATATTTTGGACTGACTTGCACAACAGAAGAAAAGGCTACAGGTTTCAGGGTCTGGGGAATTGGAGCAACTTACTCAACACCATCACAGTACATTCCATCTCTGTTAGCACTCTCTGCTTCTCCCTGTGTGCTGACTTCATTCTGTCTGCTGTAGACCTGCTCACTCATTTAGGAAGTCACATGGCCCTGGCCACACAAGCCATTACTTCTACAGTGCTATATTTTGCCAATGTCTATATATCAGTGCTAGAAAAGAATTCAGGCTCTACCTGGGCAGTTCCCATCCCTGCTGCCAGGGGATAACTGGCTAGGCCTGGTTTAGAGGAGCAAGGAATTGTGATTGAGAAACTCACCAGAATTAGGCAGAATGGAAAGTTGAGTAGGAAAGACCAACTGGCATACCTGACTAAAATTCCTGCGGTCTAACTTCTGTTGATGGAAGTGATGGGAGGTTCTCTGCAAAACAATGTTTTGAGTTGACCCTTCTCAGTACCTTTTTTTCAAGTATTTTCCAGTGCTCTTCTATGTTCTTTACTCCATTAGTTCTTTTTTCAAAAAAAAAAAAAAAGATTTATTTTTCATTTACACAATAGCTGGGGTACAGGCCAGAGGTGCGGGAGGGTGAGAGGATTCACCAGAGACAGAGTGGGGAGCAGGACAGGCAAACACACTGAAAGCATTGCTGAGGGGAGCAGCGGGCACGACAGGAGAGGTCTGTCGCACCATGTGGGAATCTCCCTGGCAGGCCAGGAATTGAACCCGCACTGCAGAAGCTGCGGACAGCTTCACAGCGCCACTTATTTCCTAAATCATGTAGAATTGCTGCGCCACCGGGGAGGCCCCCATTACTTCTTTTTTTTAAGATTTATTTTTTATTTATGCATACAAGAACTGGGGCATAGGCCAGAGGTGTGAGGGGTTGAGAGGATTCACCAGAGACAGAGTGGGGAGTAGAATAGGTGGTTCTACTGAAATACACTGCTGAGGGGAGTAGTAGGGCAACAGGAGAGGTTTGTTGTGCCATGTGGGTTAGTTCCCTGGTCAGGGATTGAACTCATGCCTCAGTGACTGGCAATAGCTTGATAGGGTTGAGACTTTAACCCATGGGCCACCAGGGAGGGCTTCCATTTCTTATTTTATACTTATAATTATCAGTCATGCATACTTCTCAGTTGATTTTTAAGATTCATGTCTTTTATTAATGTGTACTACTCACTCAACCCTCTGTGTGTGTGAGAGAAAAAGACAGAGACAGAGAAAAGAAACATACACAGAATCTTTTTAAATCCTTATCTTTTAAGCAAAAATTTACATGAATTCTTATTTTGCTGAAGTGTCAGGTATTTAAGAAAAACACTTTAAAAGGTAAAGATCAGGATGAATCTATTTCATTGTCAAATAGCAGTATTTGTCTGTAACTTATTATTTAGAATGAAGTTTTACATTACTTTTGCATTTAATTGAATGGCATAGGTGATAGTAACTTATCAGGGAAGTATTTCTCACGCTGAGCACAGCAATGCACCTTGATTACAGATGTTTCAAGTATTTTCTCTCTCTTTTCTAATCTTTGCTTGTAGGGTGGAGTTCCACCACAGCCGCGAGCGGCGCACACGTGTGCAGTTCTTGGAAATAAGGGCTATGTCTTTGGCGGACGTGTTTTGGTTAGTGTTTTTAATGGAAATAATATTTTTATGTGTGATGCTTCTGATAAAATTTGTCCCTTGGTTTTGTGGAATAAATGAACATTCAGATAATCTATAGATGAAAATGCTATTCCATATGGCTTTTATTTTACTTTATATCCCCAAAACAGACTATACAGAGCAATTACAGATGATTATGATAATCATAATAATAATTATCTTTTTCAATCATCTAATAGTGAGGAAATTACTTCACTTTGGTGTGTTAACCAGAAAAGTTTAATTTCTATCTAACCCTCTGCTTTAAACTCCTTTCTTCCGTTCCCTCTTGTCACATTAATTTGATAGCTCTATGTTAGTTTTATTATTATTTAGCATTGTTTTCCAATATGTAGACTTTTGATATTAAGTAAAATAATCTTTTTAATCTAAACTTACCTTAAAAACTGAAATTTTAGCCCATGAAAATTGTAAAGCACTGACCAATTTAACACACTTTTATTTTAGCAAACTAGGATGAATGATTTGCACTACCTAAACTTAGATACCTGGACTTGGTCTGGAAGGTAAGTCCAAAATATAAGTATTTTTTAATCTGTAGGCATTTCTGTGTGTGTATGTTTATGTATGTGTGTATGCATGTGTGTGTGTTCATATACAAAGATGTGTACTATAATATTACTTATAAAAGTAAAAACTCAAGATCCACCCCTCATGTCACAAGTGAGGATTGTTTAAATCATTACCTGGTGGACTTCCATTACCAAAGAAAACCATGCTTCTTAGAAATATTCTACCACATATTAGTTGAAAGAAAGTTACAGGACAAAATATTTATATTTCTAAATTTATATGTTTATATGTGAATTACAGTCTGAAAGATATATAACAAATTATTATTACTTTTTAGTGCTGGAGAAGAGAATTATAGGAGAATTCTCCTTTTCAAAAATGTTTCATTGAATCTTTTGTAACCATAATGTATCTCATAAACAACAAAAAACAATAAAAATATTTCTAGTTCAGAAAAAATAAATCACATCTTCTACAAATGGCCCATATTCTTCTGGGCCATTCCAGAACTAGAGAAAGGTGTCTTTTCACCTCCTAAATTCACCTCAGTAATAAAAGTTTTAACTTTTGTGCTTCTAATTTGTGCTCACTGTTCTATTTTTCTAAGGATGTAAAAGTAGGCAGCTCTCCTGCCCACCTATGACTATGCAGGTGCCTCTCTTTTTCTTTCTCTTCTTCCTAAAATGTAAAAAATGTCTCTTATAGGGCCTCCCCGGTGGCGCAGCGGTTGAGCGCTGGGTTGCGAACCTGCCCGCAGCCTCTGCAGCACCGGTTCGATCCCCGGCTGCTCCCCGGCCACCAGAGGAGGGTCCCACATGGCGCGCAGACCTCTCCTGCCGCCCGCTGCTCCCCTCAGCAGTGTACTTTGGTCCTTCTGCCTGCTCTGCTCCCCGCTCTGGCTCTGGTGAATTCTCTCACCCTCCCGCGCTTCTGACTATACCCAGTGCTTGTATAAATAAATAAAAAAAAAAAAAAAAAAAAGAATATAATTAAAAAAAAAATATGTCTCTTATAATGTAAAAAGAGAGAATATCAAAGTATTTGCTTGGACACTTTAGAGGTTTAACCTGAATCTGGTATGGTTCACATGCTTTTATTTTGAAGTTAAAATAACTAGATTTTCAGGTGACAATGGTTCTTGAGAAAATTCTACAATAGATCAAAGTAAATACAACACAAAATCCCATAATATTTTTGGAAAAATGGATGAAAACAATAGCAATTATATTGAAAAACGGTGGAAGTTTTACTTATTAACCAATAAGTATAACCCTGAACATATTTTGTGAATCAACTGGGAATTGACTTTTCAATTTTCAGTTTGTGTTCTATAGCCAGGAAGGACAGACAATAAATGGAAAGAAATTCTTCAAATTCATCCGATTATTAATAATGTTTTTAAAAATATATATATTTTTGGGATAATGGAGAAAAAATAAAATATTCATGTATGTAGGATTATCAAATCCTTTTTAAAGTAGTGAGTGTAGCTTTTTCCCCTTAGTATCTGAGATGATCAATAATCTTTTATTTTGACTAAGACAGTATTTAGCTTTTTATATTTTTCCCTTGCCACAGGATTCCTATTAATGGAGAAAATCCCAAACATCGGTCATGGCATACTTTGACACCAATTGCTGATGATAAGCTTTTCCTATTTGGGGGACTAAGTGCAGACAATATTCCCTTAAGTAAGTCGACTGAACTTTAGCTTACAATTATTATCTTAATCATTTTATTAATTGCATTTGATATTTAATGTCTTCCCCCACACACCTGGTTTTTGGCTTACCTTCCTTTCCAACTACATGTTTGTGTTAAGAATTGGCAGGGCCTCCCCAGTGGCGCAGCGGTTGAGCGCTGGGTTGCGAAGCTGCCCACAGCTTCTGCAGCACCGGTTCGATCCCCGGCTGCTCCCCGGCCACCAGATGAGTGTCCCACATGGCGCGCAGACCTCTCCTGCCGCCCGCTGCTCCCCTCAGCAGTGTACTTCGGTCCTTCTGCCTGCTCTGCTCCCCGCTCTGGCTCTGGTGAATTCTCTCACCCTCCCGTACTTCTGACTATACACAGTGCTTGTATAAATAAATAAATAAATAAATCTTTAAAAAAAAAAAAAAAAAGAATTGGCAGAAGACCATTTTGCTGTTACCCTTGGCTCTCCATGTTCTCCTGTTTCTTAGGTACAGCGGGAAAATAAGAGTGGTTGAACCTAAATGAATTAAAGCCCCTTTCAATTTTAATATCCTGACTTTGGTTGAGATGCTTATGCTTACTGAGCATCTGTTGTGTCTGGCAAGCTGCTGACCAAGAAACAAACTCCAGAGGTTGGTTGTGGAAGCAGCAATTCCTAGCAATGGATGTTAGTTATTGCAGATTTTTATGCTTATGCATTTTTTTAGGGTTTTTAATTAAGAAATATTTGGAATCTAAAAAACAAAAAAGCCTAACATCTACTCATATCACAAGGGGTTGCTTAATTTCACCTCTTGATGAGATGTAGTGTTTTTAATTCCTGTTTGCTGTTTTGGTCACTGACCTATGGGAAATTAAATGTTCTAACTCTTAGTTCATTTTCATCTCTTATAGATCTTATAGATTCCACTTCAGATATGGTCTTATGGGTATTAGATGATACCAGGAAATTAGTTTCAATTTTGTTAACTGTGCTAATGGTTTGTGGTTTTTATTGTTGTTGTTTTTTTTTTGTGATGATTGCTGAAATATGTATACAGGAATTGATGGGCGATCTAGGATCTGTTTTAAAATAATTCAGCTACAGGAATAACCAAAAGAGTGAATGGAGCATACATGGCAAAATTTTGATAGTTGTTGAATATGGTATATATTTTGGGTAATGGAGAAAAAGTAAAAATATCCATATAAGTAGGATGAGTCAAATCAGCCTTTTTTCAGTTAGTGAGTGCAGGGTTTTTCTTAAGAGAATAGAATGTTGGGGGCCTCCCTAGTGGTGCAGGGGGTTAAGTCTGAGCTCTATGAAGCTATCAGCAGCCACTGCAGCACCAGTTAGATCACCTGGGGAGCTAACCCACATGGCACAGCAGACCTCTCTGGTCTCACCAGCTGCTCCCCTCCACAGTGTATTTCAATAGATCTTCCTGTTCTGCTCCCCGCTCTGTCTCTGGTGAATCCTCTCACCCCCCCACACCTCTGGCCTATACCCCAGCTCTTGTATGCATAAATAAATAAAATAAATATTTTTAAAAAGAGAATAGAATGTCATTTTCACTTTATTTCTATATATGTCTAAAATTTTTTTTTTTAGAAAACACGTACACACACAAAAGTTAGTCTTTTAAGTGTGGCATGGTTAATTTGTAAAATTTCTTAAATTTTTCCCAAAGACCTAATTTTAATTTCTAAACTGTTATAATATTGCAGGTGATGGTTGGATTCATGATATCAAAACAAATTGTTGGAAGCAGCTTACCTATTTGCCCAAAACAAAACCCAGGTAAGTCTAGATGTTGACAAATAGTAAAATAGTTAAGAATTTTTAAAGTATTAAAACATATCACTGGATTTGTAGTGTTTGCCATTAAAATCTTAGACATCCAGGCAGGAAATATTCCAAATAAAGCTTGATGTTATATATATAATTTTTCATTTTAATTATATTTGATTGTTAGGAGTGCTCTATTTAGCTTCCAATCATATTTGTATATTTGAAAATGTCATTCTTTTGGATAAATGCATAATTTTGCCTGATAAATATGAAAAAAGCAATTGAAACCTTCATGCAATATTATGTTTAATTAGTACGTAGTAGTAGTAGTATTTGTTTTTAAAAGATGTGTAGAGCAGTTAAATGAGGAAATTGCTTTTATGTTGATCAAGTATATGGCAGATTATTAGTTTTCTTTATTATTCTTTATAATGTATTCATTAATGTGAATTTTGAAGAAGAAAGCACTTGTTATTTATTATAGAGTAAAAAATTATAGAAGCAATATACTATTATTAAACTGCAAAGAAAGCCACATTTGTACGACAATTCTTTTTCTAATTTCTTTGAGTAGTATAATGAAGATATATCCTTAGGACATTCAAGTTTAGTGCATTATAGTTGTTATGTTGCCAATAGATTTTCTCTATCATGTATTTCAGAACTTTTTTACTTGAACTTATTTATACTAGTGTGAAATCAACTTAATGATATGCATTTTAGTAACTAGATATATTACAATTAAGTAACTTATTTGAGAATAAGGTCTGAAGATATTTATATATTTACATATATCTCAGTGTGTATGTCTATATTAACATACATGAAACATTTAGAATTTATCCTAATTTTGTGATTCTTATATTTTGATATATAAAAATTCATTGGAATATATTGTTTTAGCAATACTTGGTCCTTTGAATTTTAGTATTACTCTACTTTCTAAATGAAAAAATTTTGTAATAAGATATAGAAGCCCAGAGTTGTAGTGCTTGCTCAGCTACTACTTAGCTTTCTGGCTTTGGGCAATTCACTGAAAGATACTGTTAGTTTCTTCATCCATGAAATGAAGGAGTTGGACTAGATAAGCTGTTGTTTCTCTTCTAGTTGTTTGTATGTATGCATTATTTATAGACCAAAGTGATAGTAAGAATGTTTAATTTTTAATACTCCTATTTTATGTTTCAATCCTTAATAAGTAATTAGAGCAATACTACTATTATCAGTAATATACTAGTTAGAATTGAGCTATGTAAAGAGATTTCTTTGAATTCAGCTGATGTCATGTAAATAATATGCTTTATTAGCATGTTTAGGTGATAAGTTTAGAGCAGCTGTGAGAGGACATACACTATCAGTCTATAGAAAAAAACATCAGGTTGCAAGCTAGATGTCACCAAAATCAAGGCAGGAAAGGCTTTCCAGTGTTCTTCGATGATGAAGTCCAGGCCAGAGTTTCCCTAAGGCAGATAAGACAAGGCAGATCTATCTTCAGGTATGAGGTGAGGAGGAGAACAGGTGGGCTACAGTTTAGTGTAAGGAGAACAATGTATATCTGGTTATATACTAATTTTTTTATGAAAGTGAGAATTTAATTAACATCTAAATGCATTTTGTGCAAACTTTTCCAACTTATAATTTAAAATGTAAGCTGCCCAATTCTCCTCTTATTCGCAAACAGGATTTTTCAGCCTTGACACTATTGACACTTTAGACCAAGTTATCTTTGTTCTCAGGGTGTCCTGTGCATTGTAGGATATTTAACAGCATCTCTGGCCTTTACCCGATAGATGTCAGTAGTAGTGTCCCCCATCCCCAACCTGACTTAGCATCATGACAATCAAAAATATCTCTAGATATTGTCAAATGTCTCCTTGGGGACAAAATCACCCCTGATTGAGAACCACTGTACTATGGTGTGCCACTCTCTTTTCCATGTCTCATCTTAGATAAAAATATGCTTGGTGGAAAAGCTATCTGTATAGCCATATCTGATGGCCTTACAGTAAGGACCCTTTCTGACGTGTCTATAAAGATACCCAGCATGGTATTAATACACAGAGCCTGTTGGATCCCATGAGAATTGCCAAGGTCACACATGACCTTCTGTCCAGGAAATAAAACTATTTCTCCCCATAGATGAGGACATTTGTCTATTCTACCTCCTTTTCTAAATCCCTCTTCTAATCTCCTATCCCAGCCCCACAACATAACGTGAGTTTTGCTGAAGATTTATATTAAGTTATATTCTAACATGTAAATTGGAGAATTGGGCAGAGTATTTCTCAAACAAAATCTCTAATGATTCACTTCTATCCTGGATCTTAAGTACATGGGTCATTGAATGTGCTTATGATTGTTTGAGGAAAGTATTTAATTTAACAAATTGTGCATTATCCCATTGTTTGCACTTGCAGAGGTTAAGTAAAAAATATTAATGTACTAAAACCAACTTATGATAATAAAAAAATGACAATATATATTAATTGCATTATCTGTTGCTTCAACAATTTGGTCTATTGAGAAAAGTAATCAGAATACTCAGTAAAAAAGTAATCAGAGTCAAAACAATGACTTTGAAAATCCTTGATTTGGCCTCTAAATTGAGACATATATATGTACTTTTTTCCTGATGGTTAGAGTTATAGAAATTTTGAATGTTTATAAGACCATGAAGTTATTCTTGATAAATTATGTGAAATCAGAGATGGATATGAATTATCAGACCATTTACGAAAGAACATTACATGTTCTATTCCTTAAAAAAATAATGTGTTCATTTAATCACTGAATAAATTATGTTGGTATTTGTGTTTGCTTTCATTAATCAAAAGTTTTTGGGTACCTACTAGATGCAGAATACCATACTAGGTGTTTCTAAGAAGCATAAAATTAGATTACCTACCTTCCAGTGATGGCCTGGTAAATGGTTAATAACTGCTCTCTAGGAAGAAAAAAAAAAAAACACACGCAAAAAAGTCCTAATTTATAGCATTCATTTATTTCCATTATGGCCAATTTCAAGCTACCAGTGTGACTCTGAATACAGAATTGGAGGGTAGTAGACACCATTGATTACCTAGCAAGTAGCAGTTCCGACACCCAACAGGAGCAATTTTTGACCTCTAGGACCTAATAGTCTTTGTTGGGAGCCAAATGATTCACACATTACAGCTGTGTATAGAGCCGCTTAACTTCAAATACAAGATTATAAAAGGAGAACATAAAAGTTGAAAGGTACTGAATAGAGAGGGTAAAATCAGTTTGGATGGGCATTTGGACCACTTGGAGATTTTAAGCCTGTTGTTAAGGCCCCTGAGAGAATGACTGACTTTTTTAAAAAGATTTATTTTATTTATTTATGCATACAAGAGCTGGGGTGTAGGCCAGAGGAGCAAGCCAGGGGAGGGGTGTTGAGAGCATTCACCAGACACAGAGTGGGGGAGTAGGACAGGTGGATCTACTGAAATACACTGCTAAGGGGAGCAACAGGCGAGACAGGAGAGGTCTACTGTGCCATGTGCGTCAGCTCCCTGGCCAGGGATCAAACTACTGGCAACAGCTTGATAGCACGGAAACTTTAACCCCTGCGCCACCAGGAAGGCCCTGACTTACTTTTTGAAGCATAAGAAACGGCATGAACAAAAATCCAGAGATAAAAGCCTTTGTCTTAGGGGATAGAAATAAATGAACTTGATTGAAGTAGAGGGTTCATTTGGATAGAGGCAAGAATTAAGATTTATGAGAAAAACAAATAGCTACTGATCATAATTAGGCTAAGGAAAATGGCACAGATGCTTCCTGATTTGAAAATATCCTTGTCAAATGTCAGCATTTGAAAAATATTCTTTATTACCTATGTATAAATAGCTGGGAGAGATTAGAGAATGAAAAAACTAGAAACATGTTATGGTATCTGCACCCAGAGTGATGATATACAATGTAACCAAGTAAATATGAAGGGGATGACAGCTTGGATTTGTCAGGTCATGGGAAGGAGAAAGTAAGAAAGAGTAAAAGGGATAGGAACTGTAACGTGGCAGAAAGTAATAAGAAAATTGTGATAGTAATAAAAAATTTAGCAGTTGGCTGATCAGTTACTTTTTTTAAATTTTTATTATTATTTTTTAGATTTATTTTTATACAAGAGCTGGGGTACAGGCCAGAGGCGCAGGAGGGTGAGAGGATTCACCAGAGACAGAGTGGGGAGCAGAACAGGCAGACGGACCAAAGATACTGGTGAGGGGAGCAGCGGGCACGACAGGAGAGGTCTGCCACGCCATGTGGGAATCTTCCTGGCCAGCCAGGAATCGAACCCGCGCTGCAGAGGCTGCAGACAGCTTCACAGCGCTGAGCTCAACCTGCTATACCACCGGGAGGCCCTGATCAGTTACTTTTTAATTTATTTTATTTCCATGATAATAAGGTTAGAAAAAGTTGGGGGAAATAATAGATTTATTAGAAGTTATCTTCTTAACTGGAATGGTATGATTTGTAACAAACTCTAGAATCTAATCCTCTAGTGATTATAAATGAATCTTTAAAATCTGATCTTTTAGAGGATGTGCCAACATTCAATTATGTTACTTTTGAAATAGAGATTAAATTTTAAGAGTGTACAGATTGATTTGTATGTGATATATTTCTTCCTTGGTAGTATGTCACTCTTTATAATTTTCAATCATAGGTTATGGCACACAGCTTGCTTGGGGAAAGAAAATGAAATAATGGTTTTTGGTGGAAGCAAGGATGATCTACTTTCCTTAGATACAGTAAGAAATTATATATCTAAATATTTCCTGAGTAGTTTTGCTATTCAAACTAGGTGGCTGTTCAGCAAGATGGTTGAAGTCTCCCATATTGCAAAAGTTGGAAGGGGAAGGCCATGAAATGTTGCTCTATGGAATGACTAATCGTCAGGTAGAACAGCTTTTGTCAAGCATTTCAGCATATTTTGGATTCTCGTTATCAACACCAATAAACAATTTTCCAATTTCAGGTGGCTGACCCACAATTTAACTCAATTCTGAAACTATCTGCCCAGAGGTAGCACCAGATCCTACAAGTCAATACATTTCCACCTTAGACATCAATTGCAAGTCTAGATTGTCATGCTTCTGACTGACTGGCCATATATTGGAGGGTCCAATGCCTCCCACTGTTTTGCTAGAGCAACTCACAGAACTGGAAGAAACACTTTACTTACCAGTTCATTGATTTACAAAAGGTTGTAATTTCCAAACAGTCAGATGAAGAGATGTACAGGGCAAAGTATGTGGGGAGAGGCAGGGAATTTCTATGCTCTGGGGGTGCCACTTTACCCAAAACTTTATTAGTGCACCTGGAAGCTTTTCAAACCCTCCCCTTTTGCAGGTTTATGGAAGCTTTATTACATACCTGTAGTTGGTTAAATCAGGGGCTATTGGTAATTGAACTCCATTCCCATTCCCTTTTCCTTCCAGGAGTTGGGGAGAGTGAGGGGACTCAAAGTTCCAACCAGAAAAATCACCCTCTTGGTTTCCTTATTCAGGTGACCTAAGGACTTTTAAAAAGTCATTAATAAAAGACACCTTTATGATTCTGACCAGTTAGGAAATACCAAGGGTTTTAGATGTTCTGTGGTAAACAGGCACAAGGACCAAGTACATATTTTTTGCTATAATTCACAATATCACAAAATCACAATAGATCTATTGAAGATGAGCTTTTAAAGGATGATTCTCTTTGAGCCTCCCCATGGTGTGGATGTTTATGATTTTACTGAATTAAAATATTTGTAAGTTATACATGATATTTATATCATGTGATATGTAGGCTACAAAATATAATAAATACCCAGGAAAATTACTAGCTAACTTTACCACCAAAATATCATAAACGCTAGCTTCTCCCCTCAAGAGGAACTTCTTTTTATTTATTTATTTTTTCTTTAAGATTTTTTAAAATTTATTTATACAAGCACTGGGTACAGTCAGAAGCATGGGAGGGTGAGAGAATTCACCAGAGCCAGAGCGGGGAGCAGAGCAGGCAGAAGGACCGAGGTACACTGCTGAGGGGAGCAGCGGGCGGCAGGAGAGGTCTGTGCGCCATGTGGGACCCTCCTCCGGTGGCCGGGGAGCAGCCCGGGATCAAACCAGCGCTGCAGAAGCTGCAGGCAGCTTCACAACCCAGTGCTCAACCACTGCGCCACCGGGGAGGCCCTCAAGAGGAATTTCTTTGAAATGTTTCAAGTGTCCTTTCTTTTTATTTTATGCATCTTTTGACATTGCTTCACCTGCTTTACATTTGAGTTTAAAGCATTCCAATTTTAAAAAGTGAACGTCTGGTGAAACAAAGATCAAAGGACTAATGAAGAGCATTTTTGAGTAATGTTCCTTTCACTCCTAGCACCTTAGAAAATTTAGACTGGGTGGCCACAGTCACGTGGTGTCTGACGGTGCGGGGAGTTCAGGAATGACAGCTCTGGTTTGAGGGGGACTTTTGGGTACAGCAGCAGTCTTCAGGGGTGGAGTACAATGCACCAGAGTCCCTCTGGAGGGCATCGGCCTCATGAGGCCGATGAATGGGAGAGATTGGAGAATAATTCATCTTCAGGAATAATTATCTCCAGAGTTGCTTCTACCAAGTAGGGAATCCTGAAATACAAGGCACTGCTCCAGGGAATTTGGTTTATTTTTATGAGTTCTCCAATTTAAACATAGAGAGATTTTTAGAACTTTCTTTGACAATCAGCCCTTCCATGAAAGATCAAAATCACAACTTTGTATTTAATTAAAAAGCAAAGGTTGGGCCTCCCCGGTGGCGCAGCGGTTGAGCGCTGGGTTGCGAAGCTGCCCGCGGCCTCTGCGGCGCCGGTTCGATCCCCGGCTGCTCCCCGGCCACCGGAGGAGGGTCCCACATGGCGCGCAGACCTCTCCTGCCGCCCGCTGCTCCCCTCAGCAGTGTACTTCGGTCCTTCTGCCTGCTCTGCTCCCCGCTCTGGCTCTGGTGAATTCTCTCACCCTCCCGTGCTTCTGACTGTACCCAGTGCATGTATAAACAAAAACAAACAAATAAAATAATAAATAAATAAAAACATGCCTCTATAAAAAAAAAAAAAAAAAAAAAAAGCAAAGGTTAAGGTTTGTCTTCTTTTTCTGGCACTAGAAAGTTTTAGCTAGGATACAAAGTTTCCCATAATATAAGTTCTAATTAAAATCATGGTCATAAATTATGAAATTCTAAAGACTTATTGGAAAGGATTAAAGAATTTTTTATTGACTCATTAACTTTAGATGAGGGAATCATTACTCAAAAAAAATCTGGATCTGTGATTTCCAAATTAAGAATTCTTAGGAAATCCTGGTGCTACCTGAAAAAGGAAGCCAGGATTAAGAAAGAGATTTTTTTAGGGAGGAAAAAAGTTTTGCTTTAAAAATTTTGAAAACCACTATTTCTTATTTTGAACACACTGTTCTAAAAGATAAACATGTTTCTGGGTTTAACTTCTAATTATGTAGGCTGTGGTCACTGAAAAATAGTAACTTATCCAAAACTTTACGGGATAGCAAATTGTGTGTGTGTGTGTGTGTGTGTGTGTGTGTGTGTGTGTGTGTGTGTCTGGCTAGATAGATCTGTTTGCTGCTTTGAGTAATTTAACACTTACAAAGTAAAATATTTGATGAATAATGCATTGTTATTTTGACCACAGACCTTGATAATTCCTTTTTTATGTTGATCAGGGTCACTGTAATGATTTATTAATCTTTCAAATACAACCATATTCACTACTCAGGTAAGCAAGTTCTTTATTTTACATATATGTGCCATTAGGGTATGATCATTTCTTCCTTGGGATGCTTTGTAACCTTTTACAGGTAGCTTATGACTTGAGCTTAAGAAAATGTTTACATCTTTCTAAGTGTATAATCAAATTTGTAATGATGAACCATATACCAATCTCTAAAAATTAAAATATACAGTACAGTCACTGTTTTGTTAGTAAAACTGCGTTTAGTTCATATAGAAATATTAAGCATACTGTATTTTGCTTTTTTTCATTTTAACTTTTCTAAAATCAGAGTGTATCTAATAATAACATATATGTGCATTTAATTTACTTTTTAAACTAGAATTTCTTTTTCTTAGCCTCAAAGATGTTATTAGGTTGATGGCATGACTTACAGTGTCTTGGCTCATGAACTTTTGCTTTAAAAGGAGTGTATAAAGTTTAGTGGAAGAGTTATGGAAGCCCTTATTTATGTTTATGAGAGTTGGGAGGAAAAGTTGCAATGAAGTAGAAGTTGCCCAGTGAACAAGTGTGGGTATTTTATTCAGTGGGAATAGCACAAGAGAGTGTGTAGGGTGGGGTGACGTGTTGTTGTTTTAAAAAAGATTTATTTACTTATGCACACAAGAACTGGGGTACAGGCCAGAGGAGTGGGGGGTGAGAGGACTCACCAGAGACAGAGTGGGGAACAGAACAGGAGGAACAACTGAAATACACTGCTGAGGGGAGCAGCGGTCGAGCCAGGAGAGGTCCGCTGTGCCCTGGCAAGGGATCAAACGTGGTACAGTGGCTGAGAACAGCCTCATAGGCTGCGTCCCAACCCCCCACGCCATCAGGGAGGCTCAAGGGTTGACATGTTTTATGTCAAGTATTGTAACTATAACTTCCAGATGTTTTATCACTTGAACCACTTGAAAATCACTAGACCAGCTCCAAGTAGACCTTCCTAACAAACTGTTCCTTCTGTTAGTGCAATGGTTTCCATACTTGTCTGCACATTAGACTAGAGAGAGAACTGCCAAAAAGTATTGATGCCTGTGTCGTACCCCCATAGACTGTGATTTAATTGGTCTGGGTTGTGATATGGACTATGGAATTTTCAAAAGATCACAAGATAATGCTAATGTGCAGGTAAAGTTTGAAAATCACTTCTGTAATGACTTATACAGTTTTGTTATATTCTATTGTTACTTCTGCTGTGAACAAAACTTAAGTAGATTGAAGTTCCTTGTAGGCAGGCATCTAGAAATAGACTATTCGAGTGCCTACCATGGGAAGGCACTGCACTATGAAAGAAAAGTCACAGTACTAGCCATTTCCCTTATATTGCCAGTAATATAGAAGACAGGCTTTCAAACAACCATAATAGAATAATAAATGTGCTTTAAGAGGAACAAAGTTCTCTACAAATAGAATATTCTGTCTACGCAGTTAAAATGGCAAAGGTTTGAGAAGTCTTAGTAAAAGAAAGGTTTGGGACAAGAATTTGCTATGATCAATCAATGCAAATATGTTAGTACAAAATACATATAAGAACATGGTATGTTATGGGATTTCTGAATTTCTGCATATCCCTGGGACATAAATAGGAGGTAGGCAGTTGTAAGACACAAAGTTGGACAACAAATCAGAAACCATAATTTATCTAGCCCCTTTGTCTCTCATATAGAGAAGTGCAATTGATTTTGTAGGAAGGAGACCAGAAAATGTTTAAAATTTTTGAGCAGAGGAATGAGGTGATCATATTACAAATTAGAAAATTCATTTGAAGGATCAGGTAAACCCAAACTTAAAAATTTATTCTTGAATGCTGACTAAAGAACTGAGAAGTGGGGGTGGAGGAGAGGGTGGAGGAGGGAGAACACAGTGGAGAGGGAGCACAATGATTATGGTGCCTTGGTGGTAGGTGTACTATGCTAATAACACCTGAGAAGGGAGAGCCTAGACTCCCAAAATATAAACGACAATGTAAACCAACATTTCCTAGATAAAAGAAAGAAAATTCCTTTGGCAAGAATGTGAATGAGAGGCTGGAGGGATATGTGAGCGGGTTAGGAAAGTCAGTGAGACTATAGCAATGGTTAGACACAAAGTGAGGGCTGTTGGAGGAGGCCATGGCGAAGACATGGCCGTCAGACTGGTCTGCTGGAACTAGGCCATCAGTAGCCCTGCCCCCTCCCGTTGGAATGCTTGTAGACATAACTGTATTCCAAAAAGCACAGAGGAGAGATTTGGAAGAGAAGAAAACAACGAAGGGGAAGATGAACCAGTATAGAAATGAGGAAAGGACAGGCTACTGCATGGGCCTGTACTGGAGACTAGGCCTGGGAGTGAACATCAGCCTTAGCTTCTTGGTGTCACCTGTTGTGCCTAGAACAGTGCTCCTGTGAATGGGCATGTGCCCTTTTGATGCTGAGAATATTTTGGTACATCAAAACTTGAATATTGCAGGAATTTAGTAGTATTATTGTGAGGCATGTTTACATTTAAGTAGACCAGCTGTCCACAGTGAAGCCAGCATGCTATTTTATTTAAAACTTTAGCACTTACTGTGTTGAGATACTGAGAAGAAACAAAAAGGAATAGACATAGTTCCTCAAAGAACTTATGTATTAAAAAAATATTTTAAGCCTCCTCGGTGGCACAGCAGTTGAGCGCTGGGTTGCGAAGCTACCCGCAGCCTCTGCAGCACCGGTTCGATCCCCGGCTGCCTGGCAAGGGTCTCACATGGCGCACAGACCTCTCCTGCCGCCCACTACTCCCTTCAGCAGTGTACTTCGTTACTCTGCCTGTTCTACTCTCTGCTCTGGCTCTGGTAAATTCTCTTCTGACTGTACCCAGTGCTTGTATAAATAAAAGTAAATAAATAAATATTTTTAAAAAGATTTACCTCTTTGATTTAAAGTTTATCTGTTGAAATTACTGATGAAATTCATATGGAATCACCAAAAACCCCGAATAGCCAAAGCTCTCCTGAAAAAAACAAAAAAGAAGGGAATGGAGGCATCACACTCCCAGACTTCAAACTATACTACAAAGCCATAATCATCAAAACTGCATGGTACTGGAACAAGAACAGACACACAGACCAATGGAATTGAATAGAAAATCCAGAAATAAACCCACAGATTTATGGCCAACTAATCTTTGACAAAGGAGCAAAGAATATGCATTGGAGCAAAGAAGGTTTGTTCAACAAATGGTGCTGGGAAAACTGGGTTGCTACATGCAAAAGAATGAAGCTTGACTACTACCTAACACCATGCACAAAAACCAACTCAAAATGGATTAAAGAACTAGACATAAGACCTGAAACCATAAAATACATAGAAGGAAATATAGGCAAAACACTACATGATATGCATATCAAAGACATCTTTATAGACACATCACCCAAAGCAGTGATAGTGAAGGCAAAGATCAACAGCTGGGACTACATCAAATTAAAGAGCTTCTGCACAGCAAAAGAGACAATAACAAAAACAAAGAGAAACCCCACCGACTGGGAGAACATTTTTGCACACAACACTAATGATAAAGGACTGATCACAAAAATCTACAAAGAGCTGATGAGACTCAACAAAAACAAAGAAAATAATCCAGTCAAAAAATGGGCAGACGAGCTAAAAAGAAACTTCTCTGAAGAGGAAATGCAAATGGCCAACAGGCATATGAAAAAATGTTCAACATTACTTGTAATCAGGGAAATGCAAATCAAACTACAATGAGTTACCATCTTACACCAGTGAGAATGGCACATACTAAAAAAACTAGCAACAACAAATGTTGGCGAGGTTGTGAAGAAAAAGGAACTCTCCTGCACTGTTGGTGGGAGTGCAAACTGGTCCAACCACTATGAAGAGCTGTGTGGAGATTTCTTGACCTACTAAACATAGAGCTTCCATATGATCCAGCAATTCCACTCCTAGGTATGTACCCAAAGGACACAGAAACATCAATTCCAAAGAGCACCTGCACCCCTATGTTTATAGCAGCACTATTTACAATAGCTAAGCTTTGGAAACAAACCAAATGCCCTAAAATAGATGACTGGATCAAGAAGATGTGGTACATATACACCATGGAATATTACTCAGCATTCAAAAAAGATAAACACATGCAATTTGCAGCAACATGGATGGCGCTGGAAGGGATCATGCTCAGCAAAATAAGCCAGAAAGAAAAAGAAAAATACCAGATAGTCTCACTCATAGCAGGAATCTAGAAAACTTAAAATAAGGGACCAGGAAAAAGAGTAACTATAAGAAAGAAAATATCAAAATCAACAAACAACTATGAACCAGAGGCATTCTATGGGGTTGAGGGGCAGGGAAAGGAGGGCTTGGGGTCAAAATAAGGGGGTTGTAATTGTATGGGGAATATAAAAATAAAAATTAAAAAAAAAGCAAAAGAAAAAAGTTTTCTGTTGAAAGAGATACTTTTTTAAAAAAAGATTTATTTATTTATGTATACAAGAACTGGGGTGCAGACCAGAGATGTTGGGATTCACCAGAGATAGAGTGGGGAACAGAACACGCAAACCGAATGAAATACACTGCTGAGGGGAGCAGCGGGCGAGACAGGAGAGGTCTGCTGTGCCATATGGGTAGCTCCCTGGCTGGCCAGGGATCGAACTTGTGCTGCAGAGGCTGCAGATAGCTTCATAGTGCTATGCTTAACCCCTGCGCCACCATGGAGGCCCTGGAATAGATACTTTTAGTATCTATTAGTTCTTATCTTGATCAAATTTTTGTTATTGTTGTTATTTTTTAATATATAAAACCCCCTTCAAGTAGCTTAAGTTATAAAGGAATTATGTTTGGAAGGACCTTGCTTTCTGATGGAATCAAAAGGGGGAAAATGGAACTCCCAGATTCCCTAGGAGGAGATTAGGGGGTCTCTTGTTGGCTCCTACTGCTGCTCCCCTGCTTGGCTCAGGCCTGCCTCTCCTGGTCTACTTAACTGTACGACCCAATCTAGTCATTACAGAGACAGAAGGGGGTCATGTTGTATGCAAATGAATGTTAGATGCTTTATCTTAGGGTGATGGAGGAAAAAGTTCTCAGAATAGAGTAAGTGGTTACTGGGCTGGAAAGATACATGGAAAAGGGTATGTTAAAGAACTAACCTGCTTTGAAGTCAAGTTTAAGTCTTTTACTTAAAGAACATTCTGCATGGTTTAAGTTGTAATAATCACTTTACACTGTGTTTCTATTATAAAACTAGACACTTAATTGTGGTGTTCTAGAAAGAACACACAGTCTGTCAAGTTCCAATCAATAGAGGAAGTACATAATCAAGTAAAACTTTCTAGTGACTTTTATTTTTAAAAACACCTATAAGAATATTAATACTTTTGGCTCAAGAATTAATAATTCTGTTGTTTTGTTTACAGGTCATGCCTTGACTGTATTGGTAAAAATGCTATGATTTTAGAAAGTCAGATATCTTTATTACCTCCTAAACTTCTGCAACAAGTACTAAAAAAAATAACATTTTGGACTGCAGCTAATCACCGAGAGGAACAAAGAGCACAAAATGAAGAAACAGAAAATAACTATCATTGGATTAGTAGCAGTTAAGTTGTTATGTACTCCATATATGTCATATGTTTAAACATTTTAAACATTGTATATTTTACCCCCCAAATTGGAGGCTTTATTTAGAAGATAAAATTTGAAACAAATATGCTCAGAGACTATATGGACTAGGACATATGGAAATAAGATGTTAATGGCAGATTAATTTATATTTGTATTTTCCTTTTAAGTTGCCAAAACCCCACATTCTTAAAGAAGTATATAGTTATACAGATTTTCACTCAGTATTTATTCTTTCCTGAAAAAAATTATACATTTTTGAGGAGTATAAGATTCAAATAAAAAACTATCAACTTTCAGAAATAATAGATTTTTTTCATCACTCTAAAGTTAGCTTAAGCTTCTCCTTCAATAACTCAGTTAAATAGCTTCTTCTCAGATAACTAATACAGTCCACTAAAAATAATAAAATAAATCCTGGTTTTGTATTAAGTATTGAATTCATGCCTTCCTCACCCCCCACCCCAGCACTTAGTTCATGACATTTTCTTAGGCATCCTAACTTTCTCACCTTTATTTGAATAGGGGAATAAATGCCTTCAATTGTCTTTTCATTACTCCTAAGTTATTAGTTTGTTCTTTCATATCTAAAGACCATGTTTTAAACTGTCTAAAGAGGTTTATCATACAAACTTTGAAATATTGAGAAGCAGTATATTTCTTAACTTTTGAGACAATTAAAATACATTTCGCCTTGAAGGGTGCTTCTAAAGTAATTTTCATAATGAAATGGGATGGTAACCTACTAGCTTGCTTGTATGGAAAACCCTATATTTGGTCCATATCATTCTACAGAGTTGGTGGTCAAGATTCAGGATGTTGAAAATCTAAATTTCATTAATTTTCGTTATTACCACTTATCCAGAAATAGAATACTATGTCTTCGTAGTCTGTAAAATGGTACTTTTTCCATAACTGAGAAATTGTTAATATTATCACAGTCATAAACTTCCACTGAATTACTAATAATGTTGATACTAAAAAAATTCAGTATGTAAAATTATTCTCTACAATATCACAATACATGTTCTCTCTGAAATCTAAAATATTAGAGGAAATATATTTCTATAGTGAAATATATGTGCAGTTTATAATGAAAACTATAGTTGTTTGTAGTACCTCATTAAATTTTAGATATATTTTATATATGTATTGCATTTGGGATGTGCAAAGCTTTTATTTATGTACTGAAATATTTTGTGTTTATATTTTATTTATTATACAAAGTATATTTTCCTAGTTTTGTTAATGTGAATCAGATATTAGAGTTGCTTGTATAAACAATATTTCAGTGGAAGTAATTATTTTATTACTATGAACTTCAGGTATCAGTTTTTTATATTTAAAGAAAAAATTATCAAAACCTATTGGATAGTGATAAATGACACTGAGTGGGATGAACACTTTTAAAATGACTTAAACTTAACCTGTATATTATGCTGCTTCAAAAGGTTATGTCCTAAGGTAGCCCCACAGAAGTGGCAGAGAATTCTGATCTTTACCTTCAATTTCTAAACTTCGATTAAACCAGGGAAGCCCTGCTCTGAGGAAATGTGGAAATTTTGGGAGGAGCCACTTTTGAAGTTCTGTGTCACGCAGTATTCATTCCTTACTCTCACCAGCTGATGGTTTACTATCAGTTTTTGTGGTCGTCACCTCTGCAGTTAATAGGGGCCCCAAAAAGGAAAGCCTCATAACTTTATCTCTGAATTCTCCCTTACAGGCTGTCTGTTTGGAAGATATTTCTAGAAGTGTTGATTTTTTTTTTTTCAGGTGGTACATATGATAGTTTTCCAGTTTGGGTCTCAAGGAAAAAGAATTTCTTAGGACTCTCAGGATATTCTTCCAGTTGTCAGGAAGGATTCTTTTGCAGTATTATCATTATACATATGATATAGTAAATAGCACATCAAAATTTGTGAACATATCTTTCAAGTAGTATCTTTGCACAAACATCTTTTTAAGATAATTAGCTTCCTTTAAAAAATTAGCTTCATAATAAAAAGTTTGAAATAGTCTTTAGAACTTTATATTGTCAGCCCGGATACAAAGTGATGTTTTTACCTATACATTATTTATATGTATATATGTGTGTGAGAAAGAAATATGAAATAAACTCAGTAAGGTAGGGAAATTTTCAGGGTAGTAATACTATCTGACAGACGAAAATTTTGATTTCAGAACATTTTGAAGGAAAAGCAGCAATTTTAAGAAACAAATAATACACCCTGCCTACCTTTTTTTTTTCAGGGGAGGGGGGAGGACTATTTTCCCGTTGTGTGAATGTGATTATGTTGGAATTTCCACTTTGATGAATGTTTCATGTAGTCCATCATGTAGGTACAACAAGGACATTTTTTAATCATGGAGTTTAGTATCTTTTCAAGAGGAAAAGACAAGAGTCCTACTCCCCTTCTCTCCCCACCATGTGAGGATACGTTGGGAACATGGCAGTCTGAAAGTCAGGACAAAAGTGCTCACTAGAAGCAATTCTACTAGCACCTTGACCTGGGACTTTCCAGCCTCTAGAACTGTGAGAAGCCTCCCAGGAAAGGTATTTTATTATAGCAACTAGAGCTGCCTATGACACACCCAAAGTTCATAGTTTACATTGGCAGTGTACATTCTGTGGATTTAGACAAATATGATAACAGGTAGCCACATTACATTATCATACAAAATAGTTTCACTGCCCTAAAAATCCTTTGTACTTTGCCTATTCATTTCTGCCTACCTCCTCAGGCTTGGCAACCAATGGTCTTTTTACTGTGTTTATAGTTTTGCCTTTTCCAGAATGTCACATGGTTGGAATCATACAGTATGTGGCCTTTTTAGATTGGTTTATTTCAGGTGTAATATGCTTTTAAATTTCCCACATGTCTTTTCATGGCTTGAAAGACTGAATTTCTTTTATTCAATAAAATAGTATTCCATTGCCTGGATGCACCACAGTAATTCTTTCAGATTTTCTACATAGACAATTATGTCATGTATGAACAAAGACAGTTTAATTTCTTCTTATGCAATACTTAAATCTTTTACCTTATTTTCTTATATACCTTATTTCTTATTGTACTAGCTAGTACATCTAATAGGATGTTGCAAAGTAATGGTGAGAGAGGATCTTAGTGGGAAAGCTTCAAATTCCTCATTGAGTATGATGTTAACTCTCAGCTTTTTGTAGATGTTCTTTATCAGATCAGATTAACAAAGTTCATCTTTATTCCTAGTTACTAAGAGTTTTTTTTTAAATCATGAATATGTATTGGATATTGTTAAATGTCTTTTTTTGCATCTATTGATAAAATCATATGAATTTTCTTCTTTAGCCTGTTGATATGATAGTTGACTTTTGAATGTTGAACCAGCCTTACATTAACCTGGGATATATCCCACTTGGTCATGTTTTTTACTTTTTTGGGTTTGATATGCTGATATTTTGTTGAGGATTTTTGCATCTATGTCCATGAGAAATACTGGTCTGTTATGTTCTTGTTATTTATTTTTGTTGTTGTTGTTGTTCTTGTTATATTTTTTCTGGTTTTTTTTTTTTTAAGATTTATTTAATTATGCCTACGAGAGCTGGCCTACAGGCCAGAGATGCGGGGGATGAGAGGATCCACCAGAGACAGAGTGGGGAAAAGAACAGGCAGACTGACTGAAAAACACTGCTGAGGGGAGAAGCGGGAGAGACAGGAGAGGTCTGCTGCACCATGTGGGTTTCTCCCTGGCCAGCCAGGGATTGAACTCATGATGCAGAGTCTGTGGATTGCTTCACAGTGCGGTGCTTAAACCCCTTGCGCCACCAGTGTGGCCTAGAAATGAAAATTCTAAGAAAAAAAAGAAATATTAAATATCAAAAACACAGTGACAGAAATGAATGTCTTTCAGCGGTCTCATTAGTAGATTATATAAATCTGTGAGCTTGAGGATATAACAGTAGAAGCTTCCAAAAAGCAGAGAGAAAAAGAAAGCTGGGAGAAAAGAACACGTGGGTATCTCCCTGGCCGGCCTAGAATCGAACCCGTGCTGCAGAGGCTGTGGACAGCTTCACAGCGCTGTGCTCAACCTGCTGTGCCAGCGGGGAGGCTCTGGAGTAGCAATTTTTAAACTCCTTACATACTGGACTGGGAACTGAAAGTGTTGGAAGAATATATTTCTCAGCAAAATTTTTGTGCAGACATTTTGGAGGTAGAAAGCTTTGTAGCATTATCTGTCATTTAATTTTAAATGATTTATAAATGTTAATTATCTTTCTGAAGAGAATCTTAAAGATCTTTTAAAATTTGATAAAAGTTGAGCAATGATTTCTCTGTGATAAAAAGTTCTGGGGTCTTTTGTTGTTTTTGTTATAACTGAGATTAAATGAGAGAAATATAAATATATGAGTAGCAATATTGCATAAATAATGTGTTCTAAGAATGAAAAACACATTGGGATTTTTTGATTCTATACAACTTATGTCAAAATTAAAAGATTTTTCTGAAAAGTGATTAATCTCAAAGAACAGTTTTTTTCATTGCCTTTATAAAGTTGTTGATTGTATGCCAGTCATTATCATAGATCCTTTAGTACAACAGTTTTCTAACTAGATTCAGGACCACTGTCTTAAAAATTACTGCGTTCCTCAATGAGTTTTTGTTTATGTGGATTTTATCTATTGATATCTATTATAGTAAAAGTAAAACATATTAAATTTAGCCAATTTTAAAATAGTTTAAACTTTTTTACTAATTCATTGCAAAATAACTCATGTGTTACCATAACTTTTTTAATGAAATATTAACAATTTCCAAATAAGATATTTCAAAAAAGGATTAATACTATTTCACATTTTTATAAATCTCTTTAGAGACTCAATAGAAGACAGCTAGATTCTCATTTCTGCTTCTGCATTTAATTTGTTGTGATATGTGTTCTGACTGACTCATGTGAAGAAAATCTGGCCTTATAGACATGTAGTTAGAAAAAAAGAGGTTCTTTGAGGAACCCCTGAAACAACGTCTGGATACTGCCGGACCTGAGATCACACTAAGAGCTTATAGTACAACTAATTAATGTATTATGAAAAATCTTTTTTTGAGGGGTGGGTGGCAATTTGTTATCATAAGTAGGATGGAAAAATGGTTTGGCACATGAATTATAAGTAACTAAATCAAAGTGGTTAATATATTGTTTTATCAAATGGCATATATATGTATATATCCAGAACATTGTATATAAATAAAATTTGACTCTAGGTGAATATGTGTTGGTTCATGCATCTAGAAATGTTTTTATATATGTCTATTTAGTCTACCATTGTAACAGGGTGGTCCCCAGGAAAGGGGGAGGTTCCAGGTTTCTTGCCCCACCCAAAAGGAGGGTGGTGCTGAGCAGGAAGAAGCAGCTGCAGAAGAGAGTGAGGAAGGAAGGAAGAGGATGGAGAGCCAGAAGGAGATCTGGAGGAGGCACATGGAGCTGAGAGACATGAGAAAAAACTGCGCTTGCCTTTTGGTCATGGATTGGTTGACACAGAGGTGGGTAAGAGGCCCGTAGGGAGGTGACAATGGCGGTTTTTGTCTTGATTTTGATTTTGCTCTTTTCCTCCCAGACTTGTCTGGTTGTTTCTGATCCTTTTCGGTGGGTCCCCACTGGAAGATGCTTTAGACGTGTGGCAAGCTTTGGGGCCTTGCTCTGCTCTGGGCCAATCCTGCTTGGGTAGACTTTTACCCACGAGGGGATGGGTAACTTTGGGTGCTTGATTTAGAAACTATATTCTTTGCCTTTCCTGTATTGTTTACTAATTGTATTAAAAGTTCCTTTTCATTACAGTCTCATGTTTTGTGTTGATGCAGTGGATGGCAGAACCTATTTAGAACAGGCAGGTTTGTGGGGTCTGGGGTGGCTCTCTCCTTGCCCTGTAACATTACTATGAGGGAATTCTTCAATGATACAAATATATAGGCCACAAAAGATTAAAGTAGCATGGTTATAAATGCAACAAAAGGAATACAGTCTGTAGCAGACAGCAAAAATGATGGAAAGTTTAATGAGGAAAAGACGATCAGAACTTTCTTTGACCCAGGAGCCAATAAAACAAGTTTCTCCTGGACAAGAAAATTATCCAAATAATGACCTCGACACTTACATAAAAATGCCAAAACCAACAATCTTCCTATGTGATGGATCGCATCATCACAAAATACCAACAATGGATATTCTTAAAACTCAGTTCTCAGAGCTACAACAACTCATTCATACATAGAACAGCAATAACTTTCAACAACACATACTATGCTGCAACATTGGAATACATCCCACCCAAAATAGATATTTGGATTCCATATTTTTGTATGCCCAAAAACTCATTATAATTCTATGGATGAACGCAAGCAACCAAGACAGAGACATCCTATTCGAGAAGTAGATAACAAAATTGCCAACTGGCAATAGTATGGAGAGACCTTCCTTAACCTACCAGAAACACAACTAGGAAACCTACCATACAATTACCACACGTGGGAAAATGGACACTGTTCTGTATGCTTACAAAATAACGATTTTGAATCACATATTTGATGTTGGGTCATGGCAAGTGCTCAATCAAAAAAAAATATATGACTTCATAGCGCTGCGCTTAACCCCTTGTGCCACCAGGGAGGCCCATCCATACAGGTTTTGTGGACTCCACCCCCACTCCAGACCAAAGCCATTAAGACACTGGACACAACATATCCCATCATCACCCAAGGGAGGGTTGCTGGGGCCTGTGGGTGGAGTTAAGTACAAAAATCAAAAGAAAATATAGGTAAAACACTACAAGACATACATCGCAATGCCATCTTTAAAGACATCACCCAAAGCAAAGATAGTCAAGGAAAAGATAAACACCTGGGATTACATCAAACCGAAAAGCTTCTGCACAGCAACAGAGACATTAACCAAAACAGAGAGACACCCCACTGGTTGGGAAAAAATCTTTGCACTCCAGTCAACTGATAAAGGACTGATCACAAAGATATACAAAGAACTCCCACGACTCAACAAAAACAAAGGAAACAATCCAGTCAAGAAATGGGTGGAAGAACTTAACAGACATTTCTCCAAAGAGGAAATGCAAATGGCCAACAGGCATATGAAAACATGTTCAGCACCCCTTATCAGGAGGGAAATGCAAATCAGAACCACACTGAGATACCACCTTACACCAGTGAGAATGGCACACATTAAAAAAAAAAAGTCTAGCAACAACAAACGCTGGCGAGGATGTGGAGAAAAAGGAACTCGCCTGCACTGCTGGTGGGCGTGCAAACTGGTCCAGCACCACGGAGAGCTGTGTGGAGGCTCCTCGGCGCTGCAGACGGAGCCATCTCCGCCCGGGCCGCGAGGGCGGAGCCCGGCCCACCTGTGCAGCCGCGGGGCAAGGAGCGCGACTCCGAGAAGCCGAGACCTGAAAGTGACGAGTTGAGCAACTTGCCTGCTCTCCCCAGGCCGGAGCCCGCGGCGGCCGTTCCTCAGGCGAGGAGACTCTGCCCGGGCTCGGCCGAGCCCCCAGCGGCCCGCGACGGCGGGGGCTCGGCCCGCGTCTGTCACGCGGCGCCCGCGGGGAGCAGCGGGCGGCCGGGCGGCGGCGGGAGGACCGGGCGCTGGGGGCGCTGAGCGCCGGCCGCGCTTCCGGAGCCGCCGGGCGGCGTCAGCGGAACGGGCGGGTCCGGCGGGGCGTAAACACCGGGGCGCGGGGAGGCGGGCGCTCCGGCTGGACGCTCCCGGCGCAGCCCCGCCGCCGCCGCCCCCAGCCCGCAGCCGGGCGCGGAGGGGCCGCCGCTGCAGAGCACGGCGGGGGCCGCGGGCGCGGGCGGCGAGGGGCGCCGAGCGCCGTCCCTTCTGCCCGCTGCGCGCCCGAGCGTTCCCGGCTCCCTTTCCCTTTGTCTCGGCCCCGCGCGCGGGGGTCGGGCTTGGCGGCGAACAAAAGTGCGGCGTCAAGATGGCTGATGGCAACGAGGATCTGCGGGCGGACGACTCGCCGGGGCCAGCCTACGAGGGCTACGAGGCCCTGGAGCTCGCCTGCCCCGCCGAGCGCAGCGGCCACGTAGCCGTCGGCGACGGGCGTCACATGTTCGTCTGGGGCGGCTACAAGGTCAGTGGGCGGCGGGGCCGGCGGCCGCTCTGCAGGGCCGGGCGGGCGGCGCCCCGCGCGTCGCTTCATTTTTGTGCAAGTGGGAAGCTCGCCGCGGAGCTCCCAGCCCGCCCGGGGCCCCGGGGCCGGGGCACCCCGGCCGCCAGCCGACGGGGCCGGCTCGCCGCCACCCACCCGCCCCGCTCGCGGCGGCCCCGCGGGAGCGTTACCCCAGGGGAGGCTCGTTGGGCGGTGCTTGTCTACGAGATGTTTTGTTTTAAAACGGGGTGACGCTGTGTGATGTCACTCTCTGACCTGCTTCCAGGCTTTTTGTGAGTGGTGGAGCAGAAAGAGGTGTTTACACGGCCCGCTACTCCGTTTCTGTGCATAATCCCCAGGCTCAATAGATTCTGAAGCCTGGTCTCCGTGAACTGCAGTTGTGAACTGTATGTTGACGTTGCCCAGGAGGTGGTGAGAGGATTGAAGGTTGGCTAGTTCAGGCAGCAGCAGAGGTTGCAAATTCAGGGAACGGTAAGAGCAAGCCTGGTTCCACCTTTACCAGCTAAGTAGCCTTCGGCAAATTCCGTACCTCTAAAAAGCCTGCTTTCTTGAAATATCAACTACTTTTTAGGGTTGTTGGGAAGATGAAATAAGGCAATCCATGCATAGGACTCAGATAGTTCTGACATATTGAGAAGCGCAATGTTTGTTAGGCATTATTACCCGAAGGGAAATAAGAGCACAAGGAACGTAAACTTTTGCATGAGGACTTAATATTTGCATATTTTCAGGCCTCTGCTTCTTGATAAAATAATGGGTAAAAGGGAGATTGGCTAGAAAACTATACATCACGTGTTATTGTGGGCCAGGCATTTTCAAAGTAGGTGTTTCTTTGGTCTGCCATCAATGGCATAGGTAATCTTTCTTGAAGTCATGCAGCTACAATTTGATGTCTGATTTGTGCAGGATGAATTTCCATGACATCTCTTAACTTTCTGCACCATTGCAACTGTTGTATAAAAATCTGAATTAAGAACTGTCTATATTGTGTTACTTTGTGTGGCTTGCGGCAGGAGGATTGTACATTTGATAGAACTATAAGATCTATTTTTTTCATAACTCTTGGTATCTCAAGTAAACTACTAGAAAATATACAAGTGTATTAATTTTTTTTATATTTGCGACTTCTTTTTTCTTAGAGTAATCAATTAAGAGGATTATATGACTTTTATCTGCCTAGAGAAGAACTCTGGATCTACAACATGGAGACTGGAAGATGGTAACTGGATATTATAAAGGGACTAGGAAATTCAAAATTGCAAAGAAAACCCCATTGTAGTGAAGAAAAAATTTTAAATTAAGGATGCTAAGTTATTTCTGTGTCCTGAAAACAACGTTCTGCTAGTTAAAGCCCAACTGCGGAGCTTAGCCATTTCAGCATCTCTTCAGAAAATAGCGCTGTAATTATGAGATGCTTATGACATTTGAAGAAATTTCTATTCAGAGTATAAAGTATCAGTAATATAAAGAGGTAAAGTCTTCAGATCCTGAAATGGAAACATAACAAACATACCATATTTATCTTTTTCAAGATGTTTTAAATCTTGTTATTTGGTATCTTGAATGAGACTAGAATTTCTAGATTGTACCTGCTATAAACAAAGGTGGTATTTTAATGAAATCTAACATTAACATTTCTTTGTAGATATCTTAAAATGGTATTGTTTAAAAAACAAAGTAACTCATTTTTCATCCATATAAACTGGGAGCATTCTGAAAAGATCTTTTTGCTAGTCTTGTACAGTGGTACTCAAGAGCATAGAATTAATATGATTTTCAAAATGCTGGGTTAGCCATGTTTGGGGATTTATAGTCTTCCCCACAATTTGCTTTTTGAGAACTTTGTGCATTATGACTATCTTGCATATAATGTAGATTTCAGAATCAAGAAAGTAGTAGTGTCACTTGAGCTAAACTAAGTGCATTATTCTTTGTACATAGCAAATCTGTTAATCTGAGCTGTTTGCTAGAGGGTTTTTCTAGAGGGTTAGAAGTTTATAATAGTATTCCTTTAATAGGAGGACTATTCTTTTTAAAATTCAGCCCTATAAGTAATTTTTAAAATTAAGTCCACCAAAACTTGAAGCTTCACATAAAGTGACACTGTAAGCAGAAGACCTTGAGCATCCTCCAATACTCTGAATCTTAGATTTTTATGCTTTCTGATTCAGATTCATTTTCAGATTCAGAATGAGTTAAAACATGCAAAGCACACCTGAAACCTGTTACATATAGTGTTAGAAACTTAAACATGCAAAGCACTTGGCCTACAGTAAACACTATTAAGTGTTGAGTATTACTAAAGTCGGAATCAGATTTATTTAAATGTTGAAAGAACAATGAATTAAAAAATACCTCTTGAATTAATCTGTCAGGACTCATGTGAGGTTTTCCTTTTGGGTTCCTGGCCCACTCAAAAACAAAACCACCACTCACAGCCATGGAACTAAAAAACAATTAAGTCTGAGAAACAGAAGATGGTATACCCTTAAGACTAACAAAATATGGAATGTCTCATAGTGCCTATGTATAGGACAAATTGGCATATCTGTGAAGAGGGAAGAGCTCATTTACAGCTAGAAGAGACCCTAGACATTATCTAGCGAGCTTACTCATTTTCTTTCTTTTGGGGATAGACATCGAATTGACTTTTTGCATTTCTTCCCTTTTGAAAGACTGATTTACATTGTTTTTCCCTTTAGGAAGAAAATTAACACGGAAGGTGATGTTCCTCCTTCTATGTCAGGAAGTTGTGCTGTGTGTGTAGACAGGGTGCTGTACTTGTTTGGAGGACACCACTCAAGAGGCAATACCAATAAGGTTAGTGCTTCTAAGGATTATGGTTCAAGACAGTTTTATTCTTTTTCAGTCAACTACAATTTCTAAGGTTATCCCCATATGTTTTGCTGTCCCAGTAAAAAATGTATGTACTGGATTATGGCGTGAATGTACATTTCAGTATTTTGTCTACCAGTCTATATTTACCTAAGTCTTTTATAAAACCAGATTTGGTTGGTAACCTATGTGCAATAACTTCATAGGTTGTGTTTTCTTTCCTGCTCTTTGTGGCTAATTGTTTTCTTAGAACCCTGGTGGGTTAGATGAATATTAGTAGTATATGGATATGATGAGGTGGATATGATGTAATCGTGGAGTGGGAGGCACAGGGTAAAAATTAACAGAACAATATGCAGAAAGCCATGAAGATAAATTAATCCTAATATGATTTTACATACAAGATTCCTATATTGTGATGCCATAAAATATCATTGTTCAGACTTTGACCATTTTTTTTTCCAAATAGGAAAAAGATGTTACTTGTTCTGTCAATAAGGGACAGATTAAGTCAGTAAGAAAGGTGCATATGATATTGGTGGACTCTTAAAAGTTCATTTATTTGACAACTTATATAAAGTAAAGCACCTTATATGCTGAAAACCTGGCTAGACATTAGAGACAGAGATCAGTGATAAATTCCCCACCTTCAGCAGCTCACAATCTAGAAGGGATATATACCTTTTAAGATTTATCTTAGTTCTCAGAGTTAAGTAGGTACTAAGATGTCCTGGTTAAATTAAATTTGAGTAGGAAATTACTAAGTTGAAATTTCTTTTGTAATACATCCTTATATCATATCCATAAATTACTACCTAAGGCATAGAATGTAAAACAACACACTTCTTTTATTACTTCATTAAAAAGTGTGGCTATAGGAAAAAAAATGAATTAAAACTGGATGCTTAGTGACTTTAGGTAATTTATGCTGTGCACACATTCCTTTTGTAGACTCAGAGTGGTTAACAATTAGCAGACTGGCAGCCAGTCTACAGTCATACTTTTGAATTAGATGACATTCTTACTATAAATCACAATAAAGTTAAATGCCAAGATTAAATTTCTTTCACGTAACCAAATTGAGAGAAATCATTGTTTCTCACAGTTCTACATGCTGGATTCAAGGTCAACAGACAGAGTTTTACAGTGGGAAAGAATTGATTGCCAAGGAATTCCTCCATCATCAAAGGACAAGCTTGGCGTTTGGGTATATAAAAACAAGTGAGTTGGCACCATTATAGGTTTAAGTTTTCATGTGGAAAGTGGTTTGCCTTTAAAAATCTTCGGTCAGTAACCATTAGTCAATAGCATACGTCATAGGACCCATATGAGGATTAAGCGTTAATACATGAAAACACTTAACCTAGCATCAAAGACTGTCAGCCATACCAGCCACTGTTGTTTGAATAAGTATTTTCATATAGTCAAGTGTGCCTTCTCAGCTCTAGCATAGGACAAAATAAAAAAATCTCTTGGATCCTAACCTGAGGATGTTTGAATTTTGTCTTTTTTTTGTCAAACAGGTTA